TCTCTCCAGTTCCCACGCGGTTTTTGCGCTTTTTTGATCCTTTTCCCCCACTTTCGTGGAGCCTGGAACAGGCTAAATGAGAGTTTTTAAAAAATTAACGACAATACATACCTTCGCTTTTCTACTCTTCTTTAAATTTTTTTCCCTCTTCCTCGCCCTCTCTTCCTCGTTGACAGTCCCCTCCTGTGGATGCAAGTTTCCAGCCATTAAATTACGGAGTTCAAGGTTACTGGCGCAGGTCAGTGGGGACCTTAAGTTAAAACGACAGCGGCGGCTACTAAAACGTCACTAAAAAGGGAAGTTGCTCTGCGTCAAACTTTATCGCACTTGTTAATAATAATAATAATAACTTTATTTCTATAGCGCTCTTATCCTATGTTCAAGGCGCTTTACAGACTTGTAAACAACATTATTGAAAAATATTTACAAATTTACAACCATATCCTATTATATTTACAATGAGTAAAAAAGGAGAAAATTAAAACTAAAGCAATATATACAAATCTATAAAAACAATGATCCGTTATTACTGAATTTAATAAACAAGTACGTCTTAAGTGATCTTTTAAAACTCGAGATGGCGTTGGCGTTGGCGTTGCTCTATCTTCGTAGGTCTTGGTATACGATCTAGGTTGCATCAAAAGTTTGTTACTAACAGACCTCAATGATCTAGTATGAGAACGATAATGTAGTTTCTGAAATAGAGGCGATTTTCCATCTCGTTCAATTCGTCAAATGTTGGCAGTCGTTTCTGGAGTTGAATTCTCAAAGACTGTATCGAAGTTCAGCAAAGGAGAAAAGAAAGTCGTTCTGTTGTGTTCACTTCCTCTACAAAACGTGAAATTAGGCGGTTTCACGTCGTAGTCGTGCTACGACGGCAAAGAAATGTACAAAAAAGCGTGATAAGCACGTGCAAAGTTATTGTTTTGCCAATCTAAACCTATTTGCGTTTTTGCCTTTATCGTTGAAGTCGCCGTCGCCGTCGCTTAAGCTGCCTAATACGTATACAACACTTTAATAGGAGTTCATTACTTTTAATCGAAAAACTAGCAGCAGACGTACCTATTTTACAGTGCGACTACTCGAACCGAGGCACTTGGAAGAACTTATCCAATCACAACGTTTTTTGAAAACAGAAGATTTTTAAGTGTTTTTTTTTTGCAAATGGACCAATAACATTCAAGGTTTAACTATGCAACCTGACCTCTCAGGAAACAACCCTCAAATTCTTGAATGATATTGGTCCGTTCATTTGCGTTCTTTCGCTTGCAGCCCACTGCTCGAAAATCGCTCTGCGCATCAATCCTGAGAAATTTCGAAATTTGTTGCAAAAATGTGTAACCGAATGTACACTTCAAGCCTAAACTGCAATGATTGTTGCTGTTCAATTAACGCTGCGTTTAAACCCATTTTTTGCGGATGAATAATCTGCTCCTACAGAGCGTTTTCACTTACTTGTCCAGGATCTATGCAAATTTATTGGAACAAAAGAAAGCGTTTGCATAAGAAAAGAGTTCAACTCCCACGGGATTGGTTTGGGTCACCAACATGGCCGCTGTTTCATTGTTTGGGACACCAGTATGGTCGCCGTGACGTCATGTGAAAATACGGTATTGATGTACTAAATTGACAATCCACCAAAGTCTGTAAAAACGGCACATGTAAGCCAATCTGATACAATTATAAAACTTGATGATTGAAAAAGTGCACAACTCCATCAATCGAACCTTCTTCACTTGCACCGAAAGCTTGTACCCATTCCCCTAAAAGTTTCTGGTGTGGGAAATGACAGTAGTGACAATCACAAACATAAACATTTATATTTTTGAGTTGAGGTCGCATGTAATTGCAAAGCAGAGCAATGTTACCGACGAAATTTTTATTAGATGACACAAAAACAACTTGTCTCAAACAAATATGTCTCCTGGGAGTTAGATATGAAGTTTCGGATAGAACAACATTGTCTAATGAAAAAACGTTGCATTCTTAAAAACATTTTCTATCAATATTGAAAATGCCATGCTTGGAGAAACTTATTGTTTTCTTACAGACTGCTGATTGGCCCACAATCAGCTTTCTTTGAATGTGTGGTCATTTTTGTGAAATCCAGTTGGTCAACTTTGTCAAGGAAGCCCAGGTTAGAGGAGTCGCAATGTAGAAAATGGTGTTTCCATGGTGACCCCTTACTATATGAGGTATTTACCTTTGTTTCTTTCACATTTATTTTGATTGGTTTTCCTTTCAAGGTCATTTAATCGCTACTATTTTGTTTTGTTCTAGAACAGCAATCTATCCATTTCGGCAATCAATCTTTTCGTAATCACGTAACCGTAGACCCGCACCACGGGGCAACCAATGTGAAATGTTAAATTTCCTAGCTGGTGTAAGAGCTTAACCTCATAGACATCCATATTATGGTAAACTGACAGATGTCAAAACAGGGTATCCACTGACCAGTGTCGCATGACCGTATCGCGGGCTCAGATGCCAACTCAATCAAGGTTAGGTGTTTTTTTTGGAAGTTTCGCTGGCCTGCTGACCAGCTGTTAGCTGTTATTAATTGCGGGCCCAAGTTTATGTTTTTCAGTCACATGGTTTTCCGGTAAAGTTAAGTATAGATTTGTGGTCTTTTCAATAGTTTAAAGACCATTATCATTTAAAATGCACAAACGGAAGCTTCGTTTTCAGCTCTGGCTAAATCTATAGAGTTTTTTCACTCACGTGGCCAGCATCTATGCAAATTTATTGGAACAAAAGAAAGCGGTTACATAAGAAAAGAGTTCAACTCCCACAGGACTGGTTTGGGACACAAACATGGCCGCCGTTTCATTGTTTTGGGACACCAATATGGCCGCCGTGACGTCATGTGAAAACACTTCATATATTAAGTTTGTTTTGGTACTGTGTGACTCATCAGTTACACCATCACCCTCTCGACTCGAAACAAAAATGTACTCTCGTTTTTTAAAAAAATGGAATAAACGCATTGTACAGATATAGTTGAGACGTTAAACTTCGGAGTAAAAAGAAGAGAAAGTTTAAACCGCGTGCTAAATTTACTTTCTGCTTACCTGAAATAATGATCTCATAGTCTCACTACTCCTTCCAGATTTTGCAACCTTTGACAGATTGTTTGCGTAGTTTTGGCCAAGCAGAAACGAGCTGTTGTCACTTTCCAGGTTGGAGTAAAGCATGTGACCAAAATTTCCGGTGTAACCTGCGAAAAAACATGGGGCCAGATCAATCAAATATGTACACACATGCATGCTAGTCGGCTCTTTGAAATTTATTCTGAAGCCTTCTTTTTACATTTAATACGAATATTAGGAAACTAAGTTCTGTCTTTATGGATGTTGACAAAGGGACCACACGTTAATGAGTTTGAGAAACGATTTTCAGCCAAACTTGCTATTTAGCACATCACCACGTGCAACTCGACCAACTCGGCTCGTTGGAAATTTCAAATAAGTTAAGAGTTATAAGATATGCCGGCGAAATATTAAAGCTGAAATTTTCTTAGTGTTAAAATAAGAACACATTTCTGAACATTTTAAAGTTCCTTCCATCTTGGAAAAGCGAAAAGGAAAGACCTGTTAAGAGTTAAATTATCCCGAATTGCTCTCTTGCATAAATACAAGTTTCAAAATATTCATAACATAACATGGCACTCGAGATGTTCAAAGCATGAATTACTTGCGAAGAGTCGCATAAAAAAGGCCTGCAGGTAGGGTTCATTCCCGTACTTTTAAGAAATAATTGATTATTAGCTTACCTGACTTGACTCAGCTGTTTCGCTCCGAAAAGTTAAAACTCGACTTCCTGGGCTTTCTGGATTTTATGGCAGCGAAAGTTGTTTGTCTCGCTGTTTGACCAATCAGGATAAGGCATTGCACGTGCATGGAAATAAGCGTGCAAGTCGCACAACACGCCTGTGGCAAAAAGCAGTAATTGTGCAATGCTTCGCACTAGAATGACGAAAATAACGAAATTAGTTTGGCTAGGCTTTTTTAATTTTTTTAAAAATACGCTAGATATTTTTCCAGACTTCCAGATTTATATCTGATTAATACAACCATTGGTAAGACTGATCCCCAATATTTCGGCGAAAAGAAAACTGATCAAGCGGCTGGGTACTTTAGAAAGCGTTTTGTTTCTCTTCTTATCTTTTTCTTTTAATTTTAAAATGTTATCTGTGGCGGTGTCATTACTTTTGTGACAGTTTCAGAAATAATGTATAGTCCCAAGTATTTAAATTGTCAAGTATTTATGATTACCCCAACTGCTCTGAAGAGGTTTAACGAGCAAAACAATAACTCTGCACGGTGCAACGCGGTATTTGGCACATTTAGTTTCTGCCTTGTAATAAAAAGTGGCTTTGTGTAATAAAATCGTCAGCCTTGTGACCAAACGACTCAGTAGAAGCTTGAAAAGCAACGCGGATACCGGCAAGATTTTAAATGGAAGGATTCCCCTTAATTTTCTCTTTCCTCCTCCCCCTCCCCTTTTACCTGTCACAGACTAATTTTTTGCGCGTGATTGGTCTTTTTAATACTTGTTTTCACCTCGGCATCTTGAAAAAGGGTTATCCCGCGCCTGCATGGATTACCCGTCTTAGCAACCTCGTCCTTCTAAGTTTCTTTCTCGAGGTAACAGAGGGATAACCCTAGGGACGAAGTTGCGTCGTCTGAGATCAAACGGCCTTTACCTAGCAATCATGTAGATCAACGGGGCTCAACATTTACGAATGCTGTGAATAGACCAGTTTCACTTCAGGGAATTTCTTAGCCTCATGAAATTGTTGTCAGAAAAATCACGGACCGGGCTGAAACTAATGTGATATAAAAACTTTGAGGGATCCTTGGGGCCGATTGAAAAAAATATATCTTTCTTTATAATTGTAAAAAGTGAGGTCTTGAAAACTTGATTTGGGTGTGGGAGCGATGAGACGAAATAAAGGCGACAGAATAATTTGCAAACGTCGAGAGTTTAATGATGAAAGTTTATTCAGTTAGTTTAACATCTGACTCTTTTTCTTCATCGACAGATGGCATCTTAAACTTCCCGTTTTCTGTAACATGTGACGGTTCACAAGTCCTCGAGCCAGGCGTAAGTTCAAATGGAGTGCATGATGATGATGTGTGAGGATCATGCAAAGAAGACTTAGGTTTGCCCTCTGATGTTTGATCCACATTTGATGACGGGCTGCCTTCCGTTTTCTCTCCTGATGACACCAAGGAATGTTCCGATTTGATTTGTTCTTGAGCTGTCCACTAACAGTTAACAGAGCAAAAGAGTGAAACCAAGTTAGAAAAGATCATTTTAAGTTTTTGGGAAACTGCCCACCTACCCCTCGCCTAAGCCAACATTTTGCCCCAAGTGAGAAGCAAGTGTTAAAGTTACCTTAGGGGAGGGGTAGGTGGGCAGTTTGCTAGAGACTTATCGGATCATTATACGTTTCTAGAAAACTGCCCACCTACCCCTCCCCTAAGCCATTATGTGCAAGTACTAGTGCCAGCGCTCCCGCACGAGTTGCTTGTTCGAACCTTGGGTACCCAAAATGTAGCTGACGCCGGCTAATTTAAAATGTGACCCTGGTACAGACCCACCCCCTCTCCCCACAGAAAAAACTGAGGGGAGGAGGTGGAGGGTCTGTACACAGGCTATTAAAATGTGAGCGTACCAGTAAGGTTTTATCTTTTTAAAGTTGCACACTAACCTCTTCAAAATTGAAGTAACACGGTTTTGCCATGTAATAATGCTCCACGCAATCTGCTACAGTCTGAAAGAGGAAAATAGCTTGTGGTCATACACACAGTTACTACTCGTCGCATACAGCCGTTAAGGCCCGTAAGCAAGTTCAGAAGCACAGCAGACCTCCGTAATTGTGAATAGAAATTGTGAAGCAAATCAAACCAAGTAAATTTGATAAAAAAACGTCGTGGACGTGTATTTTTGACCTTTTAGGTCATTTTCCCCTTGCCGATACTTAAGGCCTGAAAAAGGTACCCATTTCGAGCAGAGCCTACCCCTATATGCCATTTTTAAGAAGTACACCTCCCCTATCCCCCCGAACGTACCATTTCTGGAAGGGGCTCGGCGAGCTTTCGGAATCTTTTGCCATATGTAGCCAACCTACATAGAAAAACATAAATATTGATCAAAGGAAACTCGGATTAAAAGAAATGACTTGATTCAGGAGCCCATCAGGGTAAAGCCATCGATCGGCTCCTGCTTGATTTTTTTTTTATACCCGCTTGCAAATTTATCATTGCTTTCTTTCGTCCATTTCTCAACAGCCTTTCGTCTTCGTTCCTTCTCTTCCTTAACTGGATCTTCAATTAACTCTGAAAATGATTAAAACAATCAATGTTTAAAGGAGCTGTGTCACGAAATTCAGCCAAATTAGGAAATTACAAAATGCCCGTTAAATTAAGAGAAACATAAAAATAACCGCTTGAAACGTTAAAGGAAGGTTAAAACAACATAACAGAAACAACAGATGCCACGGATGGGCAAAACTGAAGAAGATTGAAACGGATTGAAATGAGGGTTTTTGAAAACTGTTCAGCCCAACAGTTTTTTCAAAGTTGATCCCTGCTGCTTGCAACTTCAAAAATAATGCCGAGGAGACATATTTGTTTGTCTCAGATCTCTGATTTGGTCATTTACATGTATTTTCTTTGCTTACTTTAAGTTCCATAGCGATTGAGGGCAAGTAATTGGCAAAATTAAACAAAATGAACTGGACTGCCGTGACACAGCCCCTTTAATTTTCCTTTGCTTTTCAGTGCATGGTAATAGATGATAATGCGTTTGAAACGATTGAAAGCAAAATTTAAACCAAGGATAAATTATAATAATTGTACCACAGCACCCTTTCCTCCTCAGAGACTCCCGCTTGGTATCCCGATTAAAAATAGCAATAACCGAAAAACGGTTGAAGGTCGTTTCGAGCACGAGAAGTTCCGCCAACGTAACGTCCTGTTCGCTGACGTCTGAAGTCGTTTCGCATACGTTTTGGGTCAGTTCTCCAACCGCTTTCGCCTGATCAGTGGCTGAAAGAAAGAGGTATATACATGCGTATCGCACTTTTTTGTATCATGACCGAGAGAATGAAGCATATATATTCACAGCGCTCGTTCCGCTTCTTAGCGGAACGACATAAGACGTTAGCGAAACGACTCGTTGGCGAAACGGCCGTTTTTTTTCCCTTTCCATGATCCCCCGCGGGCTGCCTCTTTTCCCTCTTCCCAGGCTCTCTACGACACAAACAGACCTTTGCGATGGAGAGAGACCACATCATATAAAACAGGCTGTGCTAGTAACAGAACGGAAACGTCATTTCACGAGGGAAAAGCGCGTGGAAAGGACTAAACTCGACTTCCGGTGCGCAATTTACCGCTGTTTACAGTTGTTTGATTTGCGCGCGGTCGTCAACTGACGTTCTCGTTCTGTAGCCAAATCAGCCTTAGATACACGTGGCTCGTGGCTACGGGGCGCTTGCCGAGAATTAATTTAACAGTCCCCTGCTGCGGGCAACTCGATGTGCCCGCGGTATTCGCCACCCGTCGTGTAGGCGCTAGAGGTACCGCAGGTGCATCAAGACAAGAAAAAGCTTACCTTCGATATTTTTGTAATCAGCCGGTGCGCATGCTCTTCCTAAATCCTGGGAAGTGAGCTGGTTTATCTAAAATTACAGAACAGAACACATTATCATGTTGAGTAAAATTTTACAAGCCAAGTTCTGAAGTTTATTTTAAACAACTATTGAAATATCAAAAGGAGGTTTACTAGCTGCCCTATCTAGTTGCCAATGGTGGGATTGCGCTTCATATAAAGAAAAACAAATGTTTAAGTAATTCCAAAAGTTGGAAGGTGGTTTTAAAGACACACTTAAGATATGTTTGACAAATTTTAAACCTTATGATTAGCTAACCCTTATAGTAAACATTGTTTGGGTGCGGACAGCGGCAAGAAGGCAGAGAGCTAGTTTAAGAGCTACACGGTAAATCTGAGGATACATAAAGGTGATGTATGTATGCATATATGTTTGTATACATGAAATAAACATCTTGAAGGCGCGCACTAACAGCAGTCTATGTGAGACTTTGTTGAAATTTGCATTCTAATAACACACAGTTTTACTATTGCGTACCGAAAAGGCCTCCCGTTCCTCTCTTTCTTCTAATTCCAGGATGTCTTCATCAAACTGCATAGCGTTTCTTCTTTTCCTTTTGCTACAATATTAAGTCAATAGGCAGTTGTACCCAGTTCCCTCTAACTTTAAAAACAATTGATGTCAAAAATAGGTCGAGATAGGTCTTACCTTTTACCCGTTGTTTTTCTTTCCATTGTTTAAAGGAAGTTCACTTGAGCTTGTCTTAAGTACTGATAAAAATCTTCTGGACTTTTGCTACTAAAGTAAGTCAACTGTTCGCACGCGTCAGATCAACTGAAAACTGAACATCGATGTCACAAACCAAAATTAACGACTTTGCAGTGCGCGCGCGCAAGCACGCGCTGCCAGAAACGATGACAAACTCTGCGAAAGAATATAGCGGAAGAAATGAGAGATATTTGTCAGTTTGAACAGTGCGGGGAGTACGACTGACGCAGCCCTTTTTTTACTGACCAAAATGACAGATCTCCATAACCTTTTGTATACTTCTACTAGAGAAATCCCTACCCTTTCTTATACACTGGGACCTGAGCTAAGGGTACATCTTTCGAGTGGAAACTCTTCGCATAGGCCATTAAAGGGAGTACTCCCCGGGTATTAAATAGGCTGATTTAGCGACAGAACGGGGAACGTCAGTTGACGACGGCGCGCACAAATCAAACAACTGCTTTGACCAATGGCAGAGCGACAAATTGGGCACCGGAAGTCGAGTTTAGTCGTTTTCGCGCGCTTTCCCGTCGTCAAATGACGTTCGCGTTCTGTTGCTAAATCAGCCTATTGAGTAAGAGTTTTCGAGCCAAGTTTGTGCGCTTCACACAATCACTCACTAAACCAAGAGCTCCAGTTACACAGCTGTCTGGACAAAATTTCAGTCTCACTCCACTTCTCAAACAATATTGAGGTCAGGTTTCAAGGTTCTTTCTTCTTTTCGATGGCCAGCACGCACCATCTTGCCAAAATAGGTGAAGATGTTTTTCCACTTACAGTAGTTACTCAAAGACAAGATATCTAATTAACAATATTTATTGATTTAGCTAACTGAAAGCAATGTTGGTATGTACAATTATCTATGAAATATATTGTCCAACACGGATTTATCTTATATCAAAGGTAACAAAGTTAAACCATTTTTTGACATTAGTATTGTCAATTACAGCGATTTTAAAACATTAGGTTTTACAGAGAACGTATGTATACGTCAGTATTAAAAAACTACTCTCTTATTTAACGAATATTCGCATTAAAAATATCAATTGAGCACATGCAGACCTTAAAAACTTCACAGAAGACTAGAGTTAAAACCCGTGTAATAATCACGAAGCATGTCCCGCACAACGGTCCGACAGTGCTCTTACGCACTTAAAAAAGAGAAGGAAACTGGACCTAGTTACATTCCGCAAAGGCGTCTGGGTATGTTACTGGCAACAGTTGGCTGATACCTGACCGCCGCGATCCCAGAAACAACAGCGGGACACACTTTGGCTTCTAATAAGTAACGATAATGCCAAAATGCCCGCATTGTTAGTTGCATGAAATTAGTATAGGTAATACCATGATTTGTAGTGATATTTGGCATAAATACCACGAGTGATATTTCAAAATTGTTATTCGTAATTTTACGAGCCGTTAGGCGAGTGAAATTTGAGACAATTTTGAAATATCACAAGTGGTATTTATGCCAAATATCACGTACAAGTCATGCTATTATTTGTTTATACTACTACCCACAAAAGGTTTGTAATTTTCACATGTAGGTATTTCAAATTAAGCTGAAATACCACTGCTCTAAGCCAATCAAATTGCAGAAATTTCTGATGTAGTAGTATAAGAAAAAGAACTTACCCAAAATTAACAATCTGAGCAAATTATCGGAAAACTTTCAGCTTGGCTCTTATACGCAGATTTTCACTTTCTTCCTCTTCATAACGAAAATAGAAACAATTCTTATGCTCACTTCCAACCCTTTCACCCTGAAATATATCTTACAACATCTTTAAAATCTTTTCCCGTCTTTAAAAGATTAATTAGATTATTTCTTAACTAACTTAGTCTTAAAGCATTAAGAAAAGATGACGCACATAATGAACACATCACTTCTTCAGCAGTCAACACTTTGACGTTATCATGTAAATGAGTCTAATAATAAGTAACATTGTTCCACTCGAAACGGCACGCGAGAGGAAAACTAATCCGAGTTAACTTTCGCAAACACTTCTCGGAAGACCTTTTAAAGGAGCAAAAACTTTCAATTGGAGTACCAACACAAACGGCCCAATTCTGTTTTAAATTTGTATCGATTTCCAACCGTTTACTTTTAACTAAAACGATCAAAACCATTTATGATAATTAAAAATCCTCCTTAATCATTAAGAGGTCGCACTCGCACCGATTCAACGCCTGAAGGGTCGTTTACACGGGTGATTTTTATCGCGTGAAAAGAAAAGCGACTGTATGAAGAGAGATATTTTTGGTACATTTATGAACAATGAGCATAGGCAAACTATGAGTACGTAAATAGGGCGGACAGAATGCAATAAGTTTCGGTCATCGTTGCATGGACCTGGCGGCAAAGTAATTGCCAACAAGCAGATTACAGCTCTGATTGCGCGATAAAAGGGACCTTAAGATTGGACTACGAGCACGAGTTTCTTTCAAAAAAAAAATCCCGCGCTGCAGATGATCAGTTGTTCGACTTATCTTAACCCTACCGCGCTTTTACGTGCTAGTCGGCAGGAAAGAATTATAGTTCAATTTCCAAAGTTGTACTCGTAATCAAATCTAAAGATCGCCATTCCAACTTCGGAAACTTTAGGGAGAATAGTACAAGCTTCGAGTGCACTGAATTCTGGATCGTTTAGGTGGACAAGGGTTGGCTATGATTGGTCGACGGTACTCAAGGCAACCATTAACCAATCATAAGTGACGCTCGTCCACCTAAAAGATCCCAGAATTCGTAACGCCGAAAGCTTGTGCCCACTCTCCTCATAGTTTCTAATGTGGAAATAATCATCCGTGCAAACGGCCCTCAAGATCGGTTCAGCTAGGCTGAGCATGCGCATGAAAGGGTGAGACACGCCCCATGTTCTTACGCGTCCCGCACACTCGCGGGATGAAAACGACTGCAAACATTGATTAGTTGTCCTTTTAACAGCAATTTACTCATAATTGGCCACTGCCTGCGTATCAGTCAAGACTACTTCTGAGGATTTCTACAATTGCTTGCCAGAATATAGAGATTACACGGTGCGTTGGGGTGATCGGCAGGTTTGCTTTCCACCACCGCAATACTGTTGGAAGAAAAAAGAGGGAACAATTCTCACTCAGCCTGTCCCCGAAAAATTAGCAAATGCAAATAAGTAGGACAAGCGCAGGAGAACTTCAAAAAACAGTGGCATGGTTTGCTCCCCAATCTTCTCGTAAAGCGGATTTCGCCAGCGCCCCGTGGAACATTTGGAATGGAAGGAAAACGGCAGTCTTAACTGTTACTCACCTTTCGCAACCCAGGAGTCTGAAATTCCGTTTAGGATCGTTCATTTCCACGTTTACCTGGCAGAAATATATCATCATTAACAAAAAGCAATAACCAAGCAAAGCCAGGCAAGTTACCGACGATTTTGAATCAGTTTAGGTCTCTGGGAAACTGCCCACCTACCCCTTCCCTAAGCTATCATTTTGCCCTAAGTGAGAAGTCAGGGGAAGGGGTAGGTGGGCAGTTTCCCAGAAAGCTAAAGAATGAGTGACGATGATGATGACGAAGCTGGTTCAGGTTTATAGTAATTGATGTTGTTCGCCGGGGAACTTAAATAGTAAAATTTCAATTCTACTTGGAATCAATTTTACAAAAGCGACCAGAAGGCCCACCTTGCCACTATGCAGACTCCTTCCTTGTAATCCATGCTCATGAAACGCCAGCACACTTCCTTGTAAACAAACTGAAAAAAATCAAATAAACAGCCGTCAACTTGATAAAGGTGGAACTTGATCTGAAATAGGTGAATCCGTGTTGTATTTCATCCCTCATCCCCACATAACTAAAGAAGTGTTATCTTCACTGACATCGAAATGACCAAGCTTCTTTTCTTGCATCGTTCATCTCTTACTTAAAACCGTATTGCGATTTCTGGATACAATTGTGTTCATTAAATGTCCAATGACATTAAACCAAAGATAAATACGATAAACATTCTTCGACTAAATCCCTTGGTTTTCGTCAGTCCAATTACTTTGTTAAATTTCCAGTTACCGCGAGCACATTTATCTGCAGTATTTTTCTAGATAGGCGACTTGTCTTGAGGCCAGTCCACCTATGAGATCGATAAACACAACAGACATGAGTACACTTACCAACAGATTCTGGTTTTATGTCAAAGTGAATTTCTGACAGTTGCCTTCTAAACTGTTTGAGTTTTCCTTCAAGACTGACAAACCTAACAACCTCTGAACACACAAGTTAAGGTGAAAGAACGTCATTTAAATCCTTATGGACACGACGAAGAAGCAACTAACCCTGGCCAATTGACGAACCAAATCACAATCTTTTTTAACTTAATTATGTAAAAGATAAAAAAGCAAATATAATGGTTCTTAATAAGAAAGCAGTAATAAAACATCCCTATTATACTACTAGTATAGTGAGATCACTCCTATGGTAAACTGACTTCCAATAAATGTACATGTTCACATGACTTTTCTTGGTCTGAATTCCCCCACCTTTAAAATAAGGTCCACGTCAAAATTTCCATTTTTTCCTTCGTTTCGGGGGAAGGGGGGAAGAAGAAATCAACTGAAAATCCACTAAGAGACTAGACTGTTCTAGGCTCTCAGATGGTGAAGAAAGTCCAGATAAGAATTGTAGATGGAAGTACTACCTTCCTTCCTCTTGTATTTGTATCTCACTGAATGATTCCCTGGAACAAGCTAACAAGAGACCTCCCCAGAGGAGTTGGAGGGGAGGGGAGGGGGTGGGGGGGGGGGGCTAAAGGGTACCTCCCTTAGGTAAGCCACTGGTGGAACATGCATCATTACTTAAGAACGTTTTTCAACCAACAAAACAGTTTGATGTTGACATTATTAACTTACAACAAATAATAAAAACATAAAAATTAGGAATTTTAAAGTAGTCAACAAAAGGGAATGGTACTATCAAATGCTACAAGAACTGTGTCTTTCTCAAGGTGATCAACTGTGTCTGCATTGATTTTTTCTCCTGCAAGAACAAACAATAAAACTGTTGTTAGACACATTAATTGAATGATACAACTATCAGAACCAGCCTACAAAGCACAAATATCATTCACGCGAGAGTGCGCTAATAGTCATTTACTATTGACTCGCAATTCTTAAACCTTTTAAGTCACAATAGTGACCAACATCAATTTTCTCCTAACAATATCCATACATTGTCAAGAGATTAGGTTATGAGAATTAATAAAATGACCACCTAGGAGAAAATTCCTTGATCTTTTATCAAATTCTCTCAACTCATTCTTAACGGAAATATAATCAGTTTGGAGAATTTGTATGTAGGGTTAAATATGAATGCAAAGGCCCCAAACCAACCCCTTTCATTGCTTCCCGTGACTTGTGAACAACATAAAACAAGCAAATTCTGATGCTTGCCTATTCACGCAAGATTAATGTACTGCTCTCTTTAGACATACATGTACTTAAGAATTACTTTTTGATTATTATTACCTGTGGGTTCATCTACGAACCAGTTGGATAAGGAATTTAAATTTACACAATCAAAGTGAAGATCTCCATCAGATCTACAGTGAAAACAGAACAAACAGAATCAAACAAAACAAAACAAACAAGTGCATCAGCATTAGGTTAGCAGAGAAAACAAAATGAATGTTGTTCAGATACAACATTATTTAACAAATAGAACACAACTCAGTTTATGATCAGCATGAAGTTGCAATGTTGGTTCTGGGGTTACCATAAAGGGCCTTGATAAGGTCTCCAGTCAACAAGCTAATTGTTATTTTAAAACTACATGTAGCTGGTTCAAATGAGTGACACAAACACACATGCAAACTTGTGTACAAGAAAACATGTGTGAACTCCTGTGATACAAATGCAAGCATTGATGAAAGAAATAAAAAATGTCACACTTCTTGCATTACCACTTGTGCTTGCTTTTAACCAGCATGAATTGGGAAAAAGCAAACGTGAGCTCAGATGCAAGATGAAACACGGTCATCAGCCATGTTGTATGTACATGTATGCTACTCAAACTGAGACCAGTTTGCCAATGCACTGCTTGCATAAACCAGCCCTCGAGAGAAGAAAAAATCAGTGCACCATTCTGTGCTTACTTTTTTTTCACTCCGACACATATCAGTGGATACTCTAGGTCTGATATTACCAGTGGCTCAAATAATGGTGGAGGAGACGGAATATCGACGTCATAATACTGTGAAAATAATTAAAATACATGGACAATAACATCAGCTCTTTAGATTCTTATAATGATGGAAGCTGTTTCGTACATAAAGTGTAACCCTTTTGAATGATGGTCAGAGTGGCCAACATTTTAATTTCAATATCGAGGTCATGAGAAACTAATAAGATCAACATCATCAGAACCATAAGAAATGAATTCTCCTTTCAAGCATACAAAGGAAATATATGAAGAACACTTTAGAGAACATGCTTGCTGATATTAGGGGTTAGAAACCTTAACCCTTTAAGCCCTAAGACTGATCAGCATCACATTTCTCCTTGTAATATCAATGCTTTGTAAAGCAGAGTGGTCATGAGAACTGAGTACATGATCAGGGAAGATAAGTCTAATTGATTTCTCAACAAATTCTCCCTGCCACATCTATTGAAAAAGTATAGGGATAGTAAACGAGAATCTCAATTTAGATATTAGGGTTTAAAAGCTTAAAAGATTTTCTTCTCTCTTTGCTTTTAACTCTGTCTCTGCCCTTGCTAGAACCCTCCATAAGTAGTCTTTCCCCTGCAGCCATTGACTCTAATATCATGATGCATATTCTTGGCACTGTTTGTCATTTGATCAGAGAATTTGTATAAAATTATTGTTAGATTGTTCCTATAGAATGTAATACCTGAACTTTCATGAATCTGTGCCAAGGTTCATACCACTGGTACAACAAAACACTCTTCTGCATTGCCACACAAAGGTAGGTTTGACTGTTGTAAGGGTTATTTACTGAAACAAAAAACAAACAAAAATGTTTAAAAAGCAGATGAACATGAAATTAAAACAAACTTGAATCTTCGATACTGATATTGTTAAGAGAACATTGATGTTGGTCATTTGAAATGCATCAATGATCCCTTCTTTTTTATTCCAACAGGCCATTTGTGAGTTACCCAAGCCTCTATTTCAAAGTGACGCTTAGTGTGAGTTAGTTATTCTCATGCAAATATAACTCATTCTGATTTTCACAACAAAGGTTTTTATGCTTAGCCTCGTTTTGAAAGCAAGAGTTTTTGGAACTCTGAAGTGGCGTATTGGATTTCGAGCATGACAGATGAAAAGCTAGTCTGATGACTATGCTACCACTAAAATCATACTAATTTTATTTATTATTTTTTTTTATCAGAAATAACAACAGTTCCCTCATAAAAAAAATAATAAATGACAGAGTAAAAATCAATAGAACAAAGGACACAGTTTGAAAATAATATTTTCATGTCTTACCAATACAGCATTTTGTACAGCCTCTAGTTTCAGACATTCTGTTGTTCCTGTTGAAAAAAGAAAACACCTATTGTTTTAAACATAAACACTTGCAATATTAGTTATGCATAATAAATTAGATTAGGCTATTTGGAAACACTCCCCACATTTTCGAAAAAAGTACCTAAGTAACTAAAACTGGGATTGAAATGACTCTTACCTTGCTACTGTTTGAAAAAAGGCCTGTCTGTCATGAAGAGTATCTAAATTTTGCATATAAACACAGTTGGGGGAACCTAGAAAAACAAATTGATATCTTCAACAATATTCTCACAATGTAGGCCCTTCCCTGAACTGGATCAGCTTACATTCAAAGCATGCAATACAAACACTACAGTGTAACAGATCAGAAAGTCCAATCTTCCATCTGGAATTTTTCCAATCGCAACAAGTGAAATAAGATGGTTTACACAGTCATTCCAGTGAGGTAAAATCCTTAAAGACCAACGTGGGAGAAACACAAACAAAGAACTCAACAAAAGCATGTCTTGACACATTGATTAAAGCTATCAAGAATGTAATATAATGGACATGGATTTACTTTTATTAAAATCATACCTTGAAGGGATACCATATGACTTTGAAAAACTGACAGCCATGTGCACCTCCTTGCAGAAATCTACGAAAAATGGAATAATCTATTTTAGACTACATCATGCTACTGGGGGGTTCTGCAGTACAAGGATTATTCTATAAAGGTGGCAGAGGGAGGGGAGAGACAGCATGCATGGATACAATTACACAGACAAAGGAGCAAGGTACTTTCTGGAGGCCCCATGTTCAAGCCACACCCATACTGCCAGATTTTGTGTCTTGGAAGATCAAATTTCAACTCCTCAGCTGCCTTTTTGGTACCTCCTTCCAACCACCCAACTATTATTTAAAAGCATTTTCTCTGATCATTTTCTCTGTTCTTTTTAGAGACATCCAATAACCAAATTCAAACAGACCAACAGAATTAAACTGAAGATGCTTTATAAGTTATTACATCTGAATTAAAATTTTGCACTAACCCCTGGTTAATAGCTTAACCCCTCTTTGAACAACCCGACCCAGGAGTTTATTTCAGCCAAATGCCAGTCTGTAAATTCCTCTTAAACCCATACAACCCTGAACAAAATAGCTGAGACACTCGGATGATTTGCCTTGTCTCCTCATTAAAAAGTTTAAAATCAACAAAGCTTTACAAAACTGGTTGTTTAAACAACACTTTGATAGGATGAGGGGTCTATACTGTCTATGCAAAGAAAATATGAAGAGTCCCAACTTTTTTTAGCCAGGTTTGTAGTTGCCACCCATATTATTAGGGTTTCCATTATTAGAAAGGAGTTGGTGAGCCAAGAATGAAATGAGCCCCTTACCTTCCCCCTAAAAAACATGTTACCTGCTCTAAAACAAACTGGCTTTGAAAATGAGCACCTTACCCTCTCCCTGACAAACTTGTTACCTGTTCCATTTCTAACTGGCTTTGAAAATGAGCCCCCTACCCTCCCCCTAACAAAGTTATTACCTGTTCCATTTCTGCTTCATGTAATTGTTCACTAAAGTTGAGTGAATAAATACCCTCCTCTGCCCCAACTATGATGTGCTTCTCTACACAGGGGAAAAAATAAAAAAAATTAAAAAATAAAAATATCAACATAAAATCAAAAGGTAATATCACGAAGAAATAATTGCACTTCTCATACTCCACTTAGTGAGTGGGTGGGAAAACGTCCATAATGACGGATGCTACAAAAACTGCCTGCCAGATTAACATGACATATTCTTACATCCAGTGGGGATGTGAAAAAATATACAATTTATTTACACTTATCTAGTTCCACTCAGCCAGCAAAAATTAAATTGCACTTATTGCTATTAAAATAATTATAGCAAATTACTGCATGGTAGAGGAAAATGGAGCATGTCCTCTTTTTCTGTTTTTAACACAAAAATAAACAAACGTTTCATCTAATATTCAAACACCTCAAAATTGAACTTAAAAAGGATGGATGTGCCTCATTTTTTCAGACCGCTAGTCTTGATGGTGTCTGGGTAAAGCTGTGTTTGATACAATAATAGTAAAAACCAATTATCTTGAGAATCTCCACAAATTTTTGATTAGCTTAATTTTTATCTGTAAAAATGCCTACGTATTTGTCTTTAATACCTCTAGTGTTAGGATTAACCCAGAGACCAGTACAATAGATGTGCAGTGGACACTCATTGAAGATTTTGGAAAAACAAGTTGTAACTTGCTGTGAATATGAAAAACAAATCATATATTAATTAGGGTCGCTAATGAACTTGGTGACAGTAACTTTTAGTACTAGCTCTCTCTCACTCAGAAGGATAATCACACCTACAAAAATATGGCAAACTCATTGAGCTAATAATATCACAAAACAGAAACACCTCCTGATATTAATTAATGACATCAAAAAAACAAAATCAGTAATCAGTCATGGAGCAAAGTTGGTGGAGTGCTGAGAGTACCAGGGTTTTCATTAAGAATTCTAGTAGCAGGAGAAAGGTGTAACGTTACTAGAGAATTTTTTGAAAGAGGACCCACGTCTTTACCCTTGGAGTACTCATCTCCCACCAGTGTGACCCAAGTTTGTATAGCAGTGTCAACATCATACATGTACATGTTTGTGAGTTGAGTTGTACCCAAGGCTGTCACTAAGATTTCAGGTTGTCAGGTAACCTGAAGAGTAGGCAGGGAATTGAACAGCTATGAAAACATCATCACTTTAATAGCATTAAGTTCTTGTATCTCAGAATTTCGGCTATATTATAACCTACAAACTGTATTACACTAATTATACGAATATAACAACTGACAAGATGTAATTCTTAGAGATGATAACAGCTGTCAACAAAAGGCTAACAAGTTCTGTGTTTTAACTCACAGAAGCTCTTCTGGCAGCAGATGGTCTCCCTGGATCAGATGAACGAGCTCCCACAGGTGGCTTCTATTATAAGATAAAATACCAATATTGATTTTGTTGAAGTGTCTCAAGAAAATTTTGCTGAAATAAAAAGTTATTCAAAAATACAGAGGAGGATATCCCTATTTCCAAGTAAAAAAATTACACATTTTTTATTATGTTGTACGAGGTAGTTCTATCATTTGAGCCTGCGGATGAAATCCTATGGCGTGACCATTCAAATGAAAGCTACTGAGCAGTGCTTTCCTGTGGTACTGTTTATTATGCTGTACAAGGTGGTTCTAACTTTTGAGTCTGTGGATGAAATCCTATGGTGTGACCATTCAAATCAAAGCTACCGAGTAGTACTTTCTTGCCGTACCCTATGGTGTGACCAGTCAAATGAAAGCTACTTTCCTGCTGTACATGATGTGAGTATGAAAGTTTAGGTATCCACTACAGTAATATTACTTGCTGCAAAACTTTATAATACGTACTGGTGGTGGAACATTCGGAGGTGGTACTCTGTTGATAGCATCAGCATCAGAGAATTTCCTCTGTCTTTCAGGCACTGCTTTTGTTTCTTGATTGCTAAGTGCCCGAACTACCTTGAGGTGACCAGGTTTTGGAGGGGGAACAGGTTTGCTTTTCAAACTTGATTGAGGCACTTGATAGTGTGAGTTCCGTTGCTGTAGGTTATTTAAAGAAGACAGCAACAAAAATGCTTCAAACTATCTGCAAAATCATCTCAAACTTTTCCTTTAAATATGCTACAAAACTAAACATTATGTGGCATAACTTACTGTCACTAACTTCAACCAAAAACCAAAACCTCTTTTTCTTGAATAAGCATTATAGATGCAAGGGCATAATTTTTTTTTCTTCCTTACAAAACTCAATACTAATATTACTATAACACATTTATTCATCTAGAGACATAATTGCACACTTAACAAGTGAAAACGAAATGAAACACAGTGTAGATGCCACAACTATTTTCATAAAAACGTGGCAAAACAAACCAAATCTTACATGCTGTTTAGGGGGCAAAGGAGGAGGTTGTTCCTCTTCTCCAGCCTCTTGAAGAACTTTCATAGTTCCACTATCTTCATCACTAAAACAAAACAGAAAATAACATCTGCATCTTTGGCACGACAATGCATAGTTGTGAATTACAAGATCACATTTTTTGCTCCAATAATACAGACTACAATCTCTTGGTGAATGTCTCTATAAGAGGGACACCTTCCTGGAACAGATACCACACATTAATCCCTTTCGTTCTTAGGTCATAGGAGTCTGTCCAAGAGAAATGTTATATCAGCTAAAAGGGTTACAAGCTTGATGTGTAGAAAGTCTTTCTAAAATGTGCCACTATTTCAAATGCCATGAATTGACGAGCCCACTTTTAGGCCAAAACAATATCAAAAATTATTATTATAATAGAATGGGGAAATTAGGAAAAAATTAAGTTTGTCACAAAATTTTTGGCAACCGACCAGTCCATCAAGTTCACAGGATCACCTTGGTGCCTGGGGGCAAAGCCAAGATCAAGACCATAAAGTGACCTTTACCTTGGGAAATGGGGTTGTGGTATCTGGGTTGCAAAAATAAAACCCAGCTTTGTGGACACCCGCTTAATAAAGACACTTCATTTTTACAGACAGTTTGCTTTATCTCTGGGAAAAGAAAAACCTAGTTACATTTACAAAGTCCCTGTTCTGTTGATAAAAAGAATGTCTGGGTCTGTAGTGAGCAGTTCATGGGGGCGTTTTCTACTTGCCCCTCCATGAAACAACCTCATTAATCTATAATGAACCCCCGGCAAGAGTAGCTATTTTCTAGGTGACTTGTATGTTACATAAGTAGCATTGTCTTTTTTGTAATGTTTTTTTTCTGTGTGGTATAAACAAAATTTCTGTTTTCTCTTGTCCTGTCTTGTCAACGCGCTTAATACAGACACCTCATTGATTAACCCTTTAAACCCTAGAGTGATCAGCATCAAATTTCTCCTTGTAATATCAATGCATTGTAAAACAGAGTGGTCATGAGAATTACGGACATGATCACACAAGATGAATTTGCTTGATATTTTATCAACTTCTCCCCACTGCTTCTGTATGAAATGAATAGGGGCAACAAATGAGAATTCAGATTTTGATCTTAGGGTTTCATGGATTAATAAGGACACTTTCGATGCCCCTCCCCCCCCCTCTATTGCCATTTGAACGGACAATGAAAATTGTCCTTTCTTAAAGATTTCAGGAGTGTACTTACTTATTCATTGCAACTTCTCCATTCACTGTCTTTTCTGATCCATTGTGAGTCTGTTGTTAACACAAATAAGATAAATGAGTTAAAATATCATGAAATAAATCTTTATGCTTTGCCTAAGTATGTACGTATGTGACCTTAAAGTTGTGCTAGCTTTCTTATAGAGGTGGAAATTTAACTGCTTAAAACATACATGATTAGGGACAACCACTTCAGTGCCTGTACACTGTACCTAAGTCAATAAACGAGTCATAACTAAAACAAAATTCTCCAATCTGATTGGCTAAGAGCAGCCTTGATTTCAGTAATGATAAAATAGCCTATTGGACAGTACAGGTCACTCCATCACCCTGCAATAGTACAGTTCCACTTGAATGTCTTTGATCATGTCTCAAATTCTCTTACGTAATTCCGCTAGGAAATGTATGTAGAACAGTCATGACAATTTGTATGTTAAAGTTGTCTCTTACTACAAATCAATACCTGATCGTGGGTGCTTGTTTCATGTTCAACTTGCACGCCATCCACTGCAAAAAAGAAAGAAAGAAAATAAACAACAGCTTGACCTTAGATTTGTAACAATGCTATGTCTCATTGTTGTCAATTTGCTACTTACATTTTCCATCAGTTGGCATGCTACTTTTGTCGTTGTTCTTTTCCACAGCTTTTGTTGATCGTATTCTTGTTAAAACCTGAACATTCTGCAAATCACAGATAAAAAATTCACTATTCTAGTCCAGCCTCGAAACATCTGTTTAAATACCAATCAATAGAGTTCTAAAGTGGTGACGTCATAAAAATTAATTTGTGAAATTATGGGACTTGTCAAGCTATTGTCAAAGAACAACGTCCAGACGCTTTCTTGCCAAAAATTAGCATTTCAGGGCAAATTGTCTCTAAGGATATTAGCCCAGCTATGCTCTGATAACTCCATACAAATCCTTCTAAATTTGTCTTAGGTCTAAAAGTTTAGACCCAAGCCAAATTAAGAAGGATTTGTATCAAGTTATCAAAGCATAACTGGGCTAATATCTCAGAGACAATTTGCCCCACAATGCTAATTTTTGGCAAGTAGGCATCTTGGATGTTGTTCTTTCAGAATGTCTTGACAAATACCATAATTTGTCAAATCTAATTTTTATGACGCCATACTTCAGTACTCTATTGCCCAAAACAATAAACTTTCAAACCATACTGCAATAAAAAAAACTTTGAACTAAATAGCCCTAATCAAAATAGACTAATGAAAATTTACTTATTCCAAAGCATCTGAGCCCACAATAGTCATGAGATACTGGTCAGCAGATGCACCATTTTGGCAGCTCTCAGCTGCTATTGATATGGACAGCATTATATACAGTATCAGTTCATAAGAGCCATACAATATCTTTGATGTGTGGCTCTGTACTATGAAACATGAAATATTAACAACCACAGTGTGTTGCATTCAGGAGTACAATCCAGAAAACAAACTTCTTGAATCTGTAACAAGTAATGTCACCTCATCAACTACATCCTCTTCATCCTCTTCCTCTTCTTCTTGTTGTCTCAGACGATTTCCTTTCTTTTGTGATTTAGCTTTAAAGGTGTCCATCAAATCCTGTGTCACTGCTTTTGTATATCCATGGCAACAGAAAGGCATCTGACATTAGGTAAGACAGGTTTAACTTAGTATATTAAAATAACTATGATGACTCTTCTGTCCTACATGTAACAATATCTGGCATTTTGACACCAAGAAATAATAATAATAAATATTAATAAGTATTTAGTGATAATAAATGGCAGTAAAAAATTTTACTAAAAATATAATCTGTGAATGGTGTAAATAAATAAAGTGTCATGTTGTTAATGATGATGATGATGATGATGATCTTGAAAACAAACAAACCAAGGAAAAATAACAAAAATAACACAAATAAACTATCAAAGATCAAACAAATCTTACCATCAACATTTTATCAGCTGTTGGTCTTTTCTTGGGATTTTTGGTGAGTGCTGCTTTTATAAAATTGTGCAGTTCTACTGACCTGCAAATTGGGATAACACTCATTCTACTACTTGCCTTTGTATGCAAATATAAAGTTCATAGAGTCAGAGAAAATTTGACGACAACTTTACCATTTTTCTTTTTCCTTTAATGTTGGTGGAACAAAACTTCTTTTTCCAATCATGTATAACGCTCTGTTAGAATGGAAACAGTACAGAACAAGAGAATAATGTTTGTACATGTATCAGTTGGCAACATATGAAATTCAACAAGAATTTCAACTAAACAATTTTTTAACCCCTCCTCTCAGCACAGGCACCTTGGCTTTGTGACAAAAATATGACTCATGCATGTAATAAGGTAGCATAATTATTTTCAATGATACAAATGAAATGGTGAAAATACTGTATGACCTCAACAAAATAAAATAATTATGTGATGAACTGTAGACATGACTGATAGTTCTACTCTTTACACAATTGCATAAATTGCATTCACTGCGTCAATCATTTCTTCATTTCCATTTCATTTCCGCAGCTCATATATGATTTATTTCATATTCATTAACACTCGTTTCTTTCATGGGAACATATGAACCCACAATTGACCTGCTCCCAACGTTAGTGGCTTCATAGCTCAGTTGGTAGAGCATCGCACCGGTAATCACGAGGTCACGGGTTCAAACCCCATTGAAGTCCTGAATTTTTTTTTCAGGCTTCTTTACGAAATTGCATAAATTGCGTTCACTGCGACGATCATTTGTTCATTTCCAGTTCTACTCTTTCCCAACTGCTCACGGAAATAGAGATGATGCACTTTGGTTAAACATAGCTGTTACAGGTTTGATTGAAACAGTCTGGTCTTCCACACAATGACAACAAAATTGATATTATTGCACAGTTCAGTACTGTTGGGCTAATATTGGCATACTTGAATTTTGAAGATGTCAACAAAGGAGACATTAAAATAATACAAGCGCAGAGCGGAGATTTTAATAAGTTCTACTTAGAAGAGCTAACCTCATGGGGTGCAAGTCAAACATAGGAGGTTGAAGTTCAGCTAATTCAATAGCTGTTATTCCAACAGCCCAGATATCACACTGAAAAAGTAACAGAACAGAACGTGAGTTGTTAATCACAAACATGGCATGGGAAAATCTTAACATATTCTCAGTTCATTACGTTTCCGGGAAACTGCCCACCTAGCCCTCCCCTAAGCCAACATTTTGCCCTAAGTGAGAAGTAAGTGTTAATGTTGGCTTAGGGGAGGGGTAGGAAGGCAGTTTGCCAGAAACGTTAAATGATTCAAAATTTCTTACTTTTAAGTCATATCCTCCTGTTCTTTCCACTGCTGCCATTTCTGGTGCCATCCTTTGGGAAAAAATAAAGCAGTAACTTAGAGGTAAATATCACAAGATCAAAAACTTGGGAGAGCTGATAATACGTTATATATTACTAATGAGTTTACTGATGACTTGCAAAAGAGAACACGTGTACTTGAAATTTATAATCTCATCCTCATTAGGATAGGAAGGTTAAAGCCAGTATTTCAACTAAGAAGAGTTTTCTTTTTCACTTTCTCCTTATAGCAGGAATGGTATGGTTGAACATCAATTAAAAATTAATTCAATTTAGTTTTCGCATTCTTTATAGAAAGGTCTAGGGCTGATGTTGCCACGTTTGCAGAAGAGGGTTAATTCCAAGATAATTACATGTATGACTTTCTCTATTCAGCAAACAGATTTGTTTTCTACTCACCAGTATGGTGTTCCTATAAATGACTTTCTTTTAGCCAAGGTATCAGATATTCGTGCTGCTATTCCAAAATCAGCTGTGGACAACACAAGATTTATATATTTTCAGTTAAAGGAGCTGTGTCATGAAATTCAGCCAAATTAGGAAATTACAAAATACCAATTAAATTAAGAGAAACGTAAAAATAGCCGCTTAAAACATTAAAGAAACCTTAAAGTAACACAACAGTTACAACAGATGCCACGGATGAGCAAAACTGAAAACAGATTGAAACGGATTTGATTAGGGTTTTTGAAAACTGTTCAGCCTAACAGTTTTTCAAAGTTGATCTCTGCTGTTTGCAACTTCAAAAAAAATGCTCAGGAGACATATTTGTTTGTCTTGAATCTCTGATTTTGTCATTTTCATGTAATTTCTTTGCTTACTTTAAGTTCCATAGCGATTGAGGGCGAGTAATTGGCAAAATTAAACAAAATGAACTGAACTGCCATGACACAGCCCCTTTAATTCATGTATTGGTGTTACGGATCAAGAACATGTACAAATACGTGTACACCAATGGGAAGAACTGCTTTTAGAGTCTTGTCAAGCCTCTGCTCTAGAGGAAGTGTCCACTCAACCCAGCTAACATTAATTTTTTTCTTGGGTGACTTGGAAACTTAACTTGTGGTTTCTGCATAAACCAATACTTTTTACATACATGCTGGGAATCCCGATTTTTGTGGTTTGAAGGTTTGGACTCCCTTCTTCATACTAACAAGGACCTAAAAATGTGCCATGCTTTCTCATTCTGTTCAAAAGTAACTTCAATAAATCATGCCACTCTTAACTTTTGTTTTTAATTCACCAAATGTAAATTTAGATTTTGCTAGTAAGGTTTGAAGGGTTAAAGATCGGCTCACCAAGCTTCACACTGCCTTGCGTTGTCAAGAGGATGTTTGCACCCTAAAGAAAAAATCTTTGCATTAACAAAACATCCAATGTTGAATGTCAGTTAACTACAAGTATCAGTAGCGTTTGACTGCATGATGGTTTGCTTCAGCTGCAATCCTGGTCAAAAGGTTTGGGACACTTTGGGAGATGTAAATCAAGTTAATCCCCTCCCCCCCCCGCCCCCGCCCGCCGGACAGTGTTGGATGCTAAAAGGCAAAATACCCTTTACACATCTTGCACAGGTTACGGACCTCAACTTTGATCAGGGGGGAGATGGCAAAGAAACCTAAGTTTAACACTTACATCTACTGTATATATAGCCTACCCCTCACATTTAAGGATTATTGGCTGGGTTGGTCAGCAAAACAAAACAAAACAATAAATAAATATATAAAAAGAAAGAGGAAAGAAAAGTTAACTTCATATTCTAATAAACAGGTAGATGATTTAGGCTTTTTACACGGGCTTTGAAAGTATCTAAAGAGCAGTGTTTGCTAAAGACAGAGGCAGGCAAATTTCTTTGTTCCACTGAATAATAATTGTTGTTGAGAAAAACGATAGATACTCAGAGGACGGGCTAGTGTGAAGCGGGATTAAACTTTTAAACTTTCCGAATGGGGTGTGAGTTAAGGCTGTGTTTATGAGTTTGTAGTGCCAGTTTGCAGCAAATTCCATACACAAAAGAAGCCAGCCAGGATTGTGGTTAAGGCTTTGTTTATGAGTTTGAAAATGCCAGTTTGCTAATATAGTAAAAATTCCCTAATAAATAAACTAAAAAAAGAGGTAAAAAAAAAAAAAAAAAACAAGCATACGACTTTCGTCCACAACCTTTCAGCCAGGACTGTGGGTCCCAATGTTTTTTTGTTTTTGTAGCATTTAAGGTTTAGTATACGATGATCTTAAATTATAATTTGATGTCCCTGAAATATATGTGCATCATGTATTGCCTTATAGGTTAAAATTAGCACTTTGTATTTCCTAAAAGACAAGATGATGTCCCAGACCCTGAAGAAAAACAAAAAAAACAAACAGTTGTAATGCTTGCAACAAAAAAATTGTCTCAAATTACACCATGTAATATCTGTTGTTGTGCAGAGTCCACTGATGTCCAGGAGCCTGTTTCTTGAATATAAAAAACCCCAGAGTAGAGCAGGTCCAGGTCATCAACTGATATTTCAATGTAAGTTTCAAAACTGATCATACTTAAATCTAGAATGAAGACCCCAGACCCCAAAGGAGCCACAGGAGACCTAAGAACTTCCCTGGGAACCTTGTGTGATGGTCTACCTGATTTTGGTTCGGTCGTTAGTGCCTAGCTTGTAGTCCTCACAGAATGATTACATTTTATTCCTTCAGTACCGTTAATTTGCCTCTTTTGAAATGAAAAGAAAATGAAGCTGTGATAACTTTTGCAAAGACTTATATGACTGTTGTTAGGGACAGGGAAAAAAATGGCCAATAGCTGACCAGCATGTCTCCAGTAAGTAAATATGCATCAGGAATGCACTTCAGCTCCAGTTCCCTTCTCGACTATTTTAACCCTTTAAGCCCCAAGATCCACCAGCAAATTCTCAAGACTGCCCTTCATACAATTCTCATAGAATAAGTTGAGAGAATTTGTTAAAAGATCAAAGCATTCTCCCTTTAGTGATCATTTTATTTAATTCTCATATCCTTTTCTGTTGAGTATGTATTTGATATTGTTACATGTAGGAGAAAATAATTATTGATGTTGGTGACTCTTGAGACTCGAAGGGTTAAGTGGTGAATGAGAAGTAAAACAACAAAATACCTTCAGTGTTTCTACACAAATAAAGGAAATATGACTTTCGGAACATGGTCCTGTAACTGAAATAAAAAAGAAAAAAAGCAAAATAAAAAAATAAATACACATAATAATAAAAGTATGGCACTAAACCATAAAAATGAAATTCACATATATATAAAAAAGTTTAAAAACTTGATTAATTCTAGAGATTCATTCAAAATTTTCCACTTCTGATGCCTAGTGTTGAAATAGAGAGAATGACTGGTCTGAACGTCAAAATGTTAACTTTTACATCTGACATTGAGATTTCTGCCCCTGTTGTCTTTGATTGCCACATGGAGTGGAACAGATAATAATTATTAATTTTGAGGACTTTATAATAGGGAGTTTTTGAACACTAACCACAATAAATATCTTGAACCGAGCCTCCGCCACAAAACTCCATTGCTATCCATAACTTGTCCCTTCTAAAAAAGGTAAAAAAAAAAGGTAAAGAAGACAAACAAACAAATGTTAGAAATAAAATAGAAAAAAATATACATTGAACTTTTCAAAATTCCTAAAACTAGCACTTACTGCAAACAAAAGTTTAATTCTATTTTGTTGAAAGACAAAGTAAACTAAGAATTTATTATTAGACTTAGTTGAAACTGCTTTAAGCTAGACGTACACTGTGAATGTAAATTTCATTTTAAACTTCAACATAAAATAATATGTTCTAATGGTGCTGGTGATGCACTGGACGTTTCGCAACCATTAGATTTGCATTACTGTCTAAGCTGTAGGAATGGGCCAATGTTTATATTCAAGATTTGCATTACAAATTTCAACAACTTCATTAGTAGCTAATTACTTGAAATCTTGATTGGTCTTCATCATATTCCGAACTTAACTCAGCAAGTAGCATACCTGAGGTAACTACCCATATACTGGATAATATTAGGGTGTTGACAGTGTTGCATCATGGCAATCTCTTGCTGAATTAGCTCAAAATCATCTCCTATGAAAACATTAAAGTTGAATAAAAAACAATAAGGAATCTTTTCGAGAATCTTTGGAAATCCCCTTATTTCGGGTACTCATACATATGTACACCTTGATCATTCTAACCTAGGTGTCTATTCTCTCTCGTCCCCTCTCTAAGAAAGGAGGAAATGTGCTTCAAAGGAACACATTTTGTCAATTCAATATACAGGCATCTCTTTTCCATGGATACTGCTCGGATTGGCGTAAGTGTTCATCTTGCCTTATGGCAAGTCAAAGGAAATGACTGAAAGATTGCAGGGATGAACTCAAGTTGTCTTTTTCAAAGAGATGTCCTTTGCAGCATTATCTTTAGAAGTACACCATCTCTGGGACCCATTTGTATGTATACTGCTAGGTGAAGAGAATTTAAGGGGAGCAAAGTTTCTTGTCTAAAGAAACAATGCTATGACAAGGCTTGGATCCACATCTATCTAAATCATTACGTTAGTTGAGAAAGAAGTGGCCCCGGACAACCAAAATGTGAGAGCTGCTCGCCCAAAAGACAAGCTGGAATTCAAATTTTTTTTTTGAGCCCTGTAATTGCCAAGAGACAGCATGCTTTATGCATACAGGTTGTGGTTCAATTTCATTCCTGTTTCAAATTTTGGTTTCCATCAGTTTGTTTTACAATAATTAGTATAGGTAATAACATGATTTGTAGTGATATTTGGCATAAATACCACGAGTGATATTTCAAAATTGTCATACAAAAAAGTTTGAGTTTGAGTTTGAAATATCATGAGTGGTATTTATGCCAAATATCACGTACAAATCATGCTATTATTTGTTTATACCACTATCCGCAAAAGATTTGTATTTTTCACATTTAGGTATTTCAAATTAAGGTGAAATACTACTGCTCTAAGCCAATCAAATTGCAGAAATTTCTCATGTAGTAATATAATAATTATTGTATGTATCATATGGGGTTTGAAATACAAGAAAATAAAATTTTAATCAAGGTGAAAATTAAGCCAAAATACATGCAGCATGTGACAACTTCTGGTTATGCAAAAATGAAAGTTTGAATTTTTTTCAGTTTTGGGTAGTCTGGAGAGAAAAATAAATGGATCTATAGATAGTTTAATGACAACAAAAATATTGCTATCAGGAAATTCTTAGCTTTTATTATGAATTGTGCCATTTTCGTGACTGAAAAGCCTGCCAAAATTAATGTCATGGAATGACGTGTAAACATAATGTGAAAGCATTTTAGATTCATTAAGTTACAGCTTATTGACAAAAGAATTTTACGGTCTGCTAAGAGCAGAAAAAAACATTGACATGTGATTTAATGATTATTGTATGGTTTCTGCTACAATTTTGCAAAGCTTAACATGATCAAACTGCAAGTTCACCCTTGAAGATTTTATTAATGTTGTCGTGAATAGATAACCAGTCGTGATAACTAATTAATTAATGTTGAAATGCAAATTAGTACAACATCAAACTTAAATAGGTTGTATCATTATCTTCGCTTTTTAAACTCCCACAGTGCATTCTTAAAGCTTGCATCAGTCCAGGTTGTTTTTAATCACGTTTTCACTGATTATGGTAATTCTTGAGCCACTATTTTAGCTCAACTGGCAAATAATATACACACTCCCCAGATATTAAAAAGAAACTTGGTTTCCACAATATTTTTAGCAAAGGAGGAAATATTGAACATCGGTCACCAGATAATTTGCATGGAATAAGTCGATGAGTTGAAAATGTATTCAGTTTCTAAACTAACGTTGGTGTACATTAGTTAAATATGCCTTTAAGTATCAAACTAAGATGAGCTCAGTGAATTATGCAACAATAACTAAACAATACCATGTTTGGAAGCCTTTAGACGGACGTTAATTGAGCAGCAAGCTGCATTCGTGGTGTAAATGACACTTGAAGATCACGTAAACGCAAGAACTATTGGGTTTTAGTGCTACAAATCCAATGGTCCTTCGTCACTTTAATAAAAATGGCCATGCAGCAGTTAAGAAAAGACTTAAATCCCTCTTTAAACTAGCTTAGAATTAACCAGTCATTCAACTTGCCTGGCTCAATCTTGACAACTTTCACCGCCGATAGTTCTCCGGTAGCAATCACTCTGGCCTAGAGTTGGAGTTAAATTTCAAATTCATTGAGTGGAATTAAAACATGCTACAAAACAGGATTCAATATATCGAAAACGCAGGAACCACTCGTTTCAAAATAAATAAACCAGAAGATACAAACCAACCTTGAAGACATCTCCGTAAGTTCCTCCCCCGACCTTCTCGATCAAGTCGAACACCTTGTCCGGGTTTCCGCGCGATATGTTTGCTCTCAACGGCGTGCTCATTTTACTTTTGCCTGTTTAGCTCGTCATCAAGTTCAGTAAAAATTTCATGGTTACTTCAATATTGATTCACTGTGAATAGTCACCACAGTTCTTTCGCCAAAATTTGGCGGAAGGACATACGTTGACTTTCTCAGTCACATCCGCTACCGTGAGATCCGAAAACGTACCCCACCGCATTCCAATAGTTACGAGTCACTTACGAAAATGTAATCGCGGTCCCGAGAGAATCCGAGAATACAACGACAATTAATCGACTCATGTTAGGGACGGACCATGAGAAAAGTTATGAGAGGGGAGGGGAATATTTGAGCTGCAGGAATTTTTTTCGTTATCAAATTCTTTGTATGAATTTTTTTTAGGCCATAGCATGAACACTTTTTAGGATAAAATTAGCGTGCAAGAATTTTTTTTCATTTAATTTTCCCTTGCGCGAATATTTTTTTGTACTTCGCCCGCCCCCCTCCCCCCACCCACACCATATAAGTTTTCTAATGGTTAATGGTCCAGGTCCCTAATGACGGTAAGAGGAAGCAGGCCTGGTCGCTAAATCGAAAAGAAAAACGAAATTTTATTTCTTCTGTGGCCCGATGTGTTTTGCAAGCAAAAGCGATATTATTTATCGCAGGCTTATCTTGTCATCGTTCTTTTCGAAAGGATGGGGTGATGTAAAAGTCTATGAACGACTGTTAGAAGCACGGAAAGTCGTGTCCGATAGGACAAAAGTTAACGCGCTAATTCCTTCAGATTATCCTGTTGAACTAACGAAATCGTGGACGAAAGACGCATGTTACATTGCAGAAGGACATTTTGTTTCTCCATTAGCTGAATTCTTTCCAGGATTGTTGCCCAAAGAAAGTGAAAATGCTCACTTTCAGATCATCGTCCCGAAAAAGTGGCCCAAAAAAGGACGAAAACCGTTATGCCTTCATCTAGCTGGAACAGGCGACCATTATTTCTGGCGAAGGAGAAATCTAATGGCTAAACCTCTTGTCAAGGAGCACGGCATTGCGTCGATCTTATTAGAAAACCCTTTTTACGGATTAAGGAAACCGAACAAGCAAGTTCGATCAAGTCTAAGACATGTCGCGGATTTGTTTGTTATGGGTGCTGCACTAATTCTAGAATCACATGTTCTACTTCATTGGGGCCGCCGCCAGGGTTACGCCCCCCTGGGAATTACTGGGATATCCATGGGGGGACATATGGCTTCCCTTGCATGCACTGCTTGGCCTGAACCACTGGCTATAGTACCCTGTCTGTCCTGGAGTACAGCATCTTCAGTCTTTACACAGGTAGATAAATGTTGAGAGCTCTCATTAAGGCCCGTTACTCTGAGCTTACCTGATGTTACAGGTGATCAAAGTGGAAAGCTGAAGGTGGCACTATGAATTTTTTTGAGATTTTACAGACGAATCTTCATTTGCTACGGCTGCTTCAAAACTTAATGACAGCCCTGAAAATTCATTGTTTATTATGTGGCCAAAGCGATGGTGATCTTTTCACATGTGAAGATAGCATGTTATTTTCATGTGCGAAGATATCATGTTCAGTTGTGTAAATGCAATTATTATTACACCTTTGGGAGTAGCCTGAGAAAACCGCCGACATTTGGAGATGCTACCACTGGTTTCCCCACCAAATGACGTCTGAGAAACAAGCACACAAATTCCATAATGATGATGCATCTCTACCCAGATCTGGGTAGTGGCACCTCATCAGTATGGAATTTCTGCACTCGTTTCTCAGACATCATTTGGCGGGGAAACCTGTCTGGTAAGGTTGCCAATTGTCAGCTGTTTTCTCAGGCTACTGTGGAAGCTATGGCAAAGGAACTAGTGGTTACAGGTGCAAAATTTTTAGTGTAAGTCATTTTGTTGACTCTCTGCTGTGCCCATTTAAGCTAGATTTATGACTTAAGGTTCTTTATTTTATTTTTTCATTGTGGATACTTGAGGTTGATCAGAATTTTTTTTTCTTCCAGGGAGTGATGAGCAAAGCTTGTGCGTGGAGCACACTGGAAAGACAACTCTTAGATGAACACTACAGAAAAAATCTTCTGAATAATGTGGCAATCAATGGCGATGCATTTACTCAGTTCGATAAAGACTTGCTAAGGGATGGTTTAATTGAGACTGATTATCATTGGAACACTTCACCTCAACCTTACTTGGAAAATGATAGAAAGAACTTGGATGAAAATGGCGTCCAGACACTTTACCTTCAACATGAACATATTTACAATAATGTAAAGAGTAATTTCCTTGATTATCTACCCTCATTTCTTAGGAAAACTAAGGGTACAGGAACATCGTCAACAAGATCAAAAACAGAAGATTTCATGAATTTTGTCATGGACGAGGCCACCCATCTGAAGAACTTTCCACAACCAGTTGATTCCAGCCTGGTGCGATTTGTGGTAGCAAAGCATGATGCTTACATTCCACGGGATAATATTGCAAGTCCATGTGATATTTGGCCTGGATGTTCAGTAGAGTATATAAACTGTGGGCATGTTGCAGCGTGGTTGAACCATCAGGGTGTGTTTAGAAAAGTGATAAAAGATGTGTTTGATCAACTTTAATGATGAAACGTCTTTCAATGTTCAGCTATTTCACCCTTTAAGCCCCAATATCCACAAGCAAATTCTCCAAACTGATCTCTATACATTTCTTTAAAGAATAAGTTAAGAGAATATGAGAGAAGATCAAAGCATTTTCTCTTTGGTGATCATTTAAGTAATTCTCATAACCTAATCTCTTGACATTGTATGGATGTCATTAGGAGAAAATTGATGTTGGTCAGTATTGGGACTTAAAGGGTTTAAGAAAGAGGGAGATTACTCACCTTGTCTTGTGCCTGTACAAGAAAATCGAGTCTCTTTTGATTTCTTAGCCTGTGAGCAAGCTCTCCATTTGGACGAGCGAAGCGAGCCACACGAGCATGAATTTAAGAGGGAAGAAGCCATTATAGAAAAAAAGAATCATTATACGTTGCTGGGAAACTGCCCAGCTACCCCTCCCCTTAACATTAACACTTACTTTTCACTTATGGAAGGGTAGGTGGGCAGTAATAATCAGTAATTATCAGCACTTGGTACGGAATTAACCGTGCTATCTTATGAAAGCTAAAACTTTAACCACTCTAAAGGTTTTTTTTTCAGAGACATGTTTAAGTGTTTGATATCTCAAGGGGGAGGTTAAAATGCTGTTCCCTTTGCTCCTGGAAGTTCAAAGCTGAAAATTCAAACTGGGCATTTTGGTTGAATGGACACTAGGATAATAGTAGAGCTAAAAATTAACAGCTGGTAAATTAAAAATCTCTTATAAAAAGAGTGAAATTATTCTGCATTTTAATGACAATAATATTTAAAATTTGATGGGAAATAAATTTATTTGGGATAACCTTGAAATGATGTAGCCCCCCTTACTTTTTAAGTGAAGGTGTCATGTCAAATCCCAGTTCAAAGAGCAAAAAAAGTTATATAAACATCATTATTATTATTTTTTTAGAGTTACATGTTCTAACATTAATGTACCAACTGGAAGACTTTGAGTGAGAATGCTAGATTGAGTAAAGGGTGGCGGCTCTTACATTGTGGTCAAGAGGCATGCCTTAGATCGTGAAGGATAAGGAAGGATCTAGCTTTGGGCAGAACATACATGCACACATTTCCAGACGTCCAAAAGGTTAACCATAGTAATATATATGTTGTAGTTAATTTTTTATTTCAGTTAATTTTTGTTTTTTCTTTGTTTCAAATTAATTAGCATAATTCGGAGCATACATTACCATACCCAAAAACAATGGAGAAATAAAAATTAACTGCAACATATACATGACTGGCTCCTTGACGTATCACTGCCTTTTCTCTTCATCAAATTTATTATCCATTCTTTATAAAAATAAATTAATATTGCATAGGATCCAATCTCAAGTGCACCTCTACTGTAACATAATCATCAAAAAGTTTTCAAGAAAACAGACAGCCCCCTTCACTTTCTACTTTCTATTTGCCTTGCCTCTGAATAAAGAGCGTGTTTACAGGCCAGTGAATTGTGTGATGCTGTTAATATTTAAAATACACAGTAGCATTTGAATTTTATTATAAAACAACAAAAAAATCACATGTAGGTGATGACTTTACTATTAATTTTATTACAGACTTTCATTCATTGTGATTCTTGATTACTGTAAAAGGGCATCTATAAAAGATCTGGCACTGAACAGTTTCCCCTAAAGCAGATGTTGACATGTTTGTCATACCAGAAAGTCTGTTCCATTTTCACATTGCTAAAACACATTAAGAAAGTGGACTGAAATTAAAGGAAGAGAAAGTAAATGCACAGAATTTAAAATTACTGGCCAATGATTATGTATTCTAGAATGCTTATAAGCAAATAATAATTCTTTTTTATAGTTTAGGTTGCCTATCATGATTATTATAAACTGACCAAAAAAGGTTACTAGTAAATTGTTCTCTTATCACTTCAATCAGCTCTCTTTTGTTTTGTTACACCTATTAACATTTGTTTATGTTTTTTTATGCATGAGTAAATGCATGGTTTTTGTCATGCACTATGTGGCGCAGTGTCTGAAGTCTTGTGTAGTGCCATGTTTATATTGAGGTTAAGCCTATGATGTCATCAGGACTACTCTCAAAGCAGAGGTTTATCTCTTGCATGGCTTTTAGCATATTTAGAAAGTCATTTGCGTCACTTGTCAGGGTATATCTGATTCGAAGAGGATTTGTATCTAAGTTCACATTATGTCTATACTATTCTTGAGTGGAAAATAGAGAAGTGAATAACAAATTTTGAGTTATCAGAGAGGGAGAGTTTGTTGAATAAAGTTAATACACCCAACTGCTTGATCTAGACCTTTTTTAATAGTGATGAAGGTATGCATATCATAAAGTGGGAAAAATCAAACGAATATTTAAAAAAAATCATAAAAATTATTCATGTTGTTTATAGTATTTTTTTTTTAAAAGGAAGTGTTTGTTTGATTCCAATAACACTGTTGTAAAAACAAGTTTAAAGAGGTGTCTGACCTTATTGGTTTTATCCTAAGTGGAAGGAACACTAAAAGCTGTTGCTTTTTGGGGGGGGTTCGAGTACATACGAAATTGTTTTGAAAATTAATGTGGTTTTTTTAAAACCATGCCATAAAGTTAAGCGCTTTCTCTGTCAAATTTAAAAGTTACAGACCGAGCAACAATAATTATCACCTGACACTCTTTTTAGATTTGGCTCATATATTCACAAAAAAAATTATACAGAGTTTCTTGAATACTGTGAAAAGTAAACTTGAATTCGGATTATATTAAACTTCCTCATCTATATGAAGTACAATCTTGAAATAAACAGTGCACAACGAAAGACTGTGTGCATATTGTCACGCCAAGCCATATAAGGCAGTGTGATCTATGTCAAAAGGGGGCGGTGCACCTCTAAAGCCTTCAAAATCCAGAGGAAACAAACTCGGACTGCAGGCTGTGGTTATTGAGAGATTATTTTTGTGAATTTACCACTGTGAGCAATGGAGCAAAAAGCTGATCTTAGCGAAGTTGCCTCGTTTGATGCTTCTAAGCTTAAGCATGTTAAGACGGTGGAGAAGAACACGCTTCCATCAAGCGAAAGTAAGACGAAGACTATCGTTGTACCATATGTTATCTGCACCACTCAAGAATTTGGCTTACTTCCTTTGAACGAAATCAAACGAATATTCGTCAATATTTCAGTTCTTCATCACTTAACGTAGCTAAGTAAAAAGGGCTTGTTTGAGCCAAAACGTTGGCGCAAAATGTGAGTTAATCGCAAGGCTTATAATTCCAGCATTGTGGAATGGAATCAGCTGTGGTATAGTTTGCTTCTTATGCAGCTCTATGAAACGCTTTTGTTTTCATGATGGAAGCTGATTACTGATGATGTTGTTTTTTCGTAGCTGTGAAGCAAGAATTACAACCAGATGAGTTCCCCGATAGATCTGAGGTGAAAAGTTTTGACACCTCCAAGCTCAAGAAGACACACACTGAAGAAAAGAACCCACTACCTTCAAAAGAAAGTACGATTAATTGTTTTCTAACCGCTAATGTAGTATTGTTTATTTCAGTTTCAATTAGAATGGACACGAAAATGTTTTGTTAAGCTTCTTTCCTTATCATTGCAAGCTTCATTTATTATTCACCCAATATTTTGTTATTTCGATCTTCAGCAATTGCCGAAGAACATCGCACTGCGCCATTTTCTGGAGTGGAAGTTTTCAACAAGAATTTGCTGAAGCACGTGGAAACTGAGGAAAAAACCCACCTTCCGACTCCTCAAGGTTAGTTTAAACTTTCCTTCTCCGAAACCCGAAAAGGTTTCGTATTAAATGCAGCTCCTACTGCCAGATAAATATCACTTAAACCCCACTCGAGCTGTATAAAATATTAATTTTGAGGCTCGCACGTAGCACTCCATGATCGTGCTGTTATGCTTATGACCTCGGAAGACTTTCAAAACATAGTTTTTTTCTATGTCACGTTTAGAGGCAGTAGACAATGAGAGTTATTTTCAATGGCTGACAAAGGCTTTTCCGCTCGAAAAAATTACGTGCGATCAGTCCGCGTTTCACGTCACGATCATCACTTCCCAAACGTATTCGATTTTTAGTTGAATCTTGGCTCATGTAATTTGAGACTAGAGAAAAATGTGCACTTTTTTGACATTTTAATTTGGCTTAGTTACCGGAAATGAACATAAAAGCGAGTTTACTAGTGGGGCATGAATTCTGTCGAATAACCATTGCTAAATGTCCTACGTAAAAAAAGATATAACAAATATCCTCTTGGCTACAGAATGGTCTGTAGTCAACCACATCCTTTCCTCGCTTCCTATCTTTAAAAGTTTCCTGTTCGTCAACAGCTGCATACTTTTAAGGCGTATTTCTATTTTTTAAGCTACGAAATCTAGCTCGCTATGTCTGCAATTTGCACTGAAATGCGTCTAAGGTTTAATATGCATAGTATGCTAAGTATCAGCTGCATAGCGAGAATTTGATCACTTTATCATAACAAAGACTCTAAGAGTTTTGGATTCTGGAAAATTATTGTTATATTGCCTTACCAACTAAGACAATAATTTCACATTTAAATAGATTTTTTTGTTTTTATCAGTCAGATTGTAGTCCATATAAGGTCATGACAGTTAAGAATTGTGCTACATAAATTAAAATAGATAATTTGAATAGCTAAATTGTTGCTGTTTATAGGGTAACCAAGGATTATTGCTGATAGTTGTATGCTCTTCCAAATAATAGATTCCTTTTGACTGTCCCGCAAGGTCGATCAAAAGCAAATTTCTCCTTATATATCAGAATTAACTTGATCATAAAGTTAATGAGAATTTGAAGTATAATCAGCCAAAATCTTCTTGTTATATCAATGACCTTCAAACTCTGTCCTGTGCTTGGGTCATGACAAGTATTGCATTTTTTCTAGATCTTCGTGAGGAAATGCGACCAGACAGTCTACCAGACGTATCTGAAGTTGCAAGCTTTGATGCATCTAAATTGAAGCATGTTGAAACAAAGGAATCTAATGTGCTTCCCAGCAAGGAAGGTAATAATTTGTTTGTTTGGTTGTTCTGAAGATGCACATTACCTCAGGTGTGTTGTATATGTTGTAATGGCTTTTTCTGTTAATTCATTACTTGAAATTACTTGAACCAGTCCATTTGCTACAACTCTTCCACCTCACTAAGTTTTGCAAGATGTTGCCCCATTGTGCTATATACAGCTATTTCGAGAAAGGTTGTCGGAAAAAGTGCATGTGACAATCCCGAAAGGTATTGTGGGTGGTTTTGAGTTCACTGTTCTTCAAAGAAATTTGAGAGAATGGCACGAGAGGCCATGGATATATGTTTGCGAATGCTAAAGGAAATTAACAAAAGTAGGCTCAATGGCTACAGTGTAAGGATCAGTGAATTGATCATATCCCATATTTTATTACCTTTCAGGATTGTCCTGTGCACATTTTTTCTGACAACCTTTCTCGAAATAGCTATATATGTTTCTTTAACTTCCTCAAGTTACTTGGGTGTTTGTTTTTTCTAGTCTAGCCTGGTAATGCTGCATGCCCGCTTTTATAGCGTGTGGCTAATAATAATAATAACAATAATAATATTGTCCTTTGTTTACCCTTTGCAGTATTTTATAACACTGAAACAGATCATTCAAATTAAACTTAACAGGGTTAAGAACCCCAACTGGCCGAAGGCAAACCATTTCGCTATTTACAAGCGTGGTCAAGGATTTGAACTCAGGACTACCATGAACAAATCCAGCAAGCGGTCAGATCGGGACTTGAACACGGGGCCTCCGAATTGCGAGTCCAGTCATAATATACTTATTGATCATATCGTTACTTTTCTCTGTTAAGTTATCAGAGAGGAAGCGATCGACTCCAGGGCAGAAGTGAAGTCTTTCGACAAAAGTCACCTCAAACATGTTGAAACTGAAGAAAAACATTTTATGCCCTCCGCACAAGGTAATGATTTCAAAACATTACAGCTTTAATAAAAATGGACGGTGACCATGGTGTGACCATATAAGTGAAAGCTACTGAGCAGTACTTGCCTGTGGTACTGTTTATTATGCTGTACAAGGTGGTTCTAACTTTTGAATCTGTGGATGAAATCCTATGGTGTGATCATTCAAATGAAAGCTATTGAGCAGTACTTTCCCGTGGTACTGTTTATTATGCTGTAAGGGGTGGTTCTAACTTTTGAATCTGTTTAAAAAGCACTTATAATAACCACTACTCTCAAATGGCTCTTTTTTCCAATATTTGCACAGTGAAATTTGGAATTTGTCTTGAATGTTGCTTTTCCTCGCTACTGCAAGCTGAATTGTGAACATTCTTTTCTTCCTTTAGATCTCACGGCTGATAGAATGCCACCTGCAAATAAACGTCCTGACCGTTCAGAAGTGACCAGTTTTGATCAGAGCAAACTAAATCATGTACCCACTACAGAAAAGGTTATCCTTCCTAGTAAAGAAGGTAAAACATCCTTACATCAAAAATTTAAATTCTCATTTGTTGTCTTTTCACAATTTCTATAGACATGATAGGGAGAAGTTGAGTTCATTAATCATCTTGTGTGATCATGTTCTTAAATTGCTCTGACCACCTCTTTTTAATAAAGAATTGTTATTGAAGGGAGAAAATTGATGCTGATCACAGCTCTTAAGGTGATTTGTTACACTGGACAATTCTCAACAACAATTTTTAGCGCAACACAACATTGCGACATTGTTGCAGCATTGTTTCAAAGAGCTGCAACATTGTTCCAACATTGCAACGCAGTGCTCTGTTAAAAATCGTCTTTGCAAATTGTCCTGTTTAACATCTCCTTTGTGGCTTAAATTTCCATTTCAAGGGCTTTGTTTCTGGGATTTTCTTGTTTTTGAGGGGAACTAAGCAAATAATGCAAGTACATGAGTTCAATATGGATGTTTTCTTTGTTATTTGCAGACATTGATGAGGAAGCAAAAGATTCCAGAGTGGAGGTCAAAACATTTGACAAAAGCAAGTTAAAACATGTGGACACCAAAGAAGAAAACATGCTCCCCGGAGCCGGAGGTGAAACATCAAATTTCTCTGTTTCCTACTTAAATTAACACTAAACTAACATAGTTAGATGTAATGAAGGGGACACTTGACAGATCCTACCATGTGCCACAAACAAGTATGTCTGTGAGCCATCACCGAAATCTTTGCCCTGGGCCCCCACTTGAAATGTGAATAGCCTGTTAAAAAAGCCAATGCCAATCAGGTTTAAGGGAAATACTCAAAGGATGATTAAATTTAAACCAAGAATGAAATTGAACAATGATGTATTAATCAAAATATCTTATTTCAAAAGTGTGGACTCCAAATGAAGTGTGATAAGCAATCCCAAAGTTATTTCTTGTTTAATGTGTTGTATTTGAGTAGGCTAACAGAAAAAAACTGAGCTTACAAACTGTTGTTCTAATAAGTCAATCATTTTTATCAGATATTCGTGCAGAAATGATGCCAGATGAGCTTCCTGACCGCTCAGAAGTTAGCAAGTTTGATCACTCAAAGCTCAAGCATGTGAATGTGACTGAAAAAGTAATCCTTCCCTCAAAAGAAGGTAAACCTAGATCAGGGTTTTTCTTTTTTTCAGTTATGTGTTGAATGAGATTTGTCACTGAGAGTTATATCTGCTTGAAATCCAACAAAAGTGCTTGTCAGTGGAAGTCTACTATGCAGTTATTCTTCAGTCCCATTAAAAACTATGGGGAACAAGGACAAATGGCTGTATTCACAGGCTATCTTCATCCTTGTTGTGGTTGATATTGTCTGCTTTTATGTCTTCAGATATCGAAGAGGAAGCTGCTGATTCCAGAGCTGAGGTGAAGTCATTTGACCATTCAAAATTAAAACATGTTGAAACACAAGAGAAGGTCACATTACCTGGGGCTGGAGGTTTGTATTCTTAGGCCTACAATCACAGACAACAGTAGTTGGAAAGGTTGTACAACTTAACAGTAGTCCATTTTAATCCTCAAAAAAGAGAGTTTTCTCTTTTGCTAATTATCCCCTTCCCCTATATTCAATGTTGGGATACAACAGAACAGTCACCTACACAAACATTAACGTTTTGCTCAACATTGGGTCGGGGGCGGGGGAAGGAAGAAAAAAAAGAGGTAAAAAAAGCAACCTTCCACTTTTGATGATGATTGTAGTTCAGATGCTGTGCTGTGCAAGTACTTAACAGTGGGGTGATTCTGTTTTTGCTACTCTACCCATGTTGGAGAACAGAAGATGCACTAGGAGAAGACTGTAATCAGAGTTCTTTCTTCTCTTGTCCCAGTGGGTACCCTTTCTCCAGCATGGCAGTTTTGAACCACATGAAGGGCCTCTTACCCTACCTTGGAGCTTTAAAAACTCTGTTGTGTTGTAGCTTATTTTTCTTTTGCTTATCCCTTTCTCCATGTAGATATCAGAGCAGAAATGATGCCTGACGAACTACCAGATCGCTCTGAGGTTTCATCGTTTGATCATTCCAAACTGAAACATGTTGAAACTCAAGAAAAGGAAGTCTTACCAACCAAATCAGGTTAGTGGTAAACAGATATTCAGGTAAATGTTCTTCTGCTGACAGTTGGCCAACATACAATGACTAACAGTCAATAACAAAATATGACAATCTATAACCCCTTATATGAACCAGTAGAAAGATACCTGGAGGAGATGAGGATGAAGTGAAATAAAGCATAGTATTCTGGCAACATCCTTCAAGCAACAAACCAACAGATTGCTGACAGTAAACACTTCTTTCTTAGACAGACACACAGACATCCAAAAGTGGTCATATTGAAGTGTTGGTTGTTTATTTGCAAATGTACAGTGGGAGTCTTCCTTCACTTCTGCTGACTATTAATTTGTGTACGTTTTTTATCAGTCATCGACGAGGAAAAAGCCGACTCCCGAGCAGAAGTAAAATCGTTTGACAAATCACAATTAAAGCATGTTGAAACAGAAGAGAAAAACCCAACCCCCACAGCACAAACATTAAGAGAGGAACTGGTGCCAGATGAACTACCAGACAGATCAGCAGAATTAAAGGAGATTCAAGGATTTGACCCTGCTAAAAAACTTAAACATGTAGAAACTGCTGACAAAACACATCTTCCCACTAAAGAAGGTATGATTGGATGCTCTAAAAGATCTGAGTAAAAGAGTGATTCTTTTTAAATTGAATTAATCCTTATTAATCCTTTACGCCCCGATGTCTACTTGCAAATTCTCCAGTCTGATCTGATCTCCATACATTTTTTGAAGAATTAGCTGAGAGAATTTGATAAGAAATTAAATTTAGATTAGATTCAAATAAAGGGAGTAAAGAGAGGCAGGGACCAACTGTAGGTGTTCATTTTATTTAAATAATGGGAGAAAAGAAAGGCAGGGGTGTCCAGGTGTCCATCCTGTGGTGTCCATGTTTAAAAAAGGGAGTAAAGAAAGGCAGGGAAATAAAAGGAGTGTCCATCTTACAGAGATCCAAATAATGGGAGAAAAGAAAGGCAGGGACCAACTGTAGGTGTCCATGTTACAGTGGTGTCCATGTTATAGAGATTTAAATAAAGGGAGTAAAGAAAGGCAGGGACCAACAGTAGGTGTCCATTTTACTGAGGTGTCCATGTTACAGAGATCCAAATAATGGGAGAAAAGAAAGGCAGGGACCAACTGTAGGTGTCCATCTTATAGAGGTGTCCATTACAAGAGAGTTAACTGTATTTTTAAAAAATTCTTTCAGAAATCAAGGAGGAGGCTAAAGAGACAAGGGCAGAAGTAAAGAGTTTTGATCACTCAAAGCTGAAACACGTTGAGACAGAGGAGAAAAATCCACTTCCTAAACAATCAGGCAAGTGTGCTTTGTTCTGAGCGACAAGACACCTTTGATTGACTGGTGCCAGTTAGTACTGACCGACATTTGAGACAATGATTTTAGTGGCTTAACAGACAAAGTTGTAGTTACATCCTTCTGTAGCGACAATTTTGCGATCGTCAGATGACAGCGTCTCACAAGTTTATAGAGAAAGATCTCTTGTATTGTTTGAGAAACAGCTAAAGGAAATTTAAACTACTGTTTTTGTGATAACCTACTTTGGTTTTTCTTGTACACAAGGCTATACTTTGTGGCAAATGAGATGTTTCAGTTTTTCATGAACAAACACGTTAAACAAAAAAGTTTAAATTTAATACTAACTTCTTTTATACTCTTGCAAATGGAAAAGATGATAGAGTAACCTAACATGTAAGATTTAAGTGTACCTATTTAAAAATAAGAGAGTATTTTGAGAGTTGTTAACTTATTTCTAAGAGTTTGAACTATTTTCTACCAGATCTATTTTTGCCAAATGGTTTATATTATTCAGATGTTATACGTTAAAATGATTATATTTTTTGATTACAGTAAATTGCTATAAAGGGCAGATATGTCCCAACACTTTTGTTACAATTTGCACCAATGTATTAACCTCACTATAGTTGAATAAAATATGCTTGCTTTATGAGCTGAGAAATGTCTGTGCCTCTCTTGTGTCAGTCATCAAAAAAGCTACGTTTGAATGGAAATATCAAACAGATGGGCCTTGAGATTAACCGTTTACATAATGCTGGAAATTTTTTCTGGTGGTCTTCTTCACCCTGTCAAGCAGTCAGCTTCTTGTTTAAAGATTTAAGCACTGCAATAGCTGCACAGTAACTTCCAACTTTAGTGGATAAATCAATGCATAATTGTACACTCCATTATTAGTTAGAATAGTGTTTTATTGTCGACTGCTGTAACATTGTGCTTAATCAGGTTTTCAGCAATTAAAGAATTGCAAAGAACGAAGAACAGGGACAACTCCAAAAATGCTATTTTAGTTCAAGCCACAGTTGATTTTCTTTAACATTGGGTTTTGATGCGAAGAATTTGTTTGTCATTTAATCTTTTTACGTGGTTATCACTTTGATTGATAGGTTGCATTCTGTTTACAGCTTGAGGCCATATATGATTGCATAGGTGCCAGACAAGTTACAGTAAATATCGTTATCTATCTGAGATAAGTTAAAAACCGTAAGCTTGCTTAAAACTCTCTTAAGACATTCACCCTTCATTAATGCATGCACTTTTAACCTGTAATGCAGTCAATGTAATGTTAAATAATAACAGTCTTCTGTGGCTTTTAACCAGACATCCAAGAGGAGAAGGCTGCGTCATGAGACACCAGAGCACCAAGGTCGGACACATGATTGGAGCATTACTGGACTATTATGGGACCTGCAATTGTACCAAGGAATTTTGTAGCTGATCTTTTCTAGTAAGAATTCTACAAGGTTTTTTCCATTTTTCACTGCTCACCCGCCAAGGCGAAGTATACTATGATAATCTTACAAATTTTGTAAAACGGAAAGGGGACAATTTCAAAGTGAAAGAAAAATTATTTGTAACGTAGTATAATTATTATTAATAAAGTTTTCACAATCAAAGACATTTATGTTTATACTCTTATTTTGAGAACATTGACATTGTTTTGACCCGGTTAAAATGAATTGATTGTTGCAAGTCCTAAGGGTGACCAACTTGAATTTTCTCCTAACAATATCCTCACATCGTCAAGAGAGAAGGTAATGAGAACTGATAAAATTAATGATCATGAAGAGGGAGATTCTTTGGTCTTTTATCAGATTCTCTCAACTTGTTATTTCAGGAAATGTATAGAGATCATTGTGGAGAATTTGTTTGTGGATATTGAGGCAGAAAGGGTATAGAGCCTCGCTCTGCAGAGCTTTGTCTTAGACTAATATGAAGGACGTGTGTTTTTTTACTTGTTTTTAAATTTTCATCAGGGGAAGAATGTTTATAATCCCCCCCAATCTCTTAAGCCTCCCCTCCCCTAGTTATTCTTCAGAAATAAATGATAGACTGTATGAATCAATCACGACTGGACTGATCTGGCAGTTGGTTTTGGCCAATTTTTTATTTTCTCTGCGAGACATCAATTTGACACTTGAACTCTTGCCCCCCAGAAGACACGTGGTATGGCGTGATTCTGTGGGTGTTGAGAGTTCTAGGTCAGGGCTTAAATCAGATTGCGCGGATATTTTTCAGCAGAGTTTTCTCTGGTTGTTACGCCATACTGACAAGCCCCAAAGAGGGCAAAACAGCTGTCTATGGCTACAATCCCGCTCTGTTTTGAGTTCTTTCGGTGTCATGTTGATGTCTTGCAGAGTTAATTTTCACGTAGGACGATCAGCATTGCAATATTCTGCTTGCAGAATTTAATATGATCTGGAATAGTTAATTTAGCAACTGGAAGTTTGGATTTGTTTTTTATCACTGGCTGCATGACCTCCAACCTTCTTGTACTTGAGCTTATCCACTTTCTTTTGTAGGTCTTTAGGGAAAACTGATACTATCGTCTTTTCTAAATTAAGTAACCCCCCCTCTCCCCCGTCTCTATTAAGCCCCCCATATGGGCTTAAAAGAGGATTTACGGTAAGGCATTGTTCAGACTTGGTTCCTTGGCACAGTGCCCTAGTATGGTACTTACTGGGCACAAATGTAAACCCACCCTTTTTTCAAGTACGTACGATCCTCACCAGCGTAATGTATTCACTGCTGTCAATCGAGGGAAATTTGCATAATTTGTTGAAAAGAAGCTAATTATGTTTGGACTAAAGTAGTTGTTGAAATTCCACTGAATTGAACACAAACGTTAAGCCGTGTTAAAAGCGTAATAAGGCATTAATGCATTAGTCTCTGTGTTGTCACGCAACATTTCTCCCCCTTTGTGTCGTCACGCAACGTTCCCCTTTTGTGCTGTCACGCAGCGTTCCTCACCTCAAGGTTCCTCCTCTTTTGTTGTGAGGAACGTTGCATGACAAAACCAAAAACGGCTGTGAAGCAGACTATTAATGCATCGACTAAGCAAAAAACCCTCCAGATATTTTTAACGTGTTTCCTTTTTATTGATGGTAATAATTTATTGCATTTAACATTAAATTTTGAAATAAACTTTCTTCCTACGTGTTAAACGTCTCTTCAGAGTTTTAACTTAACCCTTATTCTGCCTAGGACCAGTCATGTAATTTTCATGTTACACAACTAACAATATGCTCGTCTTTCTGTCAATACTTTTAAATTACATGACGCAAAATGTTTCAAGCGTTACTCAGAATGCATCTTTGACCGGGGGGGTGGTACCCCTAATTTTAAGGGGGGGGGGCTTCGCCCATTATTGACAGATTTCCTTACCCCTTGATTTACTTAAAGCCTGAAAAAGGTATCCGCCTTTGGCGGCCACCAGCGAGGAAGGTGAAACGCGTCTCTCCTCCTCTCGCGCTCGCGAATTTCGCTCGGTATGGTTAAAATAACACGAAGTATGAACAAAGTATCATTTGGCAGTTCACTAAATATTTGTTTTTTGAGTGCGTTTTCTAGCTTTTTTTGCGAATAAAGTTTCCATACAAGCAGTTTCGTGTAAATATTGCAACATAATTTCCATGTTGTCAACCTTCGTAAATACCAGTATTACAATGTAAGTAACTTTGCTTTTTAAATCTCGCTGAAGAAAAGAGCTATCTCCCTTCTGGTTCATTTCTCCAGACGTAATTAATGGATAAACCAATAAACGATATTAATCGATAGTAATCGATATCAATCATCAATGAAGGTCAATTTCCGAAATATTGATCGATAGAGATCGATAAAGGAAATGATCTCGATTAATATTGATGATTTTCGGATAGAAATCGATAATGATTTTTTATCGATTCCTATCGATTGTTATCGATTTGTTAATCGATAATAAACGATAAATTATTTTTCTCTGACTTCGATTTCTATCGATTTCCGATATCAATCGATAATAATTAGAGGATTAAATCGATTAATATCGATGATATCGATTGATTTCCGATATCGATTTTTATCGATTAACTACGTCTGGATTTCTAAAGGGACACACGGGCCATAACGATAAGGCGTATCATGATAATGGAATTCCTTGACGATCTAAAGCGTTCAGAGGGAATAAATACACTCTACCAAAACTATTGCTGCTTTATACAATATCTTCATAACTTAAACTGTTTTATACTGCGATGGTCCGTCAGTTTTTGAACACCACACTTTTACAGAAAGTTCTTCATGGACGGGAACATCGCCGGATAGCGTATCACTTGATCAGCCAGCACAACTGTTTAAAAGCTTCGAATAAGGCGTGTCCCTTCCTTTTAAAATCTCTCTCTCTTGTTTAATCTTCTCCATTAATATGTCTCCTAATCCAGCGAGAATATATCGACACTCGAGTGTAAACACTGTACTTTCCAATCCTTCCGCAGCCATCTCCCCAGGAAATGATTCCCGCCAGCACCCAGCGCCCGCGGTTTTCGATAGTTAGCGGACCTCCAGAGTCTCCAGTGCAGGAGTCACCAAGTGTCCCATTGAAATGTCCAGCGCAAAACCATGTTCCTTGTGACTTTGTATCTGTGTGACTTTTTGCACGTTGTTTGCTTCACAACTGGCGCGATTGCTTTGCGCATGCGTTTAACGAGACGTCTTCCGTGTCCTTTTCCGCCCCAACCTATGTTACGGATTATAGTACGTATTAGTTGCAGGTAAATGTTGTTTTTTTAAAAAAATACTGAAGTCTAGAAGAGCGAATAAGAGTTAAACTGTTGAAGGAGCATTTGGGGTTGTAATTGGGACCTTATTTAAGGTCCTAGTCGGAGCATAATGTGGGGCCTAATATGCACCTACCTGTGATCACCCCAATGTTCCCTGGCTTCAGTAGAATCCTATCAGAGTCCCGTATTTTCAATGGAAGGCAGATCGGTTTGACGTAATCAGTGTAAACAACCTTCCTGCTAAGATGGATAAGTGCGATATCCGAATCATAGTCTGCGGCGATAAACTTGCTATGAATGATAATTCTGTCCGGGCGTATGATTTGTTCCCTACGACGTTCTCGCTTGTGGGTAAACATTTTCCCAAGTCGTACCTCGAAATCGTTGACTGTAATACCTGTTGAACGGCATTAGTTGATTAGATATCTGACTTGTCCCTCGTCGTCTCTCAGAGAGAGTCGGAAGCGAGGTTAAGGGAAGGGCGAGGGAAGAAAGAGGGGAGACCTCACTTTTCCCATCACCCTTGCGCTCTCTTAGGTCGCACGTGCGATCCAAACACACACACCGTCGGTTCATTAAATGCTTTCATGTGGGTGACGTCGTTTCAAAGTCAACACGAAGACAAAGGAAGAAATGTGGGGGCAAGTGGTGCGGTAGAAAATAATAACAAAGTCTTCTTGGTAATTATTGAACATGAGTGTGATAATTGCGCAACACTCTCCAGTTTTCGACACTTGAAAAAGGGACAGAATAATTCTAGATTGGTCCACAAGCAACCCAATGACTTTAAGATCTACACTTTTAGCCCTGTGACAACCTGTCCAGCGTTTGACAATCAACGAAGTCTGCGTCTTGCGTTTAAGCCATGTTAGTGGACCAAAACCTAATTTCTCCTTATTATCCAACTTCTATTTCAATATAACCAAGTAGTGATTACGATACGATATGTATGAAGAACAGCATAAATAATACGAATGTTGATATAAGGTCCTTGATTTACTTCCTTTCCAGCTTAAGGCGTAAAAGACTTGAGAAAGTACGTGGCGCGCTTCACACGCGTCATGTGCTCAGGGGGAAAGCGATCGCCAAACAAGCTACTGTACATTTATGATATTTTCTTTTCCGCAAATTCTTACCTCTTGCTACACAATGAGCAGCAGTCACCACCCATCTATCTGACACAAGAGATCCACCGCAGAAATGTCGTTTCTCACGCATGCGCCATAGACTAACTTGCCATGGATTTGAACCCGCCAAAACCTTCTTTCCACCAACGATCTTGCCTCGACCATGAGGTGGGATAATGGGTCGGCCACAAACTAACAGAAAAAAGGTAAAAATTTGCGAATGAGTTTGTGATTGGTAGAGTTCAATTTAGCCGATGCTGTCAGTTTGAGGTGTAAAATTTCGCCCAGAATACTGAGCGGTTGTGACGAGCTTAAAGTGATTGTTAACCTGCGTAGCAGGCTTTTCTTTTCAGAGCGAAAAGGAAACAAGGATATCGAGAAAACGCGCGCACATGAAAGACCCGGGAGAGGAGGCTTCCTCTCCAATTCGCCTGTTCACCTCGCGTGGTGTTCTTTAAAAACTAATAACAAACTAAACGGTACCTGAAGATGATTATTCTTACCACAGATAAATAAGCAGATCAATACATTCTACATTACAAGGTTCTTCCGGGTACGTTAGAAGCCGCGACATGTTTTCACGCGACAGCAATTGCTCTTCCCGCACATGAAAACATTTGCTATGTGACGCAGATCGCGGACAGAATGGAATGTTACTCGAGTGCTGATCCCGCTCAACAAATATTCGCCTCACGTTTTGTTCAACTGTAAACTTTAAGAGAATAGGAGGGATCGATCCTTGGACGCTAAAAAAGTTATAATTTATTTGTTTACGAGACGGCGCCTCTGACAAGGAGAAAAGGTTTGATCATACCAACCTTCATCAAGCCCTCTTGATACCCGCAGGTAAGCCTGTGCCTCTTGGAATCCTGCGTCGTTGGTAGCCCTGCATGCATACAACCCTCTGTCACCAAGTTCTACCGATACAATCAATAAACGTCCTTTGAAGAAAGCAATTCTGTCTCCGGTGACTTGTTCCCCATCCTTAAACCACGTGATCTGTGTATCCGGGGACGAAGTTGAACAGGAAAGAACAACATCTTGTGATTCTTTAACTGTGGTATTGCTTGGTGTCTTGACAAATTTTGGAAGAGCTGACAGTAATGAAACACATTAATTTTAGTTCTTTCTGAACTGAGATGGCCTTGGGCTCCTGACTGTTCTCAATAAAGAATCGAAAGCTCAAGTTGAAACTTCAGAGGCGAGGAACCAAACCATACTGGACAGTGCTAGTGGGCTGCGGCCAAATAACGGGAAATTGAAGGTTTTGGTTTTCCCGCGAGTTAAAGTCACTTTTTTGTGGTTTCGTCTTGACATTTGCCTGTTTTCAATGAAAGTGAGCTTAGCTGCTGCCTGTTTGTTCCTTTCCTGGGATCCTTAGCGATAGCGTCCCTCGTATTATCGTCTGCACGAGATACAGCGACGATTTACCCTATTTTTTTTTCTGTTTTTTATACATATATATTTCGGTTTTTAGTGGGCCTTAATGCGCCTCATCCGTTCAATAATGCTGATCGTGAGTTACATATATATAGGTCTTGTATTAAAGCAAACTGGACCTACAACACCCTATAAGAAATCTGAAATGGTATGAGAGGGCCTCGCTCGCCGTATTTCCAGCGGTTTGAGAAGTCCGGTTTTTGAAACCCCCCACCCCCACCCCTCCCACCTCTCCCAGCCCAACCAAACAGGGAAGAAACGCGGGCGCATCAAAGCTGGTAATCGAGCCTAAGGGACGGAAAGGGAGTCAGCTTTGATGGCTAACATAGTTAGATTTTAGACTGTTTAACGCTTGATCCTTTCCTTGTAAGATGAAACAGTAGTTACCGAGACATTTCGGAGGCGCTTCACTCCACTGCCCGTTCTCTAAACACGTACGTCTCGTTTGTCCGTGCAGGACAAAGCCGCGGATACAATTGTACTGTATCACGCTGCCTTGTGGATATTCATTACTTTTCCCTGGAGGCGGGCTTCGTCGTCCGTTTGCCGGGTTACCTGAATCTGAGCAGTAAATGCTAGATTGAACTGGAATATAAAAAAGAAGAAATCAGATTTGTGTCTATTCGAGTCCATAACGCGCATGATCAATTCTTTTCTATGTTTCGCTTCTCTGCAGGACTTTCTACCTTCAATAAACGCAGTTCCCGGGGGCGCTTACTGATTTTTTGCCCCCTTACCCTTCAACACTCAGAGAAAGAGATGGGAGTCATACGTGTGCCTCAACAACACAGTCGAGTCTCTTGTTATTTCTTAGCCTACGAGAAAGCTCTCCATTTGGGCGAGCGAAGCGAGCCACGAAAGCGCGAATTTATGAGTGAGGCCATGGTAGCAAAAAAGGATCATTATACGTACGCTTCTGGGAAACTGCCCACCTACCCCTCCCCTAAGCCAATAATATCACTTACTGCTCACTTAAGGCAAAATGTTGGTTTAGGGGAGGGGTAGGAGCTTTAACCGCGCTATCTTAATTATGAAAGATAAAACTTAAACCACTCTCCGGGTATCTTTTTTCAGAGGGCCAGGTATAAGTGTCTGATATCTCAAGGAGTAGGTTAAGTTCCAAGAAGACAATGGTTTAGCCAATCATGCAAACAACAAATCTCATAAACGCACGTACTTGAGATGTTTCGCGAGCAATTTACTCTCAAGATTAAACGTCTTAAAATAAAATTGCAGTATTTCCGGATAATTTCAAGATGAGGATTATACAGTAATGGTCTATTTTAAGTTGTAGCAAAAGCAATTTATTTCAAAGTCTTACCTAAATTCTGAGGCTTTCAACCAAAAAATTCAGTTTAAGTTAATATATAAAGCGAGCGGAGCGCGGAGCAAGTACGCGTAACACTCGATAAGACTGCTATTTTTCTTTTCGTGATTATAAACACTTAACACTAAAACAAAGAATACAATGTATCTTTTCAACGACGCGTGTCTGTTTTCGCGTGCCATTACATGTCCGCTGAGGGAATATCCCCCAATTAACAAAACGATATTAAGCAAAGAAACAAAAAAAAAACAATGATAGTGGATTGGAATTTGCTAATTCTGCAAAAAAAAAAAATGATTAGGATTTAAAGACTTATTACGTAAAGGAAATGTTACGTTAGAGCACAAATAACACATGCACGACTCCTTGCCGAGTAAAGATTAACCTTGAGCTAAGTCGAAACTCGTTTGTTGATAAACAAAAATGGAAAGATGCTTACAAGGAAAAATATTTTTAGAAATTCCCCCAGTTGGGTTTTGTTGACTCACGGTCAAAGTTCATTTAATCAACTGAAGACCTCCAACTGGTACCACGTATTGAAAATGCTTCTTTTAAAATAAGTCCATGCTGTGTCTCAGTGCAGATTTCAAATTCGCATATCATGACCTGTTATTGTGCTGTTAATTCCTGGACATGGAACTTCGAACCAAGAACATTCGACTTCGTTGGCGTTGTCATGTCCATTTTTAAAAAGCTGCTCCATAACACTCTCCACTAACTAGATTTCACATATTTTTCATTTTTCTACAGGATCATTCGCGGGCATGTTCATACTCATCCTGCTTACGACCACATGATTTTCCATGCTCTCTTTTTGCCTCGAGAATAAAATCTTTCTGTTACTTTAAATTTAGAGAAGCGGCTTTTTCCGGGCTATTGTATTTTTGAAAGTAACAAGAACGGTAACTGAATGGTACTCTATACAAATTAGTTTTGGTAATAACTTCATTTTTTTACCATAACCGTGTCTCAAATTTTTTTAAGTATCTTCAAGTTATATAATTTAGTTGCGTCAAGGAAAAACGCAGTACGTTTACTTTTCTACGCTCAGTTCTTATTTGAGTTCCATGGTAGTCTCAATTTCTTTGACTTTATTTTTCTGCTGCCCTCGAAAAAAGTGTCGTGACGACATCTACATCAAAAAGTCGTTTCGATGTTACGACAGTTTCTTATATTCTTGTTTATGTATTAGTTAAACACAATTGTTGTTTCATCAAAAAATGAACCGTTCAGGAGAATGCAGTTGATGATAAAAGGAAAAAGAAGCAATTATCACGAGAGGATTTCCTCAACTTTCCTCGATTAAACACTCGATCTTGACTATTCAGCAATTAGCTCGCTAATAATCTTAAAAATATCCGTCCACTATTTTTACAAGCAAAACAAAGCTATCTTACCTTTGGGAAAAACACTGTTGCCGTATAGAAACAGTACAAGCAAAATCTGACACCTGGCTGGCATGGCTAAGCTCTTGATGTGACTTGTGTGATCCGCAACTGCATTAAAAAATCTAGTTTCCCTTCTTTTCTTTCACACCGGTCAAGCCGGCCAATATCTGCAGTCTTCAGCTGCTTTCTAATTAGAAGTGATGACGTTGCAGAATACTCTGATGTCACGCGACGACAACAAGTGGAAACGCCAAACAATAAATCCGTGTTCAAAAATACTCTCGGTTCCGCCAATAATGAACGTGGCCTCTTCAAGTAAAGCGAACCCCGGAAAGAAATGGCTTTTAAAATATAATCTCGGCTTGCTGCTAGATTCTGTCAAGGAAAGGCGCAAGCGGCAAAAGTTTGTTTAATGATTAAACTTGTCCAAGCTAGAAGTCGGCTAACTTTGGAAATCTCGTTCCGAGAGGCAAGTTTATCTTATCAGCTCATATGATAAAACTAATTTCCGTCTTCTATTCCAGCGGTTCAAAAAAACCACCCACTATGATTTTTGTTTTCTGATAAAATGGCTCGACTACAGGGTATGTACCGGCAGCTGGTAACAGGCTCACGATCAGAAACTGAAAGTTCTAAATTTATCCACAGACAGAAAAATTACAACCACTGCACTTTGTTCAACAACAACAACAAAAAAAAAATTAAAAAAGTTCTATGATGCAATGTTTGTTTCCGTAAGGTCGAGAGTCGAGACATGTGAATAAAAATCGACGGGGGGATCAATCATTTGAATGATATTAATCGATTCGGATTAATTTAATATTGATTTAGATTCAGTGATTAGCAGCGCCCAGCTAAGAGTCGCAAGAAAAATAATTACTCATTGCTTTTATTTATCTCTTTTATTGAGAAATTTGGTAACGCTGATCAAAAAGTGCATCGACTGCGAAAGTAGCCTACGAGAGCATCCGGTTTTTTTCGGCTCCAGTTTCACCCTCCGAGAAAAACCCGAGAAGCAACGACCGGAAATACGCGTGCGGTTCGCAGGCTACTTCGAAAAAAAATCCTTAAATAAGAACGGCCGAGACCAGGTTTTATGAGCCTGCGAGACTGAGCACCCCCAACAAACCCAAGTTTTCACAAAACCGCTGGTCAACCAAACCTGGTTTAGGTCGTTGTTATCTAAGGCCTTCCACTTCGAAAGGCACGTCTAGCTTAGAACATTCAAGTACCATTATAAACCGTCATTAGGTGCGGTCACACTAGACCTCTCCCCCAAGGCTCCCCACGGGGAAATAGCATGGGTTGGGGTCGCTCTGGGTTTTGATCACTTTCATGTTTGCGGTCACATAGCGATAAATTGCCCAAGGGAAAAAAAAACTTGAACCCGGTTTGGTGGGTAACGTCGTTGTAAGCATTGAAGGCTGACATAAATCGTAAACGGTTTCGACCATTTTTATCCTTTAAAACGCCACATCAATTAAGTTTGGCAAGAGTGATTCAGCCTTTAATTTGGAGACTGAGGCTGCGTGCAAACGGGACGCAACAACTCCTAACATTGTTGCGCCAACAATGTTAAGAGTTGTTGCGTACGTGTTGGCAAACGGATGCAACAACTCCCAACAATGTTGGGACCTGCAGTGCATCGTGGGAAGGATACAGCCCATAAGTCTTTGTAAACCATGCGTAATGAGCGCATGGCAACGGATCCAACATTGGCTGGGAGTTGTTGGCTGAAAAGTTTGACTGGTTTCAAACTTTGCGCAACAACAACATCCAACAACTTGTGTAAACGGACGCAACATGTAACATCCAACAATGTTGGGAGTTGTTGGCCAACAATGTTGCGTCCGTTTGCACGGGGCTTAAAAAGGAAGACGTCGACTTCATTAGCGCTTAAAAGAAAAGGAAATTCTAGCCCATTCTAGCTCCAGAAGTCAAAAGAACGGATTTACTAAAACTGTTTCAACGACTTCATAAGAAAAGAATTATTTGCCCTTATTTAAAAAAGACTTACGAGTGTTTTTAGGTGTTTAATTTTGACAAGTTATTTAACGTAAGAACCTGAAAAACACTCACAGCAGTGAGCAAAATCCTACTGAAGTTTCGAACTTTGAGTTTAGTTTTCACGTAGGATTTGGCGCCAAGACGAGCACAGCACGTAGACAACACGTGATTTCTACTGCTTTGTACATTTCACTTTCTCGTGATTGGCTGAGCCGCTTTGGGTTTTTGTAACCCATAGTACTTACCTCGGGAACTATCATGGGTAATTCTTTTGTTCTTTTTTACGTATCCATGGAAATTTCCTGAGGCAATTTTCACCTTGGGGAAATCGGTCACACACAAAAAGTTGCTTCCTCGTGGGCCGGCAGCCATTTGCCTATGGGTAAACTCGCTAGTGTCACCGCACCTATTTACAATATTAGGAGGAAATATACTAAACTATATTAAGACAGTTTTCTGACATGATGCCAACGCACCAACATTAAGTTGTATTACTTATATATTTATGGAGGGAAAGAAAACTACTGTACACAGACTGATCCACCATACCACCACGGAAAGCGGACTGGTGGTGTCTATTTCGTACCGCCCTCACTTTAAACAGATAGCATCTAGTTTGTATACTCCTTCTCTAACGCAACGAATACTACTAGTACGACGACGGCCAGTGGCGAGAATTTATGCCTCTTATTCCATGTCGTTCAATTCGTCAAATGTTGGTGAATTTTTCACGTCCTCAAGAAAACAGTGACGAAAAAGATATACCGAATTAAACAGTGTGATGCACGTGCAGGATTATTTGTTTTTGTTTTTATTCCAGCCATCTTTGTTTTCGTCGCGTTACTTAAACTTCCTCGTACTAGTCAGCATGTATCTGATGAAACGCATTTATCTTTGAAAAATGCGTGGTTACAGCCAGTTTCCTTTCTCGATTTCAGTGATGTTACATAGTCATTATATTGGAAAAAATGACTTCCCATTAATGGGCACCGTCCTTAACCCGCTCTAGCCTGCGTGGCAGGCATTAAAAGGGGAAGGGGAAGGGGGAATTTGGGCGCGCGAGAGCGTATGGGGCGCGTGGTCTCGCGCCCTAATTCTCTTCCTCTTCCCTTTCGAACGCCTGCCACGCAGGCTAAACCCGCTCCAAAAGCCACCTACTTACTTTGGCAAAGGCCACTTAATTGCAATGGCTGCTGCCAAAACTGGGCTAGGGACTCCTGGACTGGGTAAATTTCACTTCCTCTCGCTGTTTTGGATTATTGGATTGACACAGTCCTCAATCTTAACTTGGGTCTCTATTAGAAACCACAAGATTCAAGGAAGGCGACCGAAGCGCAAAGGTCACTTAATTTAAAAAAAAAAAAAGCTGAATGCAGGGCTGGCACAACGGCAAAGGGTTGATTTATTACAGGCTAATATTTCGGCTGACAAAATTAGCCTTCCTCAGGGTCAGAGCTTTACTGTGAGAAAATGTCTTTTAACGGCTCCCAAAATTTGAATTTAGAATTTAGAATTTACATAAGTGGCTAATAATTAACTACAATTATTAATACTAGATAGAATAATATACAGGTAAGTTAATTTGTGTTCTTTCAATGTTCATCGCGATTATTCCACATGTAGGCGAAAAGAAAAGGCCACCTCTTTGGTCAACGGCCGCCGACCTTTTGCCGCAAAGTTGCCGTTGTTAAAGTTATGACTATTGGGCACATCAGATGAGTGTGGTTTGTACAACATGTAACGCCCTCCTCCCCCCCCCCCCACCCCGAGTCGAGAGTGCCGTTAGCATTTCATCCTCTTAACCCTCTCCCCACTCCCCTAAAAAGGTCAGGACAGAGTGCCGCCTATTTTAAGTACGCCCTAAAATTATGGAAGGAAATCTTCAATTTTTGGCAAACGAAGAATCAGTCAATTAATCAGTAAAGTCTACATCTATACAAGCAAAGTTGTATTAACATAGACAAAAGCAAGCAATACGATTGTTACTGCCTCTATACTAAGGAGATACCGTAAAATTCCAAAAATAAGCCTCGGGGTCATATTTTTCAAAGGCTCTTTTGAGGGGCTTATTTTTGGAGGGGCTTATATTCGGAGGGAAATTTGTGTTCCCAAATCGATTGGGCTAGCCTTATAGTTGGAAGTAAATTTACCGTTTTCGCTTTGTTTTACTTTTATATTTGAGGGTAATTTTCCAAGTACAAGCCCCCAGTGGGGCTTATATTTGGAGGGGCCATTTAACGGAGGTTTTTTTGCATCACCGGTTTGGAGGGCTTAATAAATGGAGGGGCTTATTTTCGGAATTTTACGGTATAGGGACTGCAGCACTTCCCATTCGCGCGCTTTTTTATACCAGAGATATTTCATGCTGAGCAATCTCTCCTCCGCAGAGGCTCCCGCTGGGTATGCCAATAAAAGTGAGCAAGCTCGCCGGCTCCTTCCGTGCCCCGCGCGCGCTTTCGTTTTCTTTCTCTCAGCGTCCCTACGACGCCAAGTGGCATCCGCGGAGGAGACAGAAAGACAGAGTGCTGAGCAACAGAATTGAAAGTAGAGGAGTTTGTTTCAGTTTTGAGTGGAGTGGTACGTGGAATCTCCATCCAATTTTGCCAAGAAACTAGTCTTTCTGCTCTAGCTTTCTTTAATTTCCTTTCCTGGCTTAGTCATAGCTGTGATAAAAACAGGTAGCATGGAGGGCGATAGGTTTGGTCGACCGTTGAAAAATCCAAAAGGGCCTTATTTCACTATTGTTATCCCATCGAAAAATGAAATTTTATCTTAACTTATTTTTTACCAAAACAGAGTAACCTCGTGATCTTTCCCCATCAGGTGATGAGCACTTCCGTTTCAGATCTTTTCATGCAGAGAGGAAGTTTAGATTAGAATGTTTACGGAGTAAACCATTTAACAAAAGATAAAAGATTGAAGATTGGCATGAACATGAATCTTGTTGCAAAACCATGACTAATTCCATGTATTATTATTGTTGTTGTAGTTGTTATTATTATTATTATTATTTTATTTGGGTTTGTTTCACCTTGCATGAAAAACAACTGAAATGAAACACACCATGGTCACGTGACTTGGGATTACTGTCAAATTGTTTTTATAAGTTTTATAAATCGAAACAAGCAGCGCCTTAGAATGTTGCCAATATTGTTTCGCCAGATGGATCAGCTCTCCACAATTTTTACTACCTCTGTTATCAAACTACGGCAGCTAACTTTACGAAAAGGAACTTAGCAAAAACGACCGCTGATCAAATGATGGCTTGGTGTTACTCCCCAGTGGCTGTGAGGACCGTTAGAAGTTAAGGGGGAGAGGAGGGTAGTTGTAGTTATGAGCCGTATTGTTGAGACCATTAAAGAGATCGACTGGCTATTGTCACGACATAATGAAATTTTTGCCTACCTCTATGTAGTCTTATCATACGTATGCCATATCTGTCACTGTGTAGTCTCTCCACATTCGAATTTATTTTGAGAGCACTACCCACCCTAGCCTCCTTACAAAACGTCTAAGAGTAAGTACCCTAAAAGCTAGTAACAATGATTAGTTTTGGCACTCGGAGATGACGTGACCTCTCACCTGTATTAATCATTTGAAATCCAATCAGCGGATCAATTTCTTTCAATTCTATCATCAACGCGCTGAAAAGGAAGACATTAGCCTGTTAAGAGCGAGTGAGACACACCGTATCGGTGCTAGTCAAGCTATAAGGCGAGGAAATAACCATGAATTGTTGGAAGAGCTTATTTCTTGCTTTCATTTCTTGCGTTCTCTCAGTTCACGGTAAGTATACCTTTTGGTTTGGATGTAATCATGACGTGCGTACCGTTACGAACGTGATGAAATAATTTAACGAGACGTAATCGCTGTACTTTATTACGTGCCTTCCGTGTTGAGAAAACCGAAAATTGGGTCTCAGCAGCAACTTTTCAGTGTAAATTCAAAGTATTGTTTCTTCTGAAGACTCTGAAGGGGTTAGATATAACGACACACTGCACACTGATCAGAATTCAATGACAAAATATAGTTTTTTAATTTACAATTTCACTATGCAATGTGTTTTTGTCAGTGCTGAACTGGAGCAAGGACTAATGGCCCAATTGAAGTCAGTCATATCCCGGGGGGGAGGGCTCTACTGCTTAGAATTATTAGTAGGGGAGAGATCGTTCGGTTCTCTAAATCCTGAAAGACCAAATTTGCTGATTTCAGCACCCAGTTTTAGACCTCAGGCCTCTAAAACCAATACCCGTTTTCAGACCGGGTTTCTATAAGTTGTTCTCAGTCTGCGAACTCATCACCTTTTCAAAGTGAAATCAAAATGTATTGATTAAGCCTTTTACTTAAGTATTGGACGCTTAAGTTCTTCTGGGCTGAAAAGACAAATACGGTCATTCGTTCTCTTGGGTCCCTTGAAAACCTTACTTGATTTCAACCATAATGGGTATTTAATTCCATCCATACCTAATATTTCAGAGCAAACCGGGCATACCTATATACCTTACAAAGTCAGTAACCACCCCCCCCCCCCCCACCCCTTACTTCCCCATTCCTACACACGTCTCACGTAGTTCTCATCCTATGACAAGACCATTCAAATAAAAGCTGCTGAGTAGTTCTTTTGCACTGTTGCTATGAGCTTTACAGAATCGGCAAAGAATTGCAGTTTCATTAAATAATGACCCTGAGTACAAGCTCTGTTTGAGACACAGCACGCTTCTTTGGAATCGAATATCCGTTAGAGGTCTCAAATATCAAATCTAACAAAAAAAGGAAATAGTTTCATTAATCATGTAAGTTTTTCTACTTATCCCTTTTAAGTGTAGAGTGATTGCAGAAAATCAGATTTAGCCCTTGCAGCATTTGCCTATTCATAAAACTTAAGAGATACGCTGTTCTGCCAATGCATAGAATGTTAGGAAGACAGAGAATGATTGTATTTTGGGTATAGTGGAGGACCAATGCAAATGGTTTCTTGCCTCGCATTGCACTCTCCTACTTTTCTTTTCTTTCCGCACTTCAATCAAGTTGAATAATTCAAGAAAATCGTTCGAAACTTAGGGAGTTGGTGAAATACATGAAATTACTTTAGCCAATTTTACACCAAGGGTAGCCTGACGAAACTCGTAAGCCAACGGAAAATTGCCGAAGCGCGCGCGCTTCGCGTTCCCTGGAGGGACCTGTCGCAAACAGCAGGACTAGGACTTTGATTATCGCGCTGAAACGCTTCAAATCTGAAATTTCAGCTGTATACTTTACAAATGAAATTATATGGATACGTTTTAGCTGCGCAAACTTCCGGAGAATTTAAATTTAATCTCGCATATCCGAGGCAAAGAGTTTGACTAGCAAGATTAGCCGTTTTAAAGTTTCATTAATGAATAAATCTCTAAATGATTTAAACCGGTTTCAATTAAAACAACAAGATCAATATCACCCGCTGGGACGACCCGTGCCACATGTTCTTGGCCCCTGATCCGGAAATGTGCAATACTTCAAGACTCACGCATGCTGGTCTCGTTCGTTACGTTTTTCATTTATCGTCGTTAATTTGCAGCGAATGGCAGAGAAGTATACGAAATGAAGTGACGCCCTTCTAAAACAAACTGTATATTACTCATTCTCGCGGCCAGCGTTGCTACGGTTTCGCTTAGGATCCCTTGAATAGCTAATCGTGATCTAAGAAGAGACCACCTTAGTGCTGTCATAAGCTATATTTACAGTGGTACCCTTTCCGAAAGAAGCTGCTAAATGACTGGAAAACGTAGTGGCTGATCAGAAGGGAGACCAAGACCTTTTCCCATTACACGTATCCAGCAGAAAAGACAATTTCCTAGTATTCTAACGACTTAATGATTTGGAACTAAAATGATTACCACTGAAGGATAAAGTTTCAGCTGAAGTTTACTCTAGAGACAATTATTTGTTGTGTTAAGGAGGGAGGGAAATGGTTAGCTTTTTGTACAAGGGACTGGGAAAGCTAGTGTTTTAATTTGTTTGAAATTTGTTCCTAACTTTTAAGGTGAAAGTGACGAAATTATTGAAGTCATCAGTGACGTTGATTTCGACCAACCTATACAGCTTGGTGATTCGAATCCAATTCACACTGGTAAGTACAAGGGTAATTTCCTAATCAGCTGTTCTTTGTCTTTATCATGGTCACGCAATGTGCGTTACGTGTCGCCACAAGAATGGCTGCGTGGGAGACTGGAGCCAAAGCGAGCTTTGGCCACAGCGCTGTGCAGGTAAAACAGTGCTGCCTTGTACATTACAGAGGTGCGCAAGCGCACTCGAACAGACCTCTTTAGCTTGTATGTTTTGTTTGACCAATACAGATCATGTGATGATTTGAGAGGTTTCTTTTTCTTTCAACATACAAGCTAAAAAGGTCTATTCGTCTACGTCAAGAGGAGTGGGAGCAACCTCGTCCCCAGGGCGCTTTTCCCTCGCTTTTGAGGTGGGGCGGGAAAAGCGCCCTGGGGACGAGGTTGGAGTGGGAGGAGCCTGCGAGAGCTGACTTATTTCCGGTTATCAGCAACAGACGGGAAAACTTCAGCACCCTCAAGCTATATCTTATCGACTGTGTTTGTTACGAATTTCTTCAGTTTTTCTTTCTTCTGAGACACCAATTCCGAAAAGTTTGATCATGTTGTAAACCGACGATTTTTGATCAAAATTGACGTCACTTTTTTTTTCACCTTTCAGTACCTGAGGAGCAAGAAGTGTCTCTATTTAAAAGGGATATCTCAAGCCACACTGTGGCCCGAGTGCGACGTCAAGTTCTAGTTATTGGTCAATCAAATCAGGTGCAGGGTCTCACGGTCAGACAAGAATGTGACGGAATCCTACTGGAGTGGAAAAGCCTGCAGTTGCCTTACAGGTATAAGTGAACGTTTTGGTTGTAGGATAGAGGATTCAGCTTTTGTCAAAGTACTTGACAAAACCATAAGAGAGCCCTAAACAGTATCTTTCTCTAGGAAATTGAAAAGTTGAACAACCCTGTATATTAAACAGTACCACAAGTAAGTACTGCTCAGTAGCTTTCATTTGAATGGTCACACCGTAGGATTTCATCCAGACTCAAAATTTAGAATTGTCTCGGCTTAGTCAGTGCAAACAGCACTAGAAAAAGGTAAAGAAGGATCAGAAGCTTTTAATTAAATGGAAAATCAGTCACTAGTCGATATTGTTATCATATTTGCAAACTTTCTTTTTCAATATCAGTCCAAACAGACGCACAATAAATGAGGAATTCAAGCATTTTAACATTTACCGAAGCACATCGTATTTTCGTGATGTAAGCGGAATGAGCCCTTACGTATCTGGAAAGCTGGACAAGTTGTTACAGAGCCCGGAAACAAACAGCTACAAGGATCTATATCCGACACCGAACACAAACTGGTACTATGCTGTGACAATGGTCAATGGTGAGGGACAGGAAGAGAAGACAGTGGACTCAAAGAAGGTAAGGTTTAAAAACTCAAGTTCTCTGTATATAACGGTTCTTTGTTTGAAAAATGGTTTTCAACTGTCACACCTTGTGGTCTATTTAGATCGCACGTGGCGGAAGAAAAGCGAGAAGCGTGAACGAAAAGAGCGCGAGGGGTCATGGTACGGAACAAAGCGAAAGGGAGAGAGTTTCCCCCTCTTTTTCCCTTCCCATTACCACTCGCGCTCCCCTTGACTGAGAGACGACTTGGAACGAATGAGGTTATATCACAATCTAGTCAGCAAATTGGTGTTCCTGTATCACTCCTTGTGATCACATGACAAAAGGCGAGTCCCCTTCTTATTGGGCTTCCTGGGAATTACATGGCAGTTGTTGTAATAAATATTCCGAAGCAAAATCAGCAGCAGCTCCAAAATATGTCTCCGAATTCAATCCCGAGTAAAAGGCGGAAATCGAGCGGATACATGTACACACGGTCGTAGTACCATGACGACGGAGTACGGACAATTCCAGACCGTGCAAATTATTGTCATTACACACGACGAGGAAATGACCTACTTTTTAGTTTCCAGGGAGAGTCGTTCAGGTGACGGTGTTTAAGTTGTGAGCAGTGAGCAGACGGAGTAACAAGACTGACAAATAAGAGAAGAAGGGGTACAAATCTCATTTTCCCAGCCTATTAAAATTGTTTTCAGATCCCAGTGTCCCATTAAGTTGCTCTCAAACCCCACTCCCAGTTGTAAGAAATCATAGTCCTGATAACCCAAATCCCCTTTTACCGTCCCCAAAGTAGGCATATCTCAATTTTACCTCTTTGTCACCTTCAGTCTTGGGGTAGCCTTTATATACTGTGGGCTATTACGTTTTGAGGGAGACTGGTTCGGCGAGTGGTCGAACTACGCTGTGGGACTGCTTTGGGTACGCTATACGTTCTTTCATTGGCTATTAAGGTCGGAACACACTAGGCGACAAGTTGCAGCAACAAGTCGCGGCGACATATCACTCCGTGTGTGCAGGTCGGGCGACTACAATTTGTAGTTGGCCTTTCTTTCACTTGTCGAGCATGCACTGCTTGTTGCTAGGATACAGTGTCTAACCCAAGCCTGAAAGTCGTGTACCTGGTACAGTGGGCTCAGAGATGACCATCGCTTTTTCAATAAACGGATGATCGCACTCGGAAAACCAGTTCGACGATACATAGAGCGATCTTCGTAAGACCTTGAAAAATATTCGGTAAGTGTTCGCAGGAGCTTATGTTCGTTATTTGTTTTATCAGCCAATGGATGAGAAGATCTAAACATAGACTCTTTGTTTTCCCGCCAAAGAAAACCCTAATATGGAGAAGGCATTGTTCGATTAACCAATCGTGTTGCAGTATGACGTTAAAGCGAAGTATCGGTTGATTTCTAGAAAGTTCTCGGGCATAAAGTTTATTCAGCCGAGCGTTCGCTCAACAACCAAAAGCTACGCACGTTCGTTTCCGTTCTACAAACCTATCAAATCGCACTATTTCCGATCGTTTGTTGTTTCTGTTTTGTTCGCGCATTTTCTTTTCAGGCCAAACGAAGATCGCTCTAACAAGATTGACTAGTCCAGAAGGGTTGACGCGATTCTAGCAGATTCAAAGGAGACTCTGTTAGCAGGGTGCCTTAAAATCCTAGACTGTAAAAATGACTGCTATAATTTACCTCCGTGTTCATGTTACACCCACAGGCTATTTTCATAGGATCTTTTCAAAAGTCAGGAACTCTCTTTAAACTTGTCCCAGGGTTCCTAAGTCTGCGAGGCAAGGTCTTACATCATAGCGCTGCGTATAATCCGAGTCGTAATCAATATCTTGTGACGTGGGACTTTGACGTGGACAGCGATAATCTGCCAGATCATCTCTATGCTTTAAGAGTGGACACTGGTGGCAATATAGTGGACAAAAGGATATTAAACTACACTGCAAATATCGGGGGGAAAGCAGGTAATTTAGGACAGTTATCTAAGGGAAGAAAAGGAGCCAGCTGCAAAAAACCTACAATAAATTAACGAAAGAACTGGGATAAGCTTTGATATAAACTATGGTCTGCGCATGGGTAGCCTCACTCGCAGACTTTCTTTTGGCTCGTCAGCATTCTCGTCCCCAAAGCCCGTCGTTTCTTCTGGTCGAGTGGACTTGTCCATTACAAATTAAGCCCAGTGGCTCTGGGAACGAGAATGGCTGGCTCGTCACGTAATCCTTCCAAACTTCAACAGACGTTCGTGAGGAAAGAACACGTGACAAAGCAGGAACGTCTGCGTAGACTTGGTGGAGGAGTTAAAATGAAGAAAGTGCGTTTTGCAAAAGTTAGACACGTGTTTAAGTTTCTGTAAACATGAAAACAATTCTTTTTGGAAAATGATTTTAAGCAGGAACTGAAAAAGAAAATATAAATTAGGTGACCTGTAAATTTTCGGCGATTGCCACGGAAACACTTCCCACCCAGTCACGGTTGAGTGATTTTCCTTCAACTTTACAAGTTTTCAAACTGTCGTAAAATCATCAACTTATGCATTACAGGGCTCCATTTTATTTGCTATGAAAAAAAAGAGAAGATTTTAGCCCCGTAATGTAATCTGTCAAGTCCCCAGATCAGAAAATTAGTTTTATTTGTTTGTTTTTTAAATAATCTTGATGAATTTCAAGCACCACAAAATAAAAGCTTAGCTCGCAACACAATTGAAGGCTCTAAAACCCATTGTCTTCTTCATAAGAAATAACCATGTTAAGTGAGATGTATTGCATTTCTTTCCTGAGCTTATGGATTATGGAAGTAAAATGGTGTCGAAAATTCGTATTTTTACTAATCATGTTATAATTATTGTTCCAAATTTTCTAGGCAATCAAGGATGGCCAAGTGTAGCGTATAACGAACAAATCGATGAATATATGATCGCTTTTCAATTCCGTGCGGGAACGGGGCGGTACTTCTCGAACAAATACATCATCATAAGTCAGAGAGTACAGAGTGCGCGCACGGAAAGATCAGCAGGCCCAAGTCTGCTTGTCAAAGCCAATGGACAAGGAGGGCCCACGGATTGGGTTGATGCAATGGGACCATTGATAAAGTATAACCCTGTTACGGGTAAGAACCAGGCCCCAGTTGTTCAAAAGGTGGATTGCGCTAACCCAATTGGTTTCCCTAATACTTATCTCCCGGATAGTGATTTATCTGGTGGATAGCGCTATCCAGCTTTTGAACACTGACTGCGGCCTGCAAGATGTTAAAATAGGTAATATATAATAGCATAAAGACGCAGTACGAATCAAGGACTGGAGGCTTGTCTTCTGTTACCTTAAAAGGTGGTTCAAATTTTCGAGTCTTTGGATAAAATCCTATGGTGTTACCATTCAAATGAAAGCTACTGAGCAGTACTTTCCTGTGATACTGTTTATTATGCTGTACAAGGTGGTTCTAATTAATTTTTGAGTTTGTGGATGAAATCCTATGGTGTGATCATTCAAATAAAAGCTACTGAGCAGTACTTTCCTGTGGTACTGTTTATTATGCTGTACAAGGTGGTTCTGACTTTTGAGTCTGTGGATGAAATCCTATGGTGTGACCATTCAAAAGAAAGCTACTGAGCAGTACTTTCCTGTGATACTGTTTATTATGCTGTACAAGGTGGTTCTAATTAATTTTTGAGTTTATGGATGAAATCCTGTGGTGTGATAATTCACAAAAGCTACAGAACAGGAATTTCCTGTGGTACTTTTAAATGTTGTGAATGGAATCTTATGGTGTTACAATTCCAAAGCTGCGCGCAAACGGACGCAACAACTCCCAACATTGTCTGAGCTAAAACTTTGACTGGTTTCAAACTTTGCGCCACAACTCCCAACAACACGCAACAGGGTGTGGAAACAGACCCAACATGTAACATCCAACAATGTTTGGAGTTGTTGGCCTACAATGTTGCGTTCATTTGCATGGCCGTAATGAAAGCTACCGAGCAGTCAATACTTATTTTAATACTGTACAAGGTGGTTCAAACTTTCGTGTCTGTGGATTACATGCTAACGAGTAACCTTTCTCTGTTTTTCCCTTGGCACTGTTTGTTTTTCAGTTCTCTCCAATTCAATTTTTCCATATCTTTTATTTTTAAAGGTGGTTATGTAGGCGCTGTTGTTATAGAAGGAGGAAAAAAAGAAGTCGTGAGCCTGTTCTTTGACAGGGGAGGAAGAGTGTCTAAAACCGAAGGGATTTGCTCCTTTAAAGGAAACGCATACGAGCCAAATATCTTCTTAGACTCGAGAAGAAACGAGTTTTTCTTCGCTTGTACCGTCGAGAACGGAGGAGTCGCTAACTCTGACTTCGCCTTGCGGTCTGGGTTACACATGTTAGTCATCACGAAGAGAACTGCTAGTGGAGCGCACGCGGCTAACACAAAGACCGCTTCCACGAAGAACTTTGTTGGCTACACCAACAAGACACATGCGCGGACTGCCGGATACTATAATGCACACCTTGATAGGTAAATACTAAATTTTTAGATGAGTTTTTTTGTGTGTTATCCCGGCTGAATAATTGAATTCGAGACGTCACAAAACGGAATCTAATGATTCTGGTAAAATGTGCTACCATAGAGTATTTTCATATGATTTGACACCCACCATCTTGGTGTCCCAAAGTAATGTCGAGTTATGAAACAGCAACTATGTTTGCGTCCCATGTTTGTTTTTCTTATGTAAAAACTTTCTTTTATTCCAATAAATGTGCATAGCCGCTAATCACGTGATTGAAAACACTCTACAGCTTAACGAAAACAACTAATAACGACAAACACACTCGCGTGAAACAGAGTTTAGGGAAATCATGAATTACGTACCGCCGAAAGATTATTCATTTATCTGCTTGAAGATTAGTGGACGATCATTAACGAAAGATCATTTGTTTAGTCATTGTCTATGCCCTACAATAGCGGTTTCTGCTTGTTTATGACTGAATGGTTTTGCTTTACGCCGTAGATTGATTCTGTACTGGGAAGACTCTGACACTGGAAGACATGTTTTAAACACTGCCTCTGTACTGTTGACACGTACGCAGTACATTCGGGAAGTTAAACGGTACAGTTGCTTAGCAACAAAGCAAGTCAGGACACCGGCAGCGGTGTATTCCCCATCAAATAACTATCATTTTCTTTTATGGCAAGAAGTAAGTGGGTCCGCGGCAATCGGTGGAGAACTCCTTCAAGGTCAGAGTCTCGACTTTTCATTGTCAACGTACTCTGTAGTACAGACATACCATACTTTGAACCTCACTGCCCCTTTAGTGTCGTCACGCAACGCTGTTTGTGGGGAGGAGCCTTGCTCTGTGTAGCAAACTACCCTGCCCCAGACTCGTACCAAGTCGCCACTTATTCATTGAAGCAACGAAATGTGGAAAGGAAAATTGACGAGCGCAAAGGCGCTTGGGACACTTTTTTCTTCCTTACCTCCATCGATGCACGGCGAACTCACTAAGAAAGTGACTGGCTAGGAGTCTATCCCTGCCCGCTTCCCCTCACAGTTTACCGCGCCGGCAGAACAAATGAACACACAATTACAACGAGGTTTTAGCACCTCTATCCCTCCAAATAACAATCCGGGAGTCTGGGGCAGGCTACCACTTCATGCAGCTGTTGTACCCAGTTTTATTCTTCCTTTGATGTTGAAAAGGTTAAATATCTGGAAATTTGATTTAGGCATAAAAGCTCGAAAATAACGACATTCAGTTTTCTTAGAAGTAACTCTTTCTGATTGTTTCTCAGGCAATTTACGACTTGTGTTTGGCAGAGAGCAGAAGAATCCTGTTTTATTATACAACAGCTTCCTTCGAAAAGCGTTTGTCACCTGGCAGGAAGGAGGCGTGCTGCTATCACGACAAATAACCATGGCAACTCGACCACTTTGCACTCCACCATGCGCTCCTCGACAGACATGCGCAGTACAGGACAAATGTGTCCCCAACACAGGAAGTAAACTGAAATACTTTTTTAAATTTCGTTTAAAAATAACACAATATATGAAGCACTATCACACAGACTCGCTGGATAGGCAAACAAATTTTTCTTTTCAGTTCGAATTTCTTAAAACAGTTTCGTTATCATAGCCGGCATGAACAGATCGCAGCTAGCGGACCTTTGTTGAAATTTAGTCCTTAATGCAACATTATATATGATTGTGATTAGATTATTTTTTTTGTTCAGTTGACGGGAAATATTTGTAAAGGACAATACGAAACAATACTACACGACAAGATACGATACAGTTCAGTACAGGTGCAGTACGGTGCAATAGAATACGGTACGCTACGGTGCGATACGATTTTTTTTAGACAAGTATTTTAGACAAGCCTGACAAGACTATCAGGGGGAGAGCGGAGTTTATTGATGCTTTGTGTATCTTGTTTGTGCACCGTTTTCACGCAGGTCTATGTTTTTTTTATCTCCTTAAAGATTTATGCAGCGTGAACAATGGAGGGTGCAGTCACAGGTGTACATCATTAGGTCGATGGAAAGTTCAGTGCTCTTGTCCAGGTCAAATGCAGCTGAAAGAAGACGGCAAAAACTGCAGGAGTGGTGAGTGGGGCCTGATAATAGTGTGGTCTATCCACCCCCTCCCCCTCGGGAATAAACTATTTGGAGGGTTAGGGGAAGGTTATTTAGGTAGTCTCTTAGAATCAGTATCTTACGACGATCCGTTCGCACTTTGAACGATATCCTGTGGTGATATCTTTCGAATCTAATCTCTTTGGTAGAACTTTTGAATGGTGGCATATACGTTTCAGATTTTACCAAATTCTTTATTGAATTTTTTTTGGCAACTATTAAGAAAGAAAGGTTTTTCAACAAAGAATTCAAATTTCATTTGGTAAATCATAACTTGAGTTTCTATACTAGTCATTTATAGATATAAAAATAGAAATGGAAACCGGGATTCAAACCTTGGTGCGACATGAACTACAGGGTGTGGTTTTAGGAATGCTTATATCTAAAATAGAGCCTAGGGGTTAAATAATCTCGGCGGAAATAGGTTTTCTTGAAATGATTGCATTGTTCTGAAATTTTTGCAAATTTTATTTCGTTAAATAAAACCGAAAGTAGGAGAGCAAACAAAGATTTTTTCTTTTTTAATTCCTAGTTCTTCCATGCCATGGTATGACCCCTGCAAAGAAGCCATCCACTGGAGCTGACTATTTCTGCGGAAGAGGGGCACTAAGTAACGTGTGTCCTTCTAACACCTACTGTCATATTGCCCCCAATGATGCTTTTGCTAAATGCTGTGAAGGTAACGTTTTACAATTTACAACAAAGAGAATAGCTAAGTTAGGCCTCTTCCCTCCCTGAGGAAGTTTCAAGTAGCATAGCAGGTAACGATGTATCCATATTTTTGGGAAGAAGGATTCTAACATAATTGTTCCCAGGATGGCTCCTCCTTGCCTTCTGGGCGGGAACCAGGAACGAGGTACTCCCGTTCCCAGAGGTTTTTCCTGAAGCCTCGAGGGCAAAAGTTGGGAACGAGATTTGCATTCTCATTGGCATGTAAAGGAATGTATGATCGTTGATGACAACACCACCTTTTCTTTTAATCCCATAAAACCCGAAAGTGGCTCTGTAATTATAACAAAGTAGGCGTTCATTGGTTCAGTTGTGTTGTGAAGGCCTACTACTTGCTTGTTCTGAATTTCGGCCTTTCCAGTCATGACAACATATATTGCTGTTATTTGTCAGCTCCTCTACCAAGCTATTCCATTGTGGTAGTCACTAAAAAGGCAATATGGCAGCTGTTTATGGACACGAAACTAAGCCGAGCCACGTTTAGAAAGGTGCAATTGGATCACGATCCCATGATGCTTGTCGCGCTGGGTTATGACCCAGTGGATAAGCGTGTATATTGGAGTGACGTAGATGAAGGCTCTATAAACCGCATCTTTTTGAGCGGAATAGGAAGCAAGCAACAGATACAGAGGTAATTTATATACCACTGGACTTGTAAATAGGCACCCTTAAGTTTTTGCACTAAAATTTCAAAGCAAAGGAAATTGTCTTTACTATATCTCACACGCCAACCTCTTTAATAAGTTGAATCAAGTTCAAGTTTGGTTAACCCTACTATTGAACATGTGGGAAAAGTCGCGTTTTTCATAGCGGGTGCCCGTTAGTTTTTTCGCTAGTTTTTATAAAGCACACCAGGGAAACACGCCAGGGGAACGCAAGCGCGACTCTGACATCTCTCCCTTCGCTCTAAAAGAACCGCCTACGTTTTTCCGGCATGTTTGACAGGTGAAAAACTTTAGCCCAAAAGTTTTCACCATTATTGAGGATCTTTCGAGATACGAGATTTGAACCTCGAGATTCGGGATCTTTAAGCAAAATGGAGGAGAGATTGGGGATTGAAAGTATACACACGATGTGGGATGTCAAAAATAGCCACCGGGGTTACGGGATTGCGCGAAAATTTGGGTCGGGATGACGGGATTGAAGAACCCAATCAGGGACTGTCATTTTTAGGCAAAGGCTTTGTTAAGGAGCTTTAGATTCTAACACGATGATGACTACGAGTACGAGATTTTCTCAATACTGAGTAGTGCTCGCGCGTGAACCAGCGTCATTTTGGCGGGTAAACGTGTTAGCCTTCGTCATTTTACTACGAGTTTTAGCGAGATTCACTGATCATCCTTGTCCCACTGATCTCCTTATTCAAGCAACCTTAATCGCAATATTTGTTAAAACTTCCTGTCTTAGAAAGCGAGAGAATCTTGCACTGTGGAAGTACCTTTTGTTCACCTGCATTAACATGGTTTGATTTTGGTTAATACAGAAATGCAGGTGTCGTGGATGGCATGGCACTCGACGTTCAAAATAATTTCATTTACTGGACTGAGGTGTCAAATAACGTAAGGCGGGGAAGGATCATGCGTGCAAGTTTAGATGGAAGGAACCCCAGACAAATGCGGCAGGGACTGGATAAACCGAGAGCTATCGTCCTCTATAAGCCGACAAGGTTTGTATAACGTGATTGCTGCGCTTTATTGTTGGCTGAAAGGCCAGGCGCACTTGCTAACCAATCAGAAATGTAATCAAATCACGTGCCTCACTCACAAGCAATTTTTATGCTCTTAGCGCTGGTTAGGTGTGTTTGTGATTGATTCATATGCATTTCTACGCGTATTCGTTCACCTGTTTGTTTAGCTAAGACGAATTAATTTTCTTAAGCCATACCGAAAACGAATGCTAGCCACATACATGCCAAGCATGCGTATTAGCAACCTGGAGAATAGGATTGCGGGCTATTTCTGTCGCACGCAATCATACCAGCCATAGAAGACTGTAAGTACGTACTGGTGGTCACATAGAGAGGTATTCTCAACCCAAGCTTTTGAAACGGCATCCATTAGGAAGATAGCAAGTAGTGTTTATAGCGGAAATCGGCCGTGCAAAGAAAAGTACTCCCTACTGAAATAAGTGCATCTGTACCATTTGTTCTGACTCTAGGATGATGTATTGGACTGACTGGGGAACCACACCCAAGATCGCGCGAGGAAGGTTGAACAATGATTACAACGTGGACACGATTGTGACAGGACGACTAAAATGGCCGAATGGTTTAGTTATCGATGCAGCTTCGCAGAAACTTTTTTGGGCAGACGCTGGCATGGACAAAATAGAGTACTCTAATCTAGACGTAAGGCTGCGTGCAAATGGACTCAACAACTCTCAACATTGTTGGCGCAACAATGTTAAGAGTTGTTGCGTGCGTGTTGGCAGTGGTGTGCAAACGGACGCAACAACTCCCAACATTGTTGCGCCAACAATGTTGGGAGTTGTTGCGTGCGTGTTGGCAGTGGTGTGCAAACGGATGCAACAACTTGCAACAATGTTGGGACCTGCAGTGCATCGTGGGAAGGATACAACCCATAAGTCTTTGTAAACCATGCGTAATGAGCGTGCGTGGCCCCAACAATGTTAGAAGAGCTGTGCAAACGGATCCAACATTGTTGCGCTACGCTTCGGCGATCACGGAACAAAAGAAATGTTGGGAGTTGTTGGCTGAAAAATTTGACCGGTTTCAAACTTTACGCAACAACATCCAACAGCATGCAACAGGGTGTGCAAACGGACGCAACATGTAGCATCCAACAATGTTGGGAGTTGTTGGCCAACAATGTTGCGTCCGTTTGCACGGGACGTAAGAAGCTTTGTGCTCTTCTCGTATGTGAGGCTGAACATTCTACAAACCAGCTCTCAATAAGCGTGATATGGGGTCATGGCTCTCATACGAATATGCGAGATTTCCTTACCTTAACTGAAAGCCTGTGATGTCCTTTTCATTTGCATCGATATAATTTAACTATTATTTCTTCTTCAGGGCCATGGTCGTAGTGAACTGCTCAGTGCCCCACATGTCCGTCATCCCTTCTCTCTCGCCATCCTAAACAACAGGTTATTATTTCTGTAAATGTTGTCATAGTAACTGATAATAAATTAGTTCATAATAAATTAGGTAACCTACGAGCAACCTCTTCATTCGGGGGTTATTGTGAGAAGTCTCACGCAGGCATGGAATTATTTTGCCGCTCGCTTATGTGTTCTTTCGCAGCACGCTTCGCTCGCCACTCGAGACGAAGAGCGTGCTCTCAAGCTATGAACGAGGCTGAATATGATCGTCTGAGTGAATGTGGTTCTGTTGACTGTGACCAGCATTGAAAAGCCATTTACATGTTATGATAAATTTGTCACTACGTTTCACAAAGTTTGAGTAAGATACAACTGGATAATGGAGATACGACGAATTGCATCATGGGTTCCTGTTACGAGGAGACTGGGTCGAATTTTATCCCCCAAAATAGTTTCATAGTGCAATTCGACTCAACACTCTAACCCAGTCTCCAACCCAACCTTAAGGCCTTAACCCCTCTAAGAGTATTCCAACAAATTTGGAAAACCTGGTAAAAAGTTTTCATTACGAACACAAACAAGTTTTAAGAAACCTTTTGAAAAAACACGAGAGGGTGGTGCGATCGTTTCCGTTAAATTTTCGAAAGGTCATCCTCGACCAATAATTTGCGTCAAGACTAGAAGAACAACATCAAGATGACATTAACAGATATTTTCTCGTTGAAAGAAATTCCCTCTCCAATACGAAAAATTTAAAAAGCTATTTATGCTCTAGAATACAAAATGATGGCCTGGTTTTGCTTTTATAAGTACCTGGCGTCGATATTACAGCTTCTGGCTCAATTCTTGAGGCTTCTTCTTTTTCTAAGCTTTCCTTTTGGAATGAAAAAAAAAAAGGCTGTGGATAGGAACGCAGTTGTTAGTAGTCGAAAGTGTTGTTTGCTTGTTTGTTTTAGATTGTTTTGGAGTGACTGGGAAACTTCAGGAATACATTCAGTAGACAAAGACACAGGCGGAGATATGATGACTGTAGCCAAGGGCCTTGATCGGCCAACCGCGTTTGTAATATTTAAAGCCACTCCTCCAGGTTTGTAATTCTTGAATTAGTTCGATCTTCACCCTGCGAACAGAGCCTCTTTCTGTCTTCTTGAGTAAGGAGAAGAAAAGGAAGCTCTTTATAAATCGTGTCAATCCTCTGAAGTCGCGGAAGCCCGAACTTCTACACTAAGCAGTCTTGTTTTCTCTCGTCAAACTGGTTTTTTCGAGTGGCTATTTTAATATTTAACGCATAACATTGCATCTGTTTCACAAAACCGATTAATATAAAATTGAACAATTTTTATTGTAAGGCTGGGAAACTCGGCATGGGATTTTTGGGGGTTAATTTTTGGGTTAGGTTTTTTTTGGGGGGGGGTGGGGTAGGGTTGTTTTTGGCCTGATTCGATCATCCCCGTCACTTGAAATCCGCAGTACCTCTCTGAGCGTTCGAGTGGCTTTAGTGAAATAACTTTTTGTTTCCATACCAGTTGGTCCCAGTAGAAACTGCCCTGATCCAGGTAACCCAGCAAAAGGTGACAGGAACCCGCCTCCGACAGACGGCAGCAGTGATTACCCACAAGGCAGTATGATACGCTACACGTGTTATCCTCACTATAATCTACACGGACCCGTCACCCGCACGTGTTTGGCTGACGGTAGCTGGAGCGCAAAAGCACCGGAATGTCTTAGTGAGTACATTGAGCTTAGCCTTAAAAAACAGCCGTGATTTCGCCACGCCACCGATGGTTTCTCCGCGAAATGACGTCTGAAATTCCATTTTGATGACGCGTCAGTATCCAGATCTGGGTAGTGCTTCTGATTGGTTGAAAATTGGCCTCATTCAACCAGAAGCATTACCCAGATCTGGAAGGTGACCCGTCATCATTATGGAACTTCTGCGCTTGTTTCTCAGACGTCATTTCGCGGGTAAATAAATGGGGTCGCAGCGAAATGTTAGCTATTTTCTCAGGCTACATTCGGCGAGGATCATTCGCAATGAGACACTGCCTTTCCCCAGGGTGCAGTTATTTTCTACCTCAACAGATTTCTCTGGGAACCTATCAAGTCACAACGATTAACAGACTGCTCTTCATCTCAGTTTTCTACCGTAAATTTGAAGTAAAGAGTTTTTACCAGCTTTTCTGAACCTTCCCTAGCTACCATATCATCAGGAAAATCGCGGGTAGTTTTGCTGTTTCTTTGAGATACACTATTAGGACATTCACAAGTTTACACTTCGAAATCGACGCTACGGAGAGAACTAAGCTAGCCGACCTTAGCATGCACGAGGGTTATTGTATTTCTAAGGCTGAATTAACGAAGCATCATTTTGGAAGATCAAGTCTCCGTCTTAAACGCTTTTACAAAAAAGTAAGGTAAAATTTTGCGCTACAGTAAAAACCCGCCAGTAAGAACCTGCATTTTTCCAAGTTAGCATATAAATGGTAATTAGCACAAATTTAGACTGAACAATTTCTGATACATAGTAGCAAAGAGTGTTTAGTGGTATTCAGCTTATCATACCAAATTGATACTAATGTGAAAATGACTATAAGAAGGAGAACTGAAGCACTGTCCACATGAATTTTTAAGTCCTCCTTCAGAATATAACATACATGTATTGTAGTGTCTTATTATTTTATTTGCCCAAGTGTAAGGAATGTTTTATAGATATTAGAAAATAAGAACCTGTTTCAAATTTTAGGCTAAACAGGCTCTTGTATAGAGGGGCATAACTAGCAAATTTTAGCCCAACAGGTTCTTTAAAGAAACCAGGTTCTTACTCGTGTGTGTTTACTGCATTTTTCGTTTCTCTTCAGGCCCTCCGAGATTCCGCCAGACTCCAACCAACGTAACTGTCAAAGAAACAAGCTCTGCCGTACTTGAGTGTTCTGCTTCGAACCCTAATACAAATATTACGTGGTATAAAGACGGAAACGTTGTAAAAGAGGATGGTATTGCCATTACGAGAACCGGGTTAATAGTTGTGAGTGTTCATCGTTCAAACCAAGGTTGGTATGTCTGTAACGCAACGAACAGGGCAGGCAGCAAGGAGGTGCGCGCATACCTCAAAGTGACGAGACCGCTCGATGCAGGTTAGTGATAGATGATAAATTTATCATTTACAATTTGAAAAACGCTGCGGCTTAGAAATTGGTTTCTCCATTCTGTCGTCTAAGAAAGAACGGTAGAGTCCACGTTAGCGTTTACTTTGTTAAAAAAAATGTTTACAACGTAGCTCCAGTAAAATCGGATTATTTCATATCATTGCCAAAAATTTATAATAAAGTCTTGAAGTCTTGATATCTGTAATTCTTTTCGATTGTTAAAACCAAAAACTTTAAGACGAAAAGTTCGTCATAGCTCAGTGCGCCTGTATACCTTAATCTGCATACATTTTGACAAAAAAATTAGTTGAGAAAATTCAAATATCAAAGCATTTAACTCTTATTACTTCTCATGACCTTTTCTTTTGAATATGTCTTTAAATTGTAAGAAGAAAATTGATGTTGGTCTTTCTTGGGACTTGAAGAGTTAACGCCGGAAAATTCATCATGGCGGATGCGTGTGGGCGTATCTTACGGAGGGGCACAATGGGGATACCCAATACCGTAAGAAAAATTGGTAAATACCAAAATACCGTGTCAAAAATCGACAAAATACCGATACCGCATGTATGATCGGTTACGCTTACTTAAAGTTGCATCCATCAAGCGTTATGACCCCGCGAACATCTTGAGCAACCTCAGTCATAGTGAGAAAACACGAGAAGACCTCGATTGACCGGTACAAAGATCGAGAAGCACGGTCATTGTAAACTACAACAATTACATTGTAGATTAACTGCCAAAAATTGCGTAAATCATGTATGATGCTCACTGTGTTTTGTGTTGCATATTGTATTGACCTGCATTGGACATGAAAGAGCAAATGAACGGTACCGCAGTACCGCCGCGAAGGATCTTCTTTTACCAAATAGCGTCAGCCAAAAGGATGAAAACCGAATACCGCAGGGCTAGATGATACCGCAATACCGTTCACAAAAATTATACCGAAATACCGCATGAAAAAACTTAATACCGCAATACCGCAAACCCCAATTTCCCCCTCCTTCCGACTCTTGCAAGTATTTTCTAAAACTTCAGCAGTTCTCAAAAGTCGGACATTGTTTTGCCTTGATACCTTTCGCCCCGTACATGTAATAATGTAAATCCAAGACAGACTTGGATTCTGGATTCCACGCTTGAATCCAGATTCCAGGAACTGGATTCAGGATATTCCAATCTTAAACCAGATTCCGAATTCCTTGAGCTGAGTTCCGTAGTTCCAACCTAGGATTCGAGATTTCACAGGCAAAATTTTTAGGACTCAGGAATCCCGTTACTTTGCATGATGGGATAAACTCAGCGTTGTCATAAAGGAGAAATGCTCCTTGAAAAAAATATATTTATCGTAAAATTTCTAAATCCTTGGCGAAGCTTTCCGGTTTTAAACGTTATCGATACTTTTTTGGCGATTGTAATTCTAGTCTCACCTTGCTTTAACCCTGATTTCCCCCCGCAGACTGCGGCCGTCGCACCCTGACCACTCGTGGCAGGATTGTTGGCGGTAAGAAGGTGGAAGCAGGGTCTTTCCCATGGCAAGCCAGCCTGTGGAACACAAAGTCGAAAACACATTTCTGTGGTGGATCCCTTGTTGCTTCGAGATGGGTAGTTACCGCTGCCCATTGTGTAGCTGGAGCAGGTTTGTGATTTTGTTTACAAGGTTAACTGGGCATCGTCTGGGGGCTGTTTAGACTTTCTGTAAGTCCTTCATTTTTTTCCTGGTTAGTTATATAGCTATATAGACTTATACATAGACTTCGTCGCTGGCTCGGTCGCTGCGCGACCTCATGCATTGACACTCGCTTTTAAGAACTTATGAGAGGTCGACTTGTAAAACGTCTAGGGGCTGTTTGGGTTGAGGTATGCCGCCGAAGCCCTCAAAACCTGACCTTGTTTAAGAAAAAAATTACTCATTTCGCTTTTCTGTTTAAGACAAGAGACCTTAGTTTATAACCCTGATTTGTTTCGTTTTGCAAACAAAATTAGCTAATTTTTCCAATTAAATATCATGAACTACACTTTTTAGAAAAAAGAAATTGTTGTTGCCGCAAATGTGGACCGCTCATCCGCAGTCCTTTTAAAGGCTTCCTGTCCGAAGACGCCAAATAGCGAAATTGTGTAACCTGTTTAACACTCAAGAATCTGAAAGCCATACCCTGTTCTGCAGCACATCCATCTAGGCCAAATAAGAAAGTAACCCCCCTCCCCAGCCAAGCGTTCGTAGTGCCCTTTTGTTTCCATATTGGCTCTTCCAGAATTTGCTTGGCCCATGTTCACCAAAAAAAAAAAAAATTAAAATTGAAAATCAGTAGTGTTCATTTTATCTATATCATTCGCATAACGGTTCCTCTTAATGTGTCAATTATGTATTGATATTGTTAGGTTCTTTAGGAATGTAACGGTTAAGATCCTCGGACGAGGCTGCATTAACTTTTTAAAACAGCGTCGAAAAGGGTGATATGGACAAAGGTGCAATGTCTAGCACCGGTGTTTGAGCGCAGCAAAGTTTGTGCTGGTGCCCACTTATTTCTTCTTATTACATTGTATCTAACTAAATCTTGCTTACATAAAACAGGGGCACCCAACGACAATTTTAGGAAAGTATCTGTTCGGAAGACGATTTGAGATCTAGATTTTTCGGAACATTTGCTGTAAATGTCTTGCTTGCCTGCCTCTGTTAAGATTTTCGAACATCTGAAAAATGGTATAATTGCCCATTTTTAACGGATTTTTGCCCTAAAAAGGTCACCTAGAATTTTCGGGAGCCTTTTTTCTGGCTGAAATTTTCGAAAAGGTAAGTTTTGATCCCTATGATTTTCGGCTCACTAGACTTTCAGCTAGGAAATCCGAACTGATGAAAAATTTTTTAGGGGATAAAAAATATGCCTATATCTACCGTTTAAATACTAAATATTCTCGTGGGGTGCCCCTGATAAAACTAGATAGTTACGTTTATAAGAGTCGATAGGAACAGGTATGAAATTTTAAATCCTAGTGTTAGATTATTTAACAATTAATGAATGAGGCTGAGTATCTTATGTAGAATTATGGAGATCGAGGAGTGTGTTATCCGTCGAGGCCGTAGGCCGAGGCAGATAACACCCTCCGAGATCTCCATAATTCTTTATAAGATACGAGACCCGAATTCAATAATTGATTTATTATTTATTCAAAATAATGCCTGGTTTAAAAACATTGCTAAACATACTTACCTCCATCGATGTTAAGTTCATCAGTTCGATAGTACACGTTTAGGGTTGTTCAGCTCCGCAAATATTCTCCAAAGAGCAGATGTCGCCCTTCGAGTTGTCTTGCAGCAGGTCTGAAAACCAGCTTCTGAGCCATTTACCGTGTTCAAATAAAGTTGATTGAAGTGAATTGAATTTCTGTGGCACCCATGCGCTTGCCTGTTCCAGGCTCCGAGATATTCGGGTCTGCTGAATTGAGAAAGCGCAAACACGAAAATAAAACGGGAGGAAACTGGGAAGAGAAGGGGCGGCTCTCCCTTCCTTTTTCCCGCCTCTTTTTCCCGCTCCGCCAACTTTTCGCGCACCTTTTTCTTTCGCGTCTTCCCCACTATCTGAGAGCCTGGAACAGGCTACCCATGCGCTAATCCGCAGTTGATTGTTGTGTTAAGTTTTGGTCGCTTAGCACTGGACCTTGCTCATACTGTGTTCAACATTTGTACATTCTCCATAATACATCTTGTTTGCCTCCCCCCCCCCCACCCCTACAAAAAAAATTCCATGACTTTTGCTGGTATTACAGTCGCCCCAAGAGAAGAGAAAGACAATGCCTGTGGTGTATTATGGGAGACGAGCAAATGGTGAATATAGAGCGTATTCACATGATGTCTGTTGCTGTCCCGAAACAAAAAAAAAGGCCATGTTGGTGTTGCAAACCAATCCTGTCGGAGTTGAACCTTTTTTCTTTTGTTCAATAAATTTGCATAGCCACTGACCACGTGACTGAAAAGGCTCTATTGTTATGTAGATCCGGACGATGTCCAGGTTCGTCTCGGAAAGATCTTCACCGACAGAGCAGAGCCCAGCAGGGAACAACTTATTTCCGCGAACAGCATCCTGATTCATCCTCACTACGATCATCACCGTAGCGACTATGATCGTGATATAGCACTAATACGCCTGAAGACCGCGGTTATTTATACCGATTATGTAAGACCCATCTGCCTACCCTTGCGAGGAAATGACGCTGATAGATATCTTCTGCGACCCGGAATGACTGGTGTCATTACAGGTGATCAGATTGTAACGATCTTGGTTGGCGAACAACTCTTCTATCAGCTGCTTTCTTTCTTTTCTTAAGCAAAGAAATACACTTGAGGCTGGAGAGTGTATTCGGAGAGAATGGAGAGTAGTCGTTACGTCACGTTGCCATGGCAACAAAATTTCTGGTTCTCAACAAACCGTGGTCCTGCAAATATGGCAGAAAAAACGAAAAAATTGACACGCATGACTTCCTGTGCATGATTACACTCAGGAACAAAACGGTAGCCCATACTTTTCTTCCATCGTTCAACAATGCAAATGCCCGTCTCTGTCAAGAAAGATTGTAGACATCCAGAAATTTTGCTATTATGGTAACGTGACGTCACAATTACCCTCTTAACTAATATTTAATAATATATTTATTAAACTATGTACATATTCTAAAGCGCTAATAAAAGCTGACAAACACACTAACACAACTAAATAAAATGAAAATAAAACACCACAATCACAGTACACGAGTTGTCTCACTGGGCAAATGCCAAACGAAATATAAAAGTTTTCAGAGCCTACTCAGCCTGCATAAAAGGCGCTCAATGAGCCAAGCGAGGCAAAACAAAGCATTTTACGCGAAGTGTCGTGCGTCGCGAAAAATGCCGCTTTCTCCTCGCGTGGCTCATGAAGCCCTTGTTGTGCAGGCTAGCTAATTAGATGCAAACAGAGGTTTCATTTACAGTTCTTTTCTACAGTATTTCGGGACGTTAATTTTTAGCCGCCAGATTTCCCGTGTGCTATCGGCGTCAATGTTTCGTATTGCGTCGTTTAAGAAGTCTCAAATGACACTTGCTCAATATTCCTAGTGAACAAGTTGAACCGACGTTTTACAAATGACCCCTTTGTGTGTTACCGTTTTACAGGTTGGGGTGACAAGAAACAAAGACTACCGAAGCTTGCTAAGGTCCTTAAGAGAATGCGTCAAGCCGACGTACCAGTCGTAAACCAAACCAAATGTAAAAAGGCCAACAAAAAGTACGTCGTCACAGACAACATGTTTTGCGCCGGTTACTTCAACGGAACACATGGTGACGCATGTCAGGGAGACTCGGGTGGACCGCTGGCCATTGAGAATAGCCTTTCACTGGATGTAGCTAACGAAAGATGGGTGCTCGCAGGCGTCATTTCGTGGGGACGAGGCTGCGGAGGAATGGGCACATACGGCGTCTATACACGGGTTTCGATGTTTGTTCGATGGATTAATAATCAGATAAACAAGGACGATTGAAATTGTGGTATTCATTCTGGTCAGTTTGTAGACCATAAAGAATTTAACCCGGTGCCGACACAATAGTTGCATAGTGTGTGCTGTAAAGTAGTTTATTTTCTAGTAAACCTCAGTAAGGATAATATTCAGTGAAATAAAGACTAAAAGCATTGGCAGTTGAATTTCCGATCATGTTATTGTTATTGTTGTAGGTAGTTAGTTGCCAAGTGCTTTACCATTGGTTCGAATGAATGTATCATACTCACATACTAACCCCGGGGGGTGGACTCCCACATGAAACAGACGGGGATGCTCGTCGGAATTTTGAATTTAACCCCTAAAGGAGACCATCTGGGCGTGGCTCAAGCTTTTTGTGACCCCTATATAAGGAGACCAATCTGGGCGTGGCTAAAGCAAATTTTGACCCCTAAAAGAGACCGCTTAAAAACACACAAATACGACATGCAATGAGTTTTAAGGACATAAAGACATAACAAACAAAGTTAAAAAGAAAATTGACTTCTGTTTCTCTTCGTGTAATTCTGTGTTTCTTCGCGGAACCCTAAACGAGACCTTGGCGCCTTCAAATATTGGCGCTTTGCCCGGAACACGCTAAGCGAGACCAAAATCCAAAATTTACACCCCTAAGCGAGACGACGAGCATCCCCGTCTGTTTCATATGGGAGTCCCCCCCCCCCGGATACTAACACTTGAGGGATCACATACCCAGAGTCTTTTTTTGTGGGGTGGTGTTGGTGGGGGTGAAAGTGGGTTTTCCGCTTGCGTTATGAATGGACTGAGCTGTGACAGAAATGGCGATGGTTTCCCTGCTCAGATTCTAAATTGCGGGTCTTATTATTTGGGCTGAAATTGTTCATGGTTGTCCAGATTTCAGATCCACGATCACGCTTGTGAATAGCCAGCTGATTAGCCTCCGCCCAGATGGGGTTCTTAACCCTGTTATCTTTGATTTGAATTATTTGTTTCAGTCATTTACTCGGCCGCACTAGCATTAGTGCTATAATGTCGAGGGTAAATAAAGGAATTATTTATTTATTATTATTATTATTATTATCATTATTATCAAGAAATACGGGAGTTTGTGTAAAACATTTTACAGATAAGCACGTTACATAAATATAATGTAAGCGTCTCACACCCCCTCACAAAAACTTCCCCATAGTTACGTTGGAAGTGAGTAGCCTGTGGTATAACCTTAAAACGTTGCTATGGTTTACTTCCAGAAAAAAAAAACGTTGACGCGTAATAAGTCTCATTATCAACATGTTAAACTTACCATGGAGTTGGAAGAAAGCCAGGGTGACGTCAAATTAAATCTCCGTGTCTACCGCTACTGTTATGTCGCTAGCATCAGTTGTTCCAACACAGGTTCAATGAACGAGAAAGGAAAAGAGATGAAATTGCGCAATAAACCAATTGCAATCTTCTTCCCAGGGTCTTTGCTCTTTGCATCTTTCTTCGGTGAAACAATGTAGTGAATGGAAGGTTGAGAACAACATTGAAGTGCGAGGTCGTGGGATTAACTTTCCTGGATTGAAATTCCGTGACCAGACTAATCTGGTTCATAGATTGACGTTACTTTGTCTGTGTAGAAGTGTTTACAAGATTGGAACTAAAAGCAATGTAAAAGAAACTCCTTGCTTATTGAAAACGCTCTGAAGTCAACGTTTTCCCTTATTCACGATAACCGCCCTCTTTGCACGCCCCCGACGATTGATGGGATAAAACACGGCGATGTCATATGGTCAGTTTTAGAGGGCAAACAACTGATAAAAACAGCCAAAACAATTGTTTATCCTGGACCACAGGAAATGGTGAACTTTTAATCTTTAAGAGGATTAGGGCAAATTGTGAATAGAAGTGATCAGTGACTGTTTTGGATGCAGTAACGACTGTAGAGCCATAATGAGGCAAAACATGACGAAACATTTTCTGTACATTTTGCCTTGGGCCCGGTTCAGACGACGAACGTTTCATGGGCCGACCCAAATTATTAAGACCGGCTGAATCGATTCAGACACCGATCTTAATTCCAGCCGTACTAAATTCAGAAGGAGAAAAATGCTCTTTTCGGTCAAACTGCTTACAAAATACGTTATAAGAATTTATGCATTAGGTTCGGTACATGAAGGGTTCGGCGTCTGAATTAAAGGCGTTCCAAAGTCGATCCAAAGTCGAATTCCCGGCCGCGCTAGGCGAAAAGATCCGGAAAGAACGGCTGAGCCGTTCCAAACAGACGTTCCTAATTGATTCAGACACCGAACTTTTCATGTACTTAATTCAATGTATTAGGTTCGGCTCATGAAAAGTACGGCGTCTGAACCGGGCTTTACTAAAATAGTTGAAATAAATTAAAAGAAAAAACTCTCGGCCATGAATACTCGTATTGACAACTTTTATTATGTGAGGAACTACCTGGCATTCTTTTGCCCCACCAATCCCAAAGTGTGTCCAAAGATGGCGGATATCCTGAATAAGGTTAATTAGGGAAGAGGGAAAAGCCTCACCGTGGAAACGAGGTTGACCTCAAAAGGCCGAAACAAAGAATGGGAAAGGGCTGGCAAGAGGTAGGTGTTCTCCTGTAATAAAACCAAAGAATCCTAGTTTCTCATTCACTAACAATGTTTTATTGGCGATATTTTGTTCCCATTACATGGAAACTCTAATTATTCTTTGCGTTAAAATTGAATAATTTAAAATTTAACCATAACTTATTTATTTTTATAGTAGAAGTATACTTTGGGCTGGCCAAGCTAGTTAACAGATATTACAAGAAAAAGAACTATTAAAAATTTTCAAACTTCATTGTTTTTCATTCTGTCAACATTGACTTAGTCTTTTTATCAATTATAATCGGTAATTAAGAAAATAATGTACACATTGTTATTACGTTCTCGGACTCAATTTGTTTACGTGGATTTGTAACTTTTTCTCCTTAAAGAGAAGTTAATTGTCTTTTAGGGTTTTGAAAACAAAGAAAATTCCCCAAAGGCGATGAAAACTTCATAGTCACGGTTACAAGGAATGCTGGGAGGGAGAGGAACTATTCCTCCCTTGATGCATTACGTTCTTTTTCGAATACTGGGAACGAATGCCGCTCGTTGCCTCATTCAACAGTGCACACACGTCACGTCACGCCACGTCTCTTGTCAAATTCAAGAGTCACACAATCCACCACCTCAAGGAGGAGTTTATCCTGTGTTGGTGGTGTCATGAAATAATGAATTTCATGACCCAATCTACACCACTGAGGGTGCGCCTTCGTCGCTCATACATTACAATCTATGAGTTGTTTATACAAGGTAAACACAGAATGATCAGGGTGGAGAGGCAAAAGACCAAGACAAACAGAACCATAAAAGCTCGATCCACAATGGCAGCCGCAATTCTGCATTCGGCGGCATGCCTCTCCGAGTCTTTATGATCCTTAACTACTGAGCAGATTGACTTAAGTTCAGCCGACACGGCGTCTTGTTTAAAACGTTGCCGTAATTCCTGGTCTGATAATTCGTCTTGCGAGTCTACAACACCCTTGGTATTACTTTTCCTCACTTCGACGGAGTCCAAATTCACACCGCCATTTTTCTGCACATGCGGAGTAACTGCCTCGCAGTTCACGGAAACATTGTACATGGAAAGATCACTGTTTCGCGAAGAGTTTGGTCTGAGCTTATTAAGAAATTTAAAAGGATTTCCAAGGCACGACTTCTTTTTACGGTGTTCCTTTTTGCCAGTGATTTCGGTATTAAAACAGAGCAGTGGCGCGAGGCGGTAGAAGAGGAATTTCCTCAAGCCGGGCGACAAACCGCTCCCGTATAAATAAGTGTAATACACCTTAAGACTGATTCCAGTCGCAACCAGCGCAAGAGCGACCTCGATAATGGAACTGGTGTAGTACATGCCTATGACCGGGACAGCCTCAGATGTAGGCGGTATACTCTCTGCCACCAACAGCAAGAAAACAGTCATGCTCAACAGAACAGTGATCACGAACGAAATTCTCTCTCCGCACTCCACAGGGATGTAAAAAGAAAAGAAGGCGAGAAGTGCTATGAGAAAGTTAGGGATGATCAAATTGTAAGTGTAAAACAACGACCGCCTCTTAAGGTTGATCTCAAAGGTGATGTCAGGGTACTTGTCGTCCGGACAGCAAGAATATGTTACCACGTTTTTTTCGATGTCAATCGATGTCACATCCCACTCGCCGTTGTCAAGCATGTTTTCTGCAACTTGAGCCGTTTCATTCTTTCTGAACAGATCAAGGTCTTTCGAGGTGAATAGCCACGATCCAAACTTAAGTTTACACTGCTGCTTATCAAAAGGAAAATCGTGCACTTTAAAGTGGCAGGAAGTTTTGAAGACGAAGGGCGCCGCCCAGAAGCAATGACCATCGTGTGCAATACGAATGCGTGTCTTCACGTTGTCCATTCTGCCGTCAAATTCTTCAAAAACACTACAGAAATTAAATGAATAAACACGTAAATATATAAACAAATAAGCTTTTCTTAGTCTCGGCACTCCTTATAGTAATAGGCAAAAACAAGAGATGAATTGTCCGTCTGCAAAGAATTTTCAATCCTAAATTATACCGAATTAGCTGACGATTTAAACTGACTGGGATAAAATTTGTTGCCTCGGCTGAATCTTCGATCTCTGATTTGTCTATAAGCAAGACAGGCAAAGATGTGTTTTCCCACTCAATACTTCTTAACAAAAAATATAATAAATAAATAAATAACAAAGAATAACTCGTGTTGGTAAAGGACTGCGCAGCTGGCGCGGGTTTCGGGAATCAGGGACGAGAGTCGTTGTTTCCGCCCCATTTCCCTCGCGGCTTCGACGCTCACTCGCACTTTACTCGTTGCCAGCCCGAAAAATTTCGCCAGCAACGGAGGTTACTGTTGGTATAACTCACTTGTTATAAAGGACGAGATCAGGCTGCCAGACAAGAGAAGAATCGACAGTGATATGCTTTAGTCCACCATAATCTTCCGGGTTCCAACGCACCAATTCATTAACCCATTCCTGTAAAAAGAAAGAATCGCCATACTTAATGGGAAAGATATCACCACCTCTTAAGATAAGACGCTATGATGGCGCTCAATTTTCGGGGGCGGGGGGGGGGAGAGGGTAGGCTGTTAGCCAGACATTGAAAACTGGCCGTTTAGAAGACATATTTTCCCCGGGGAGTGACTCCTTAAATAAACTTAAAACAATCATTGCCTTTTTGAGGGGAATGGAAAGGGCACGGGGTTGGTAAAAATCTAACAGACGGAGCGATAAGCGGACTTTTCTATCTTTCTCTTCATTCCATCGCTTATGATCCAGTAAACCCTAGATTGTCAGAGTGGGCCAGTAGAAGCGTAAGAGTAAAACAATCGCAGTGCTTTAGAACTAGCATTTTTATTCTGACAGTCTTGTTTTCACTGGATCGTAGGCGATGTAAGCACATGCAGAATACGAACAAAATGTATGGTAAGCATGGCCTGCACGTCGAGAGGTACTCAAAAAAGTTCTATACTGGGAGAGGTTCCGCCCCAAAATCCAACCTCTTACCCTTTTATATACCATTTTTGACGGAAAAGATACCCCTTTCGTATACCTTCTATTGACAACTGGTACGCCTTTCACATACCTAGTTTAGAACCAGTGGCGGATCCAGGGGAGGGGCCCGGCCCCAATCGTATTTTTAGACCAAACTGAGGCCCAAAGGGCCGAAAAAATTTTTTTTTTTTTTGGGGGACCCCCCCCCCGTATTTAAGGGTCTGGGTGACCGGACCCCCCCAGGGTCTGGATCCGGCACTGATAACTGAAAAAGGTACCCCTTTCAGGCGGAGCCCCCCCCCCTTATAGGCCATTATAGAGAGTACCTCCCCGGGGGGCCTGCACAGAGAAGTCAACGGACGAGGAGTCTTTAATACGGGTGAATCACTATAGAAGATCTTCACACAGCAGCAGGGCGGAGGGCTGCAGTCTTCAGTCTTCAGTCACATCTTACCTGTCTCAACCAGATGTCTGTGATGAGAATTTGGTGCTTTTCATCCTGGAAAAGTAATGACTAACTTAGAGCATGCGCAAAACCTCTCGCTCCCAACCCCCTTCTGCGACCTGGCCTAACCTGGCCTAGGGCCCATGACGCATGGCCATCTATGAACGACTGCTGACACGAAATCTCGCAGCTCACAAGGTCGCACGAAGGGTCTGGGATCGAGTTCTAGTTTTCTCGGTTCCAGGACTTACCTGCCTGACCCATACACTACTAGAGAGAATTTGATATTTTTCGTCCTGGAAGGAAAATTAGAACATATGATGTTGTTACTGAATTAGAGGAAGTTAGTAAGATTATAGCATTTAAAAATTACTTGCTTTAGACTAAATCTTCGCTGAACAATTTCCAAGAGCATATTACTTTGCTTAGGTGAATGCGGCAACGCATTAGATAAATTGGTTAGCCGTTAGTTAGCAAGAAGCCCCTAAATCGTTTGCAAAAATTACCGCTTAATCAAGGCAACAGCTGCGAGCATTTTCATATTAAGACAGGTTAATCTGCGCCATTGAAGCAAAAATAACAATATAGTTAGAGTGAAAGTCTAAGGTGCATTTCTTTGCCAAAATCCAAATGCAGATTCCTGAATGCAAAAATGAATTTCGAATCTGAAGAAATCACAGCCCAAAAGGAACAGATCCGGGCAAATAGCACCAGTGGCGAGTAGTCTTTTATACTTTCTATGAAGATACGAGGCACGGCACATCTCGAGGGCTCACGTCAGTATTGCTGGCACGCAAGAATCGATTTTCAAGTTTTCGTTTCTTCGGCCCGGTTCAGACGCCGAACTTTTCATGAGCTGCACCTAATTCGAATTAAGGCCGACCCAAATTATTTAGACCGGCTGAATTGATTCAGACGTCGATCTTAATTCCAGCCCAACTAAATTCAAAAGTAGAAAAATGCTCATTTCGGTCAAACTACTTACAAAATACGTTAAAAAAATTTATGTATTAGGTTCGGTACATGAAAAGTTCGGCGTCTGAATCAAAGCCGTTCCAAAGTCGCTCCAAAGGCGAAATTCCCGGCTGGGCCAGGCGAAAAGAACGGCTGAGCCGTTCCAAATTGAAACAGGTGTTCCTAGTTGATTCAGGGACCGAACTTTTCAGGTACTTAATTCAATGTATTATGTTCGGCGTCTGAACCGGGCCCGTTACGTTGTAACGAATCCAAGGAATCTGAAATCAAGAATTTTTTTCTGGATTATCCCAACGAAACGCACCCTTAAACTTCTAAGTGCCAACAGCGATCAACAACGATATTTCTCCCAAAACTGTCAATACATAATTAAGGGAAAAGGTTATGAGTATTTAAAAAATGATCACCAACGGGAAAATGCTGGATTATTGATGAAATTCTCTCATCCAACTCTTTAGGCGAGTCAATAAGAAATCACCTTTCATACATGCAATACCATTAGCACCAAGGCTTGTTGATTTGGAAACGGAGGAATATAAACAACTTAAGTTTGCAAGTTGTCGGTCCATCGCGGGTCAATAGACTTTTTCCACTGAAAGGTGGAAAACGAACAAAACAATAGCCAAAACAATACCACAACCTGCTTATTTGGTCAACTTAACAATATTCCGCCTTTTCCCCCAAGTTGTGGTTTTCCTATTTGTGTAGTGTAAATTTTCGACTAAGCACGTTGGCTGAAGGGTCCATTCTGCGGTCATGCCTGATCCATTCTTTACAGTACGAGCCAGAACATGTAAAGAGGCCAGCAATCATTACACTACTACAGAAAGTGAAACTTCGCCAAGGCTTTGACTTCCCGGAAGATGACGCAGCAATCTTAAAACGCACTTGTTACTTAATCTTCTGTAATTAATGCCAGTTCTAAGGCAGTCAAGGTTGACGTTGTCATTCGAAAGTTATCCACTCATTAAAACATGGAAAATAGTTCTAAGCCGGGACAGTGGATGAAATCCTAAGGTTCTACGGATGAGTCCGCTCAATTGGTGCGAAAGAAGTCGTCTGTCTATTCTTTCAGTAAAATTAAAGTATTACTATACAAAGCGGGTTTAAAATATCAAAGCACATGCTGTGTCATGTTAAGACTTTTCTAAAATTCCATTTTGTTTGGGCCATCGATCAAACTTCTCAAAAGCCCACTTATGGGCAAGTATATGTCATGTTTTGTCGAGCGCGCCTTTCTCTTCCGATTAGGGAGTTTAAAAGATGTCACAACGGCGGCGGCAGCGAGAACGTCAAAAAAGCAATATAGGTTGAATACTAGGCAAAACAACAACTCTGCACGTGCAGCACGCTTTTTTGTACACTTCTCTGCCGTCACGGCACGACTACGACTTGAACGAGAACGAGCGAAGACGAAAGTTTCTCTCTCTTTGTGAACTTAGACTGACTGGAAGGAATTCCGCTCCAGAATAGTTCGGTTGCATTTGACAAAGTAAGCGAATTCGAATAATCGCGATAGAGTTTGACAGAACGCACGGTTTCGCTTTATAAGCGACATTTTCGTGGCCGTCGCCGTCGTGGTATCTTAAAGTAGGGACAGAGGTACACCGGGGTACTGTAAAACAAAAGCGCGGATGGCATGAGGGCAACCTGGTGGGGATCCTAAGCAGAAGCTCATAAGCTGAACCGACCCATAAGAAAAAAAACGACCTGCTGAAGGACGCATAAATATCCTCTACGCATTAATCTCGGCAGACAAGCAAGTATTCTTCAAACAATCACCAACCATAATATTGTAACAACACGATATCAGAAAAAAGTTAAAATCGATAAGTTTCGTATTTACGCTCTCACACTCAAAAACGTTTAACCTCTTATAATTTAGTTGTAGGATAGCCAGCCTTTTTACATTTACGTGAAAACAAGTTCATGTGGTCGAGTTCATTGATTAGCAGACCTATGCGACAGATATATTGGAAATAGGAAGTTTGCTCAAAGGGCCGGGAAAAAACCACAACAACAGAAAAACAACAGCAGCCTTTTTTTAAGTCGCTTATCGTGCCCGAAAGGCGTAAATTAGGAGAAAAATGCTTTAATAATTAAAACATTTGCCATCTTTTTCGCTTTATCATTCTATGCGGTTATAAAGTAATTTCCTAAAGCTCTATAAATTTAGATGCCTCCAATAAAAAGCCTAATGTAGGTTATAAAATATTTCAAAACATTCGATATTATTTTTCCGTTATCCAATTTCCAGAGATAATTTAAAAACGAAACAAAACGTGAAAGAAAACATTTCAAAATTTAGAATACAAACAGAGTCTTATTCAAACATAATTAATTCGACAGATGTGTAGCACCCAATTAATAGCTGCAATTGCTTGTTGGTTTGTCAAATAAATGACATTTTCCCTATCATACTAACAACTTTAATAAAATATCGCAATTATTTCATTCTAAATGCAAAGTCGTCAAATGAACGTTTACGAAAGACAGTCCTTAGGCTTCTTCAGATTTGAAAGACGTTGGAGTTGTTTATTCAACTAGCCGCAAGCGAAAAGATTAAGGCAAAGAACTGTGGGCGAACACAATATACCAGGAGCCGTAAGACCCGGGTGGCGAATGAAATGTATTTCAAACTCGCTGGATGAGCTTATTGTTTTAAAAATATAAACAACTGTTACCATGTTGATTAAATTTTCAAGGATGAATAGTAACGAGTTTATCAAAATGTTTACCACTTTGTCCTGCGCAGATTAAAAGTAACTTGCGCTTCTATCAGTATTATCTTAATTGCTGAGTTAATATGCAGGGACTTATTATGGTTCTTTGAAAAGTGTGAAAAATAAGCAAGCCTTCAGCGAAATTTTCTCGAAACTAAGACAACGGAACGAGAACGAAAAGACGTAGAGGCAGATAGCTCACGTGCTTATCATAGACATTGAAAATTAAGAATCCGTTTATTTTACGATAAGGAACGATGTTTTTTTATTTGTGTTGCGAAGCTTCCTAAATGTATTAAAGCCAAGCGGCATGCTAACAGTTATTTTCCTCTAGTGGCTTAAGTGCGAGGCATTGATCCATCTTTTTTCGGGTGATTTCACTTTGGTGTCAGAAACGATCCTGAAGCAGACATTCCGTTCGGTCGCTGAAGACACTATGACCAATATTTTGTTATCTGATGGTACCGTTTGCAAAACTTACTGATTTAAGTGCAGAAATATTTTGGGCAAACCCTTGGAATCCAGTTCATTAAATGTCATTTCCAAAGAGGAGAAGGTATAGATAACGCTAGAATGACTCAACAAGATATTTTTGAAGTTGTGTAGTTGTAATCGAATATGCTAATAAATAAATGCTTGATAGGAAATAGAAAAATTTGGAAGGGCCCTTTCTCGCCAAACAAAAAAATATAATCCAATGAGAGACCATTTATTGCGTTCTTCTATTCACGTATCAGGAAGTTAGTTGTGGAATCCTTGTTAGCTGAAGTCGAGCGGCTGTTGCTTTTAGGAATAATCAGTGAAATAGAACTGTTGTATACGTGTACATGCAAGCAATTACAAATAGTAACCTATATAAAGACAATATATAATGTTGCCTACCATTTCTATAACGCCATAGAATGTAATGTCGAGAGTCACATTCACTGCGGACAAGGAGTTGTTCACAGGTCGCACGTTTGAGTTGATCTCCTCTAAGCGTTTGACCAACAATTTCTCGTTTAATGCAGCCCCTGAAGAGAGCAATTCACCACAATATTATTAGTGTTAGTTAAACAACAGGCGACGAAATAAGCAGGCAAATACAGGCATAAAGTTGCAGAAACTGCGAAGCGGAAAGAGCAGTCTGAAGATTTAGGATGTGATGTAATGACGTTTTCCGCTTACCTTCGATGTAGGAAATAGCAGCCTGGAGAAGGATGACGGTTCTTAAGACAAATACAACGAAGAATAAAGTGGAGGTTGAAAAGTTGTGTGGTCCCATCGTAAATATCAATTCATCGATTGAACACTACCCTGAACTGCCCCAAAGTGACCAGCTTGCGACCTACGCACTGCTTCGAGTGCTTTTTACTGACGTCAAACCCAGGCGTCAAACTAAGTCATAATTTATACTCGCATTAAGCGGTTTATATATAGAGAGCTAATTAAATATTTAGAATGTGTTTGACCTGGTCGAGCAGAGAAACGGACATTATCCACGTAATAAGCACAAAGAAACACACAAGCTCATGAAACGTCAGAAGAAAAGTCAAGATAAAAGAGTCGATTTACAAACTGCCAAAATAGTTATTTTTACGGCTTGACACTGTTTTTTTAGGAACTGGATTTCACTTTCTGTCCTGTCGAGGTCTTTCAGATCGCGTGCTTGGCATCGACTTCCGCTGATGAAACAGAACACAAACCGAAATGAGATACATCTTATCGATTTTCAAATTTCATGATAAGGGACGGTCTAAATGTTTGGGCCATGCATTACGGCTAACATGAAAGATATCACACGACGGGCAAGGGGGTGAATGCGCAAAACTCATGTCAATAAGCCATCAAAAATACAGAGAGACATGGCAATAACAAAAAATATACCAAGAAGGTTGAGTTACGAGAGCATAAGTCCGGAAAAACCAAAGGAAAGATGATCCTTAACCCTTTCAGTGCCAAGTGTACTCAAGGGCAAAATTCAACAAAAATTCCAAAATTTCGTTTTGTAAAATTTTGAAAACAAATAGCGCCATCTGAAAGTACAGGCAGGGAGGTTTCATTTGAATGGTCACATCATAGGATTTTGTCCACAGACTCAAAAGTTAAGACTACCTGAAAGGACTCCAACATTCACTCTGGCAATGAAAGGGTAAACTAAAATTGGAGACTCTTTTCAGACGAAACTGGAATTTGGGCATGTTTTTTTTTTAGGAGAAAAACCCGTCGAAGCAGCTGAAGAGAACCTAATACAAATCCAACCCACGTCGAGGTGGGGATTCGAACCCAGGCGACGTTGGTGACAGGGGAGTGGTCATTAATTGCACCTATAAATATCGGCAAAAAGGTAAAAAGGGAAATGATTAACGTAAACAAGTAGAATACAGCCCGTCGTGGTCACGGGAAACCTGGCTTTTTGGCTCGCGTGTCGAGTCTGTTCCAGATCTAGATCTAGAATGAAAGTGAGGAGATGCGCATAAGTGGTTTGAAAACAGCTTATCAGTATAAAAAGAGAATTTCCTAATCGGATTAAAACTGAACGTCTTCGACAAATGATGAAAGAATGATGAGGCGAGGCTGGAGGCGAAAGTTTGCCACGTACCACATCCCAGGCTACCGTGGCGCGAAAAAAGAGAGCGCAGGACTTCATGGGAAGGAAGTAAAATTAAGCGCAAGTTTCTCAAGTACCACGCGTGCCATGTCTGTTTTGCCGGATTTTGCAGTTATTTATCCCGTAAATACGTCGGCTTATGAACGTAATTTTTGGTTTTATCATACATAAATACATTTTTATTTGTCATGGGTCAGAAAATGAACGTAATTTTACAAACTAAAAAAGTATCTTTAAATTCAAACCAAAAATTTTTAAGGAAAAATAAAACAAAAACTTTTCAAAACTTTTTCTCTAGATCAGAAATAACCGAGTGGCGAGATGCACCTTGCGGGCTAATGAAAAAGACAAGAAATATCCCAAGTCTCCACCTTGAACACAAACGTTTTGCGGTTCACCTTGATGCATCGAGTTTGCGAGTTGCATGCTGGGAGACGCGGTATACAAATATGTGACACTTTTTGTCACGCAATGATTACGAGAAAACATGTTGCTATGGAAACGTCCATTACAATCGTCCGTCGCCATATTTCAGTTGCTTTCCTTGAACAAAATTGTGACGAATTTGGAGCCAGACCATTATACAGAGACTCGTTAGGGAAAGTTTGACGATATAAATGCCTAATCCACATATCTCGACACAGGGTAAGTTGCCTTTCTTTTCGCTGAGAATCGTGTAAGTTTTTGTATCTTTTAGCCGTGGTGACAATCGACCGAACAGATTGAAGTCAGAATCCTTTGGGGTTGATAAATCCTCTCAATCCTCTCTGTGTATTCTTTACTTTCTCGCTAACAAGCTCAAAATATCCTTCAAGGTTTTCCAGTTACGATCTTGTGGTCGGTTATGAACACTGTCAGCCTTGACCGCTTTATTTCTGTATGGCGATTTCTCTGTCTTTACTTTCACAAATGGCTCCCAGCTGATCTTTGGTCCTTGCGAGCTGTTTGCAAGAAAGATATCCACGAGAAGCTTCTTTAGAAGGTTCGATCAAAAGAGAATGATCGTTTATCGCCTAAAGTGTATACATTTACACTTGGTTTAAAATGCACGTTGACTTTGTTGTATCCTGATGCCATGGTCATAAACTCATGGATGGTTTGGGCTGTACACTACCAGAGTGAGTGTAGTTTGTAGAGGAGACCATGATATGTGTATTTTACTCTCTGCCTCCATTGCCTTTCATCAATTGAATTGAACTTCTCAGCTCTCAAACTTAATACATCAAAGTACTGCAGGCCAGCAGTACAATTTAGTCGCTTTCTTGTAGTACTCTGGGCAAACCATAATTTTGCGTAATCTGAAGTGGAACACTCCTGACCAACCAAATAATTACCTTAACCCATTTGCCCCGAATTGTGATGTCGTGACGTTGTTTTAACAGTCAAGGAAACTTTTTGACATCCTTGTTTGAATAAGCACAATTCTGTGAAAATGGATGTAACATTGTTGGAAAATCTCCATGAAAATCTTGTTCCAACTTTCCCTAAAAATTGCTTTTAAAAAGATGTCAAAATAAATTGTTGCTGCCATTTGCGAAAATAAAAAGCAAGACTGTCACTTTTAAACCCAAAAACATCGACATGTTGGGAGTTATTTTGCATCTGGATCATAAAGTTTTTTAGCGGTTTTGTAAAGCCTTTATATGACAGTGACCAGAAAAACTCGACCTTAACATCCCAACAATGGGTTGGGATGCGACATTGTTGTTGCGTCCGTCTCCCTGTAGCTTCAGATATTCTTTCCTTTTCTTGCTGTGTTCGAACTCTGTATGCAAGACTGATCTGCAGTCTACTTTCTATGCCATCTGAATGTGCATGTGATTCTCTTGCCTTCCAGACTGGTACTACCATGCTCCTATCAAAAGAACAACCAAATCACCTAAAGCAGCCCCACCAGCATCACAGATACCAGGTATTGGAGGACTCAAAGATGAGTTCGCTAATCCTGAAAGTGATGAAAGACACTTTAGAAGAAAATGGATCAGGGACACAGACTCCAAGTACATTAAAATGGCCAAGCAAGGTGGACGAAAGAATCTTCTTGCATATCGCAGTCCACCTGTAAAACCGGATGAACCTGTTCCCTATCCAAGAGTTGATTGGTTTGATCACGACCATCCTGAAGAGGATGACGAAGCTGGTCAACCTGCTCAGCTTGAAGAGCAGCAAAAGGAACCAGCAAAAGAAGGGTATGTTTTTCACAAACTACAAGAGTTTTACAGCTATGGACAATGTGTATACCGTAAAATATGATCGATTAAGCGCCACCACTCAAATAAATGCTGCTCTCAAATAAGCACCGCACCTTTACTGCAAGTATTTTAAATAAGCGCTGCTGGAAAATAAGTGCTGTGGTGCTAATTTGAGAATTTACAAATTTACACCCCACCTTTGTTACCGTGCTTGATATAAAGAGATGTCAAAGAAATAAGACCTCTACCAACTTATGAGTACTAAAGTGTTAATGTAGGGAAACTCTTGAAACCAGGTTCATTATAACAGTTTAAGGTACATTGACATATTTTATTATAAATTGTGCATACCTAGTACGTACCTCACTTTTTAACCGTAATTGAAATAAGCGCCGCTCTCGTATAAGTGCCACTCTCAAATAAGTGCCACTCTCGTATAAGCGTCGCGCCACTTAATCAATCATTTATGGTAGTTAAAAACATCATGAAGGAAAATGCAGTCAAGATAGGTGAAGACTGATTGTGGACCAGTAATGCCACTCTTGTCACTTGTTTCACAATAAAGTGATGTTTCTGCCAATCACCTCTATTAAGCAGCCAACCTTCCTTGACCCTTTAAACCCTAAGATCAAAATTTGAATTCTCATTTGTTGCCCCTATTCATTTCCCACAGAAGTAGTGGGGAGAAGTTGATAAAATATCGAGCAAAGTCATTTTGTGTGATCATGTCTGTAATTCTCATGACCACTCTGTTTTACAATGCATTGATATTACAAGAAGAAATTTGATGGTGATCACTCTTAGGGCTTAAAGAGTTAAGTGGCCACTTGCCACTGCCACAAGGGTTGGCCGTTTTAATGACAGTTCATCTTTAGTTTCTACTAGACCCATTTAGTCCACCACATTCTATTTAAATAATATTTTTCATTTTCAAATTATTTTTATTTTCAGATATAGAGTCCTTCCTGATTGGTATGTTCATGTACACGATTTGCCCTCAGATGACGAGGTTGTGACAGGTGCCTATATAAGAAAGCGGCCAATCATAGGGTTTGATAACCTCTCAAACTGGCAAAGGTATGATCACTGTTGGTTGATATAAAAAATCACACGAGTTGTTTATTCACGAGGCTGGTTTCCATGAGAAAGTTACAAAAAATGTTATCACTAGAGGCATGTCCAGAAAATTCAGAAAGGGGTGGTTGGGACACTTTCCCACATGCCAGCTATATAGATCCTTTTTTATTTTTTTCAAGAAGGCTATAAATGTAACACAGAATTTCAAAAAAAAAGGGGTGGCCGCAGCGCCCTCGGCCCACCCCTAAATCCACCCTTGATCACTAAATATAATCAGTGCTTACCAGTGCTGCATAATATGGAAATTAAAAGCCATAGCAATCATTTGCAGTACACTGAGGTATTTATAACTACAGCTATTTTTCAAGGCTTCTTTCCACAAGAGCACTTCAATGTTTTGGTTCAAATCATTACGCACACCTTTTACTTTGATTGCAACCATTGCTACGGGCTCACAAGTCACAGGCTCCTGTCATTGTACAGAAACGAGGCGTTTCAGTTACATGCAAATTATACACCTGTTCATGCTTGACGTCCAGTTTTCTCCATACTAAAGTGTAATAAAGAGTGTGTTACCATGGTGTTTTTACTTTGCAGGGAAGATAAAGATTCCAAGGGAAATACCAGCAATGTTCGACTTCCTCCTCTAAAGAGAATTCACAAGCGCGATAAGAGATATGAAGAACTAAAGCAAGCACAGAAATGTGCGCCTCAGCAAAGACAAGTCAGACTGCCAAAAATGTAAACGGCCTCTCTTTTGCTTTCTCTTCTTAAAATTTTTCTCTAGTTTTTGTTTTTTTTAGTATAGCTTTCCTTGTAAAAAAAGGAAAACTGTTAAGTGTCTGTTGTCTTTCCAGGTCGTATACCGTAAACTTCCAAAAATAAGCCCCTCCAAATATAAGCCCCCCAAACCAGTAATGCAAAAAATCCTTCGTTAAATCACACCTCTAAATATAAGCCCCCAGGGGCTTGTACTTAGAAAATTGCCCTCAAATACAAAGTAAAAGAAAGCAAAAACAGTAAATTCACTTCCAACTATAAGGCTAGCCCAATCGACTTTGAAATGCAAATTTCCCTCCGTAGATAAGCTCCTCCAAAAATAAGCCCCTCAAAAAGGGTCTTTGAAAAATATAAGCCCTGGGGCTTATTTTCGGAATTTTACGGTGTATTATAATCCATTTACATACATATTACTTGTGTAGTAGGGTAACTCATGAGAAAATTATCACTTTAACACTTCGTCAGTCTGGTTGAATGAGTATTTATAAAGTGATATCACGACCATAGAATGGTCTTGTGACAAGAAATTATACGACTGTTAGCCAGCATTGTATCTTACTGACTGGAATTGAATCGGTCTTAAGGAGGCCATTATGTGTGTATCTTGTTTACTGCCCAAAAGAAAAAAAACCGTCACCCTCTTGCTCTGGAAACTTTTATAAGAGCCCATGACTTAACAAGCCTAATTACTTTTAAGTGCAGAGTCCTCATGTACATTTAATATTATACTGAAATTATTCATGATTTTCTTTTTCAAAGTGATCCGGAGCCGGTGAATTTCAAGCATCTGTTGTCGATGGGATATCAACGAGACTGGTTAAATGAGCAAGATCAAAAATCCAAGGAGAAAAGAGCTGAAAGAAAGGTGTGGTCTATTTGTGGTTTAGAAATTGTACCCATTGCAGAATTGAGTGCTACCATAATATTTTGAACCTTCATTGTATGCCAATATAAATAAGGTGATAAAACAGGTATACAAACCCATGTTATGAGAATGAATATTATAAAAAATAAACTTTCTGCCCTCAATTCAAAATAATTGCTAATGTTCTGTTTGTGTCTTATTTTAATTTTCAGCAACAACAAAAAGAACATGAGGAAAAGAGGGAGGAACAAAACAGAAATGCAATTTCTATGAGGTAAGCTTTCTCATAGAGTCTTGAAACCCCTTTCAATTTTTCAAATGCTCTAAAAACACATGTTTGACACACTAGAAACAAGTTTGACCCCTAGATGTATTTCTTCCGTGAGAAAACTTCATCTTATGTTTGTAACATTTTCTTCAGGAAACCAAAAGATGGCTCAAAGAGTGATAAACCACTGTTTAAACTCAGCAGGTAAGGGGCCAGTAGTGTTCTCAACAGAGACCTTAAGATTGAGGTTTGGCCATCTTACCGCAAACGGCAAACATTGGTTTGCGGTTAGCGGTTTCACGTTATCGGTACAAGATTCACGGGTGGTCGCTCGCAGCTGCAATGTTTGTTTATTGTTCTCTTCTATTTTAGCCGAGAAATCGTGTTCAAAGTTACGTTTTTATGTAAAATAATTCGTGAAAGAGTTCTAAACAGGAGTATTTTGTCTCAAATATGGAACTGTGATGTTTTAGAGTGCAAAAAGCCTTACGGTAAATCACTTACTTCTGGAGCATGGTCAAGCTGTACAAATTAATGCAAACCTCAAGCTGCAAACCTGACAGCAAGGCACTATTCACATGACTTCTTGATGTTTGTGGTTTGCGGGAAATGCCAAAATACCCTAACCTTAAGGTCTCTGATAACATTTAGCGGACTTGGACAATTTGACCTTCTTCATACAATTTTTAGTCTCTAAACAGATAATGAAAAGCAATGCTTTGTCACTTTACATGTTACTAGATCAAAAGTGGTCACCACATTTTGAAAAAATTAAAACATACTAAAATGTGAAATATTTAAAAAGAACTGGGTCATACAATGTATCTGATCTGAATTAAATTATGTGTTTTTTTTCTTTCTGTAGGTTTGAAAGTATGCAACCCAGAGTGGAGACATTCCGAACATGAGCAAGATCCCTGTTGGTACATTATAATACCTGTTATAAAGAGCAGTGTTCCTGATTTTGCGGCTGCAGATTTATACACAACTTCACGTTGTAAAATGTCCCTAGGAAAATAGCCTGCAGATGCAGACTTGTATAATTGCTGATTGTCGCTTCTCTCTGCCAGAAGTGACAACTGGAAATAAATTTTAGTTCAGGACCCCATTTCTCAAAAGTCCTGGAAACTTTACAGCCCGAACTCAAATTTTAAAATCAAAACCTGTAGAATGGTAGCATAGTTCCTAACTCACAAATCAGTCAGGTTTGCTTTGTTTAACTGATAATTTCATTGCATCGTTTTTAAAATATTTTATTTTTGAAACTTTGATATTGAATGCAAACATGGCAAACATAAAACAGCTTTCCATGCCCAAAAAGTTATTGGGACTTTCGAGAAACGGGCCCCTGGCCCCAGTTGGATAAATCACCATCCAGTGGATAAATACCGTAAAATTCTGAAAATAAGCCCTGGGGCTTATATTTTTCAAAGGCCCTTTTTGAGGGGCTTATTTTTGGAGGGGCTTATATTCAGAGGGGCTTATTTACGGAAGGAAATTTGCGTTTCTAAATTGATTGGGCTAGCCTTATAGTTGGCAGTAAATTTACCGTTCTTGCTTTGTTTTACTTTGTTTTTGAGGGTGATATTCCAAGTACAAGCCCCCGGGGGGGCTTATATTAAATATAAAAATCCTCCGTTAAATTGCCCCTCCAAAATTTGGAGGGGCAATTTAACGGAGGATTTTTTGTGTTACCCGTTTGGGGGGCTTATACATGGAGGGGCTTATTTTCGGAATTTTACGGTATTAGGGAGACTAATGGCACTGTCCAGTGGAAAGTTTTTTCCTATTAATTTTTGAGAAACTGGGGCCAGAAATCAGCCTCCAGGTGGTCTTCTGAGAAGTGTTTCACACTGGTAGTGTACACAGTCAGATACTTGTTTAGTTTGAGAAAGAAACTTCCAAGGTGGTGGAACCAAAACACCCTTTAGGGGTGGTATACAGTGTAAATCAAAATTGCAAGACATTCTTAAGTTTTTTTTGGAACTGTTTGTACATTGAGAGTTCTCTTATCACATAATCATTATCACAAAAGGAAAGAGCATGTACTGTCACCTTTTTGGGTAGCATGGTTTTAAAATATAATTTTGTTTGGCTTGATTTCATTTATAATCAAGCTTGTAATTTTTGGTTGCTGTCTTTTGGTGTAACACCGTACAAAATGTTTTTAAGCGTTTAAGAAAAAGATAAGCGAAGAACATTATTATTTTGTGAAGGTAAAACCTTTTAGGAAAAAATCAAGCATTTTTAAAATATTTATTATTCATGTACATGTACAGTGTATGATATTGTTTTAAAATATTTTAAGGAACATGATTATGATTTTTATCTTACAACCATAAAATCTATTACATGATGTACACAGAATATTTCGCATGATTCTTCGTAAAGCTCAAACGTGTTTGATGTACATAGAGTGCAGGTTGAAATACAGTTTCAAACAATAATAATTATACTGTATGACAATAATGATCATACTGAGCTGTGATGGTAATTACTAACATGCAAAATGTAGAATGTACATAGAGGTAAGGTTTGACACTGCTAAATAAAACAGAAATGAATTCTTTTGTTTACAGAGTGATTTTATTAAAATGAGTTGATTTTCTGATTATTAAGTATGGTCATCAACGAACTTTTGACTTTCGAGACTGGCCCGACCTTGTCTTTCACTTAAGGAAAACTGTACTGTGTTAACCACAAGCATATGTTTTTAATGCCATAAATTTTCTGACGGGCCAAATGTTTCCTTATCTTAATGAAGGTGGGAAGTTCAGGTCCAAGGTCATTGAAAAATAAATGATGATAAATAATATGAGAATAAAAGTCACTTTATTGCTAAATAAATACAATATATTTACAGTATATTACAACTTACAATAGAAATAAATCCTATAACCAAAATTAGTATAACAAAATCAAAATTTAATTTTAGACTTAATACATGCATTAATTCATAAGTGTGACAATTAACAGTAAGCCAAGAGAATGACAGAGACTCTTTTACAAGTCTGATCTAACAGGGAGGAAAGCTGTCATGTATACTAAATACATTGTCATATGATTTGGTGACTGAATAGACATACACTGTATGTATTCTACATTATTTTTTTAAGTTATAAAAAGCACTTACAAAAGACTAGCCTGGATAAGTTTTTTTCTGGCATTGTTTTTTAGAAACTGCCAGCTGTACAGTGTAGCAGGTTTTATCGGAAGTCAGATAATATTCTTGGCCGAATGTATCCATGAGGAAGATTCTGTTGTCCAAATCCTAGTTCAGGTAGATGTCGACCAACTGCAAAACCATTGTTTGTCATATCATCAAACAGTTTTCCTCGACTTTCAGGTTCAAATGCATATTTTCTTTTGACAAGCAAATCATTTTCTTTGTCCATTCCTAGGTTCCCATACAAATAAGGCCTCTTGGGAAGCAAAGGATGAGCCTCCTGTAAACCAAGGTGACGTTGGTTTGTTTCAGCCCTACAAGTTGAAAACAGAGTACCATTAGCCAAGTTTCAGCCCATTTTTATACAGCTATTTCGAGAAAGGTTGTCAGAGAAATGTGCACGTGACGATCCCGAAAGGCAATATGGGATATGATCAATACACTGTTCCTGACACTGTAGCTGTCGAACCTACTTTTGTTGCTTTCTTTGAGCTCCTGCAAACATACGTCCATGGCCTTTCGTGTCATTCTTTCAAACTTCTTTGGAGAACAGTGAATTCAAAACCACCCACCTTTCGGGATTGTCGCGTGCACTTTTTCCGACAACCTTTCTCGAAATAGCTGTATGCAAATCCAAGGTTATTTTCATTAGGTTGAAAAAAAAAAACAGTTAAAAGTGTGATTAAATTAAGGTGAATTTAAACAATTCCTCAGTGATGAGATACACCGTCAATAGGAACATTAAGATCTGATGACAGCAATGGCAACAAGGACGTTAAAAAAGATTTAATAACTAAAGCAAATAGTGCGATTTCTTCATTAGTGGTGCTTGCTGTTGTTCGTAGCATCACTTTTATGAGGCTGCAAAATTGTTCCATAAATTGGGGGAAGGTGGTACAAGTAGCCCTGATCAGCTGATCATGGTTCATTGCTGGTTGACGAACATGAATGAATTCAGAAACCATGATCAGCCTCCCCACACGTCCCTCCAACTAAAGGAGCAATTTTTTCATCCTCAACAAAATGAGGTTGCAAATAACAGCAACTGTTACGGCTGAACGGATCTGGTAAAGATCTGTCTAACTTTCAAGAAATTGTTCGTGATGAAGATAATTCAACTGGAATATAGAAGGAGTTTACTGCCAGGGGGTCCGGTCACAGTAGAGGCACCAGAAACCCCACAATGATCTTTTATTTGCTAATTGTTGTGAGCTTACTGTGCCATTGGTTCAAAAGAAAATAATTTAGCAGCAAGTACCTTGTAACTTTATCTTCTCTTTCGCTTACAGCTCTCTCTTTCTCTAAAAGCATTTTCTCTCTTCCTGTGGGTAAAGAATTCCATGAATAGTGCTAATTAATAATTTTTTAATGTACAGCATACCTAGCTGCTGTGAACTGAAGTTACGACTGTGTAGATGCCATACAAACAACACTTAAATGACACTGATTTGAAATAATTTCATTTGGTACTATTAAAGTATATACATACTGTCCAATTCTTTCTGTTTCTCAGTAAGTTGTCTTTCCCATCTTCTGAGGAATTCCTCTTTCTTCTTTCCATCATTTCTTAAGGAACAAACAAATACATGTATAAGAATATGCGACACAATTTTGTGCCCTGGTGAATTGAAGAAAATATTCTGGATAACAATACATGTAGGTTTTTGGGCTCATCCCACTTGTTAATGAAATGCAAATTCACAGAGACATAACACTTGATGTGAGTCAATACATACTACTTATTAACCAAGAGTGAGGTCATTACAGCTAGGGAAATCTCAGACTGAGGCCTTGATGTATTGACCGAGCGATAGCAATACATGTCAATACATCAAGGTTGAGATCTGTGATTTCCCTGCAATGACCGATGGGCAAGGTTAATAAGTTATTTATTATATGGCCTTTTCATTTTGGACCCGAGTCTGTGATCAATTTATTAAAGCCAACTGGTCAGCAGACAACTTTAAGAAAACACAGCACCTCAATGAGTTGTACAATATTGAGCCCACCATCACATTCAGGTGGCATTGGTCGGTGGATACCCTTTATGACAGCTGTCAATTGACTATAACATGGATGTTCATAAGGGTGTCCACTATCAATGTAAATACAGATTGTATATGCCTTAAACACCAAGCTTGTAATGCCAGGTCATTACAACAAAATAATGCCAAGTCACTACAAGAAAACGGCCAATCAGAGCGTGTGTACTGTAGCCATATAATAATTTTTATTAATGCCTTGTGCAAACACTGAGATTTATTTGGCACCCAAAGGTGGAGTAAGACAACAGGGAATGCCAGGGTTCTGCTTGAACACAGTCTTGCACATACTGTAGATCGCTAGCAGTCCCTTATTGTTTCATGGAAAAAGTTAAATGCTCAGTAAATTGACCAAATCAAAGGAAACTTGGTACTCACGATGGATCTGAATCTCTTTGAAACCTCTGAAAAATCGAGCAACCAAGAAGTTTATCTATTGATGGTCTGCGTTCCTCCTGTGTGCCAGAAAATTTAAGGTCATACAGAGCAATAATATTAAATAATCATATAAATCAAACAATTTTTGAAAGAGAAAGACATCAAACACTGACATTATTATCCTTGTACTTCTTACATTTACTTTAAGCATTGAGTTCACTACATCACTTAGATCCTGTGAATAACGCTCAGAGATTGGGCGAAATTTTCCAGTTCTGATCTTGGCCTCAAGACTCCTTTGATTTAGTGCCGTGAAGGGTGGTGACAATGAACAAAGCTCATAAACCAGGCATCCAAGCGACCAGATGTCTGACTTTTCATTGTAATTTTGCTTATTTACTTGTTCCTGCAAACAAATTGAATCTACATGTCAGAGACTATGTAGGAAAATGAGTCAATAATTTGGTCTGGATTAAGTGCCTGTCCATTCAATTTAGTAAATGTAACAAGTAATTTCTGTTTACTGCTGACAAAAGTTCTTTAGTACAGAGGAAACTCCTTATGACATAAGTGCTGAGAGACTGAATAAAATAATGATTTAATTTCATTTAATATGGGTTCTCATTACTGCAATTTATAGCCAACAATATTGGACAACAGCTTTATGTCACTTAAAAGAAAATAAAACATCTGCAATGCGAACGTTGTATAAACTGATCCAGTAATCAACATTTGTTTTTGGAACAGTACATTTCTACAACCAAAATGTTATACTTATTTTGATTGTGTTTGATATAATATATCTATAAGATTTATAGTGAATGTTTTGCAAGCCTTGCTCTCTTGTTAACATGATTTTGATTCAAGACATTATTTAAAGTTTATTGTGTATTTTATCCATATATATTTATTTATGATTGGATCACCATTGTAGACTACACTGGTAAGCATGAACTTGGCAAAATAAAATTTTATTATTTTACTCTCCCCCAGTAAAAAACAGGTGTCATATTAGTACCCCCCCTCCCCCCACCCTCCTACCTCCCTATAACAGCCACTCTCTTTTGCCCCCAAGGCATTGCCAAGGTGCCCATTACTGAGAGGTTTAACTGTATATTACTCACTGGTGACATGTAGTAAGGAGTCCCAACAAACGTTTTAGCAAAGCTGGTGTCATGTTGAAGAACTCTTGCTAATCCAAAATCTCCTAATTTGACATTATCACTGCTGTCCAAGAAGACATTTGCTGGCTTCAGATCCCGATGCAAAACATGCGCACCATCCTTTCTGCGGTGACATTCCTGCAGTGCACTGACCAGCTGGTGCATAATCTTGAGAATAAATTCCTCATCCATGTATCTCCTAACAAGTATAAATTTAAGATTTCTGGTTGAAAATCAGGATCATAGCTTCCAACATAAGGAAACTTTTTTTTATTATTTGGTAGCATTGAATGGCAAGAATTGGGGGGGGGGGGTGGGGGGGCAGGGTAAAAAGGGACATAGTGTCAGACTATGAGTGACCTTAACTACCACACCAATGCTAAACTTATCCCCAAAAGCCACTATATTTTCAATCCAAATGAAACACTCCTCAATCCTCATGTCTGATATTATTGATTACCAGAAATGGTCTCAACAAAACTATTATTAACAGCATTCCAGTTAATTCTTTGCAGGGGGAAGTCATGTAGACCATCTGAGAGGTCACCAAGACCATGTGTTAATTTTTTTCGTTATATTTAACTTAACACTTATATATGTCATCTGTCGGATCAGGGAGCCTTCTTTGTCGGGTCATTGACGTGAGACCTGTCTCTTATCTGGAACACTGTATTAATCCCCAAATTTTTATAATTTGCACATGACTTACATACATACATAACCTTTATTTTAACTCGAGTTTTAGAGTAGCTAATATCACTATATAGCTAATATCTTCGAGACTTACTTTTCTCTCCTGTGTTTGGCTATTAATGCTCCAAGGTCTCCTCCTTCACAAAACTCCATCACAATGTAAATGGTTGTATTGGAACGGTCAATAATTCTGTCATAGTACCGTACAATGTGTGGATGCTTTAATTCTCTTAGGAGATTCACTTCAGAGACAAGCATCTGTTTTTCTACTTCTGTCATTTTGCCATAGTCAAGTTCTTTCCAGACTAGAATCTGCAGTATACAGTTGAACAAAGTGTGGTTTGTTTTTTTTAATGTTGCGAACTGTCTGCGATTTACTTCTTTCCTGTCATAATAGTTTCAATCCACCTTTTGGTCATTTTTTACCATTATTTTTGTCTGCCTTATGTTGCTGTTTCATGGTCACACTTCTCATTGCAACTTACCGTAACAGCCAGGCTGTCGGAGATAAGTGCAGTTTACTAGGCAAACACCTTAAGGGCGAAAAGGCTGAATTCCCTAACACTCTCTCAATAGTTTCTGGGAAAATGTTAGGAAGTTCAATTCTGTGAAAGCAATTCGAAAGATTTGTTCAACAATTTTTGCTGAACAAGTTACAGTGTGACTACTATAACCAGGGCCACCTGGACAACGTTAACTAATATTTTATTGGATGACAGGAAAATAACAATACGTTCCCAAAAAGTTAGTTGTCAAACATTACCTTGTAACAGGCTTTCAGCCAGACATTGAAAACTGGCCGTCCAGAAGGCATGTTTTCCCATAAAATTATAGGAAATTAATTGAATAAATTCCTTGTATTTCTTCCAAAAATGGGCATTCATGGGACTGCTGGACACCCTTCTGGCTAAAACCTTGCCTCCGAATGAAATCAACAACATGGATTAAAATCAACCAATTACAACCTACAGATGTGACCTTGTAAACCCACTGAAGAAAGCCTATGTTTCCTGAGAGGTCTGTTGGAATGTAAACGTTAGTCATATTTTTAACTTGAGGTCACATATTTATTGCAAGCTACAGCAATGGTAGTGAAGAAATTGCTAGTAGATGGCAAAACAACAGCTTGGGTCAAACACATGTCCCCTGGGTGTTGCATGTAAAGTTTCAAATAGAAAAAGATTGTCCTGTAAAAAAAATTGCTTTCTTGAAAAATGTTTGCTATCCATATTTAAATTTTGTGCTTCGAGTAACTTATTGTTTCTAAATTATGAGTTGGTGATTGGCCTACAACCAACTTTTTTAGGATGTATTGTTATTATCGTGAATCTGATTGGTCAACTTTGTCTAGGTGGACCCAGTTACAATAGTTGCACCCTGAAATTTAATATTGAATGCATAAAGGTGATGTCACACAGCGGGACAATTCGAAACGATTTTTAGTGCAATGCAGCATCCCAGCATTCTTGCAACATTGCGCTGTGTTGTGCTGAAAATTGTTGTTGCAAATCATCTCGTGTAATATCACCTTAATGTAAAACAGCCGTGCAATTCTCTTCCTTTGCTTTCAACTTTATCCATGCACTAGACATCTGTTCAACTTTTGTTGAATAGACGGTAAGTTGGTCTTGAGCCAACCAGCCTACTTGGCCTATGCACCTGAGTTACAATGAGCTACATAGGCAGGTAGGAAAATTAAGCTTCTGTCTCAGAAATATAACAGAGAATCACAATATTGAAGGTCAACATCAACAACTGGTGTGACTGCAATGTTTACGACGGAATTCTTTACGACAAATTTTGCTGGTGAATTTGCTCATGGAAAAATTTTACCCATGGACTTCAACTTTGTTCCAAGGTTCCATAACGGGGGGACAAATTGTTATTAAGGTTTTCTACGGTTACTTCTTTTAATTCCACAAGCTCAAGCGTACAATGAAAGTTAGGCTGCAAAATTTAGTCGCAGTACGGGAGTGTCAGATGCAGTAGGATCGAAGGAGTTTTGTGTATTACTGTAGTGTACCTTGTTATCGGTTCTACGTCGGACTTTCTTGCAAGTTCCATATGAGCCAGATCCTATTTCACTGAGGATGTCATAATCTTGGAGTTTGGAAGGCATGGTTTGTCTTTACAAAGCTGCAAATTTTAAAAATATCTTTGCTTGAGGATCAGTTTGCAACAGCTGCAGTTGTAATATCTAGGAGACCAACTGTCTCCCCGCATTAATCTTTATCTTTCCATTTCGAACGGTTTTGACAGCCTTTTCGAGTTAAGCAAGCAAAAAATAAAGTAAATTAAAAGAGAGGAAAATTACCTACCTTCGATCTGGTAAATGAATGTGATGAAAAATGGCCGTCTCTTGCGAGCATCCAACATTCGAAGAAAACTTGAACTTCGTGCACTGCTCTCTGATTGGCTGTTCCCGCTTGTCATGTGCCTCTCGACCTCAGGACGAGGCTAGACACAGTCTCTTTTTGACAGTGAAGACACAGCCTAATTTCCCGCCTTCCAATGAGTAGTAAATTAAAAGAGCTTTATAAAATCTTTACTCAAAATACATAAACACTTAATCAACTCGGAACCGGGGAAAATACTAAGTGAAGGAACGAATAACTGGTTACGAATAATATTGCTTGTCTGGTCTTTTTTAGATATCGTAGACTGATGATGTATGGCATGGTATGGCGAAAAAAGGGAGTTAAACCTTGATCCTACGTTCTCAGGCAATGCATATTCATTTTCGATCCTTCCTAGTGCAGTTAATTGTCTAAACCTTTATCAATTTGTTAACCACAACAAGCTGACAAATTATTCCGTTTTATTTTTTTACGCTTCAGCAGGTTATAAATAAAGTAAACATCTTTAAGTGGTGTCTAATTTTTCATTTAATAAACGTCGGTTGGGGATGTTCTATGCAAACATAACTTTGAGGTAGATGGTAAACAAGAGAGCCAACTGAAAATTTCTCAAAATTGTATTCAACAATGCCCTGCTAGCCTGATACACAGGGGATCTAGGTAAGTTGACTCCACTGAGAGGATTCAAAAGGGCCGCTGGGGACTCCTTCTTTAAACTGACATTTGTACTACCGTTAGCAGAAATTGATTTGCTCACTCTGTTGCTTTCAATAAGGAAAGAGGTAGCCTGCCAAGATATACACTGCCATTTTATTTTGAATGGGTTATTTATGCCGTATATCCAACAATTCGACTCTAGATGCTATACCTTGTTGCTACTACAACTTAGGTAGGCGTCCGCGCGTCCAACGTGTCAGGTGGTCGCTTTTCGGGAAAGTTGTCGCTAACATAAAACAAAGGTTTAATATTTTCTCCCGATATGAAAGTCAAATTCGTCAAACTTGTCAGGCTGGAAGTCACCAGTTCATACATCAGGAGTCTTTTGGAAGGTGGTACTCCTCACCGTCTCTTGACCGTTTTGGTTTTATAAAACCATAAAACCAAAACAGTCACTGTCGTTTATTAAGCAAAATAATAACTTTGCACGTGCATCGCGCTTTTTTGTACATTTCTTTGCCGTCGTAGCACGACTACGGCGTGAAACTACCCGGAGTAAGTAAACAAGCGACGACAAATGAGTGTGGTCCCTAAGAACTCAACACTGAGGAAATTCGCCGACATGTGACATTTTCAGCGAATTGGAATAAACACGACAAAATTGGAAAAAACGCGAATTCATTGTAAAAGTTACGTTTTCGTTGCCGTCGCCGTTGTTGATGCTAAAGCTCCCTAAGTATCAATACGACTCCATTTTTAATTATGTTTAAGGCTGGCAGCGTACTAAACATCAGCTGATTTTTCTTCCAGAAGCACCTGTTCGCAAACCAAAACGATTGTTAATGTGCAAAGCTGTCGGAATAGGGAACACTGAGGAGATACGGGGGGTTGGGGGGAGGGGGGACGCTTATTGGGGGATGCAGGAAACCGTAAAGCGAGTTTTTTTCCTCCCCTATATATAAAGCTATGAGGCTCTGAAGTTCATATAAAGAGAACCTTACTGTACAGAAAATCTGATAACATAAATTTTCTTAAGTCTTTTTATCAGGTACTTTATTTAATCGACCATTTATCTTTAGTCAACTCAGTTTGTCAGTTTGAAGAGCGATCCTTTGTCATTTTGCTTCAAAGTCAAGAAATGCTTTGTGACAAAAAATGGCAGCTTTACATTTCAGCCTCTCTAGTATATTTTTACTGACAACTCAAACTTTACTTTGTGATACGATTGTCGTGCGATCAACGCGATTACTTCAAAAACTATATATGTATCCTGGTACATTAAACAACTTCGTCTATAGTCAATGGTCAATATACATTAACATACAGTTAAATTTGAAATCTATTTCTTGATTTTGGATTTAACACTATCTAAAGCAGAGGTGACAAACAAAATTAGAATGATTTTATTGTTTTTATCAGATTATTATTCCTTTTTTTTATAAACGTTCGCTTTTTCACTCTGGAGTTGAAGCAGAAAAAGTTCACCAGGAAAACATTGGTTCACGGATAAGTTTTAATGCTGGAAAAGTTTTTAGAAATGGGAATAATCTATCACGCTTACTGTTGCACAGCGACGTATGCGATAATTTATCAATATAGACTGACTAAATATAAAAATTACATTTGCAAGTCAAGTCGTCATGGGAAATAAAATATCAACACATAGCGAGGACTTACAAAAACACCCTTTGTTTTATAATGGTGATAACACAGTTTGATGCTTTCAATAAGTTCGTTGCCCGCAATCATTTTGTGACATTATAACAGCATAGATTTCAAAACTCGGAGGAAGATCCGGAAGGAAAAGCAAGTTTTCCTATTTTTCATTGCATGGCATCACTACCGTCACCAATATAAGAGATAGCTTCCGCTTTGATATATCGGTAAGATTCGTTGTTTTTCCGTTATTGACTGATCAAAGTTTCCTGTTATTTTTGAATGAACTCGGTGGTGATTTTTACTTCGCTGGACAAGGTTAAAAGACTTCACTACTCGACTGCTTCAGATGAGGTATCATAAATATAACCATAAATTATTGAAACTAAAAGCAATGGCAAATTTGAGGGGAAAACTTACATTTGTATTTTTTGATCGAAACAGACTGTAGTCCTTTTCATTTTATGAAAGTGACTATATGAAATTACTTTCGTTTAAATTTTATCACTCGAACTTTAATTTTGTATGTGGCGCGCTTTATCAGTGGCCTTTCAATGTGCCTCTATGTTTTGATTTTGACAGATTGTTATCCCAAAATTTTAAGAATAGTTTATCTTAAAATAACTGCGCTTTCACAGCGATAATTAGATTTGGACTTGGCATTCGAATAATACAAGACTTTACTACTGAACGACTCTCCACGCCGAATAAATTTTTATTTCGTTGTTGCAAACCACAGCGGAAAAAGTGTACGTGTATGTCATTTCAGTGTCCTGTTTTGTGCCAACAAGATTTATGCTCCATAAGATATTACTGATATTCTCGACAGCTGACTTGCAGTTCCAAAGAACATGACGTCAGAAGAACTTTAAAAGAGACTTCAATCACCGACATAAGTCAAGTATCACACCTTCTAATAGGAAATCTCACCTTGCCGGGTCAAAAATCCATTTAATGCATTTGCGTTTCCAGTCTACGAAGTTGCTATAGAACACTATAGTTTAAGAGAGTTTATATCTTAACAGAGACATTTAGAATCTCATTTACGGCATACGTATACAAACGTCAATTTTTATCACGTGACCGAGTTTTCTGAGAGAATGCTATGGCTCATTCTTTCAGTCCATTAAGCTCTTGTTATTGGTCATTTTGAGACTGCGTGGGACTGGATCAAACTCTGTCCCCTAAAGCGAGCATGGCTATATTTATATTATTTGTTTCAAATTGAGTAGATTGTCGGTAAACTAGCTAGGAAAGCTTCCACTATAAACAAGTTCAATCGAATTCTACACTTCACTCGCTGATGGCAGAAAGTGTGATCACATGTTATTCTCCTACCTACGTAATGCAAAATCAAGTAGAGCTCCTAAGCAGGACATTGTGATTCACTGACATTACGTCGCATAAAAGAAAAAAAAATAGCAAGTTTTCTTATGGCAGCAAACACTGTTTGATCACTTGTAGGGGTTAAAGGTCTAAGTTATGGTGAAAATTTATTCTGTGTTTTCTTCGTCGATCAATAATAATTCAAAATCATGTCTATTGACGTAACTGGGTGTGTTACTATTGAGAACTTTGAGAGCGTTTTCACATGACGTCACGGCGGCCATATTGGTGTTCAAAAAAAATTAAACGGCGGCCATGTTTGAGTTCCAAACCAATCCTGTGGGAGTTGAACTCTTTTCTTATGTAAACGTTTTCTTTTGTTCCAATTAATTGGCATATATAGAAACTGGGCACCCGATTAGCAATTTTTTAACCTCGTGTCGGCGCTTAACCCCTTTATGGGTATAAAGTCCTGGGAAGGATTTTGGCAATTTTCAAAGACGACTATAAACTGATTTCCATTTGAAAAGCCGCTCAGAGTCTAAACAGGTGTCAAAAAGGTGATAATCATGTTAAACTACTAACCATTTTGACCCATGATATACCTAGACTCAGTTTGGTTTTTGCTCTACACATTATGAGCACTCTATTTTACAGGAATTGAGAGCGTGTTACATCTACTATTGGCTATTTTTCTTCTGTGATGGGCTGTTCTGCATCATTTCCTAATCATACCACTCCTTGGAAAAAACCAACTTGCGCCCCAGGGGATTTTCAAATTGCTTCAGTTTCTTTGTCGCATAACACCAAGAACACTTTACGAGAATCATGGAAACTCGTGGAACCAGTTAAAACCGAGACAGGAAAAGCCATGTTTATGAGGTAAGATAAGCAAGTGATCTCGACTCGGCGGTAGTTTCTCCTTGCGTTTATGTAACTGAGCTTAGCATGTGCCAAAAGATCTTCAGTGCTGAATTTCACTTTGTTAATATAATTAATTATGCTGTTCAAGGATGAAGTGGAAACAGTTTAAGTCTATAATGCAGAAATCATATAGTGCCGACCTTTCAAAGTGGAAGCCGTTACTAAGCAGTTTAATTTTGCTGTGGTATATGTTTATATCTAAAGCACAGGTGTATTTTCAGCTTTAAACCCGATGGTGAATATAATTTTTAACGTTAAGGCTTTTTTAGTTCACCATGCTATAGCATATGATATAGCCAATTCATAGATGACTCTGGTATAGTGTTGATTCTTTCTCGTTCTAAAAAATTTACTCGAATAAAATGAATGAAAGTAAGTCCGCGAATCGGTTCCATGGTTCATTCAGGTGCCAGTATATTTAAAGCCGCCTGTATTTAGTTAACACTGACGTCAGATCACAAAACAAAATATTTATTTTTAGGCTTAGTCCTTCTTTATATTGTCAACTTTTTCCCGCTGACTTACCAACATATAATTTCTCATAATTTGGATACTTTTGAAGTGATACTAGTGTCGCAATTAGAATCTTAACTTAAGGTTTTGTGCACCTGGAAAAGTTCTAATGAATCATTTTAAGCAGGTGTCTTCATTGACTTGTTGTAATATTTTACGCTAGAGCGAATAATCAAAAATGCATCCATAGGCTTAGTGAACTCCCACTGAATATTACGGGAGAAAAACGTCGAAAAACCAGACGTAATTACTTCCTGAACGAGTAGTCTACAAGGAAATCAAAGTATTTTTCGACTGGTTTTGCCCGAGGGTGTTAATACGGTTTGACCGGTAAAAAAAACATGAAAATGCTCAAGACACTGAAAAGTAGGAAATGACAGTTGTTAACCAATATAGATCGTTTGATTAAACAAGGTGTGGGACTTAGGAAAAAGAAAATAAGTGCATGAATAGTAAAAACAAAGTGAGGATGTTTTGGATTTAATCATAATACACATATTAAATAATAAATCGACAATTGTTAACCCTTTTCGTTACTATTTATGAGGATCCACATACGGGACATTGAGAAAACCTAGGTGACAGTACTGACGCGTATTTCACATTAAAGAGAGTTCCACTTTTGAATAGCGTTAACTGCATGTCAATTCAGACCAGAATTCACAAAAACTAAGGGCCTGGGCCCGGTTGCATAAAACGTCCGTAACAACTACGGGTACACGTACGTGCACTCGTAACTTAAGTCAGTTGCATGAAATCACTTAAGTGGTCCACTTAGGGAATTCACTTAAGTGGTTGCACTTACGATTTTCGTAAGTGTTCACTTAAGTGTCGTTTATGCAACAGAAATTGCGGGTGTTGCATAAAACTTCTTTTACGGGAAAAATAGCACGTAAATTTACGGAACCTATGTAGGTCCCGTATCGTTACTATTTTTACTAAATTTAATGAGATCTTTTACTGAGAAGTGAAAAAAAGTATTTTTCTTCACGTAATTCGTTCTAATGCGCTTTGTTAACCTCTGATGTACACTTTTGTGAAAAAGAAGAAGAACTATTATTTTCAGTAGATATTGAAGAAAAATAACGGTTGCAAGCAAATTTCATTTTTTGAGAGGCTTAAAAGTGTTCGAAACGACTTTTAACTTTCTTTACACTCACCGATGGTTAGCTTAAAAAAAAAGAGTGAATCATTAATAAAGTACTATATCAAGGTTACGTGTGTCCTTAAGTGAGCCCGTAAGTTACCACGTAAAACAGAAACTTACGAGAGTGCTAAGTGTGTTCCATGCAACACCCGTAAGTGTACCCATAACGGATTCGTAAGTGACCTACTTAAGTGAGCACTTAAGTGCAGGTTTTATGCAACCGGGCCCTGTTTACTTGGAGGTGGGGTACCCCAGATAAGTGAGGTAACCCGCTTAGGTGGGGTAACCCGCCTGTCCACACAATCTCTCATTTTAATTTGATCACGTTTACATGATAGATGGGGTGACCCGCCACATGTTACCTCACCTACCTGGGGTCCCCCACCTTCATGTAAACAGGCCCTAAAAAATTGACTTGTTTTAAAATAACAAAAAGAAGTCGCTAGGGCATATCATATGATATCACAGCCGAAAAGACTTTGGCGGGATTGTCACAACATACACCACTTGGTCCAAACAGTATCAAAAGACAGTACTGCTCAGTAGCTTTTATTTGAATGGTCACACCATAGGATTTCATCCACAGACTCAAAAGTTAGAACCACCTTGTACAGCATGATAAACAGTACCACAGGAAAGTACTTCTCAGTAGCTTTCATTTGAATGCAATCATTACATTCTACACCAATCTAAATCTAAGGATGAAATGTTTAACACAATCTTCTTATGTTCTTTAGACTTTTTAAGACTCATCCAAACATCCAAGACACGTTTCCTTCATTTAAAGGCGTCAGTCTTGACGAACTTATGAATTCTCGCTCGCTCTATCTTCATGCCAACCGAGTCATGGCTGTGGTAGAAAACGCCATCTCCGCTTTAGATGACGCTGACGAGGTTATAGACTCTCTTACAAATTTGGGTAAAAAACATCAACCGTGGTCACTCACACAGGAGCACTTTAGGGTAAATCACTTTTTTGCCGTTATAATACTATTCATTTTTACTATTGCCCATTTGAAAACATTTAATTCTTTTTTGAACGTGTTAGCCATACAAGAAAATCGCTCTTTTAAAATAATCTTTGAGTCTCGCCCCCTCTTTCGATGCCATTTGATAATAAATTTGAAACGAAAAATTTATATCAAAGGCCCATTTCTGATTTATAATCATGTGCCCAATGTGTGACTCACGCCTCAGCCCGAGGCCCTTAAAAGCCTTCAGAACTGGACCATCTTTGGCCCTAGTAGACTTTCAGGCTATTTATAGATACATCTTTCGTGCCGAAAAACCCCAGCCAACCAGGAAAAGGGCATCATTTCCAGAAAATGGTGGATGGCAAAGTATAGAAAAATTACTTTAACCCATACATTGGATAGTAGCTCAGCGTCCACCCTAGTTAAGAGTCATCAAAATCAAGCAAAGAACAGATTCTATTTATGACAAACAAGGTAAATGTTAGTGAGAAAAGAACAATCTAGTTCTGTCACAATTATTCAAAGAATAAGTTTCAGAGGTGCGCAATCTCGTAATAGCTATTGAAGAAAGCGATAATGAATCCAAAACAATCCCACTGTTTAGTTTGACAAAAGACATAACTTCCAGGGTGATGAGATCTTGCTTGAAAAGTAACTTAAATATTTTCGTTCTTCAAATTCGTCAGGTTCTAGGTGATGCACTTTTGTGGGCGTTACAGGAAATGCTAAATACGGAGTGCACGAACCAAGTCATAGAAGCCTGGAAAGAGTTGTTTAAGTTCATAACCAGACCAATGCTGAGTGGTGTAGAAGGGGACGTCTTTTAGGACCAAATATATTGGTCCAATATCATTCAAAATTCCCAATATAACATCCAGCGTAGCCCGTAATGGGCATCATCCTTGTCGTCATCATCACGTCCTTTATGTCAACACGATAAGAATTTGAGGAAGACATTGTTTTGGATCCGATGCGTTTTTCCAACATCATCCTGCAACATCCAACATCTCGCCCAGAAACGGCTCAAATGGATTAAGTTTGACCAACATCGCCATATGCTAACTTTCCGTGTTGTACTGTAGTACATATCTATGATAGAGATAGATAGTCAATCGTTGAAGTTGTCTGATGAGTGTGGTCCTATAATTTCGCACTATACGAAACAGCACTGTCGCAGTAAACGATGATTACTCCTGAAGCCTGAACTCCTGTGAAATTATAGCCAACGCTCTTCAATAAAATGAATTGAGCACTCTAAGGAAATACATTCTACCCAGAATACAAGTATTTATCATAGACTAAGATATTTATTTTAAATTCAAACTGAGAAAGAAAGACTCTTTTATGCTCTGTTAAAATGTCGTTTTAAAACTTATTTTTTACTGCTGTCTTCCTGTACAGGTTAACAACAATAGTTAGAGGATGAAAAATAGGATAGGATCTAATTAATGCCGTTTATTTCTACTGTATACAACTAAAAGAGTATACAAGAAATATAATTATTGATGAAAATACATACAGGGGTTGGACACCCAAAATAGCTATAAAGCTGAACTAGTTGGTGACCACGATCATTAATCATAATAATTTAAAATATGCAAATTATAATACAAAACATTTAGTAGAAGCAGTAGCAGTTGCCTTGTTTCTGTGCTGTTTTTAATTTTAAATAGCTTTGAAAATTGTCGAAGTAAAAAAAATAAAGGTATAAGTAGTTTTTCAGCACATGAATTTCTTTTACAGCCCCAAGCTGCTGAGATCCCAAAGGATCCCGGGATTCAATATGGCGGAAATTCGGATATCATGACGTCATGTGACCTTTGTACAGTCCAAAGGGTAAAGATGGGGAGTAGACTCAAAAAAAATTGTAGAGTTTTCAAATTTGCATAATTTTGTTCACGGGTACTTGTCTTATTTTTCGGTTGAATAATAGCTCTTTTCGAAAAAGAGTGATAGCCTGGGACCCAAACTAAGCGCGTACGCATTTATGGACTATTTGGGGGCACGCGAGTGTAAACAAACATGGCTGAAATTGAAGTGGAATGTTTCACCGGGGTAAAAACAGCTCAAAATAACAAAACGGAAGGTAGAATTGAAAGAAAAAACCTGCAAATGTGAAACTGAAGGAAGATGTGCTTGGGGCGATTTTATCTCTCGAAAAACCGGAAAAATGCACTGTGAAACAGCTTCAAAGATGACTTCTTTGCTGTGGAGCCAAAACAACTGGAAAGAAAACGTCTTGCCTTCGGTATTCTACAAAATGCCAGATCAGGGGACTTCCTAAATGCGAGCGCGCTTAGTTTGGGTCCCAGGCTATCACTCCGTTTCGACGTGAACTATTAAAAGCACGTGAGCAGTGATCAACTTCATAACAGCTTCAAACGTTTATATATAGATTCTTCATTCCGTCGACAATGCAGACCAGTGTTTGTAACGATTTATTTACATCAATGAGTTGTGATTTTCGTGTGCTCGTTCCTTTCCTGCTAACATGGTAGCGGTCATAAACCCAAATAGTTCTGTCCAGGCATGCGCAATATCTTCTGTGTAGTCCGTCTTCAAAAGGTCTTTTAATGTGAGAACTAAGGCTTTTTCCATAATCTAAACGGAAAGAAAAATATGCTAGGAATAAGAAGACCTCTTAAGCCCTGTGAAAACGGACGCAACATTGTTGGCCAACAACTCCCAACATTGTTGGATGTTACATGTTGTGTCCGTTTGCACACCCTGTTGCGTGTTGTTGGGAGTTGTGGCGCAAAGTTTGAAACCAGTCAAACTTTTAGCTACGTGCAAACGCACGCAACAACTCCCAGCAATGTTGCGTCCGTTTGCGCGGGGCTTTAGGCTGCGTGCAAACGGACGCAACAACTCCCAACATTGTTGCGCCAACAATGTTGGGAGATGTTGCGTGTGTGTTGGCAGTGGTGTGCAAACGGATGCAACAACTCCCAACAATGTTGGGCCAACAATGTTGGGAGTTGTTGCGTACGTGCTGGCAGTGGTGTGCAAACGGATGCAACAACTCCCAACAATGTTGGGACCTGCAGTGCATCGTGGGAAGGATACAACCCATAAGTCTTTGTAAACCATGCGTAATGAGCGTGCGTGGCCCCAACAATGTTAGAAGAGCTGTGCAAACGGATCCAACATTGTTGCGCTACGCTTCGGCGATCACGGAACAAAAGAAATGTTGGGAGTTGTTGGCTGAAAAGTTTGACCGGTTTCAAACTTTGTGCAACAACACGCAACAGGGTGTGCAAACGGACGCAACATGTAAAATCCAACATTGTTGGGAGTTGTTGGCCAACAATGTTGCGTTCGTTTGCAAGGGGTTTTATTCAAACAAGATTTTGTAAAAATGTTGCACGTTGTAATTCTTATCAAACATAATATCGAATTATGTTGAAGCCTATAGATGGCGCTTAAATTAGTAAAAGAAACTGCAATTTGTTTAAAATTCGGGTCAAGGGCTGAAAAGGAAAATGCTGACATAAACAAACAGATTCTACACGCTGCATTAAAGCCCTCGACTCGAAAGTCACACCTCCACGAGCCTGACTACATCGCTATGTTAATCTTAATATAAACTTAACCCGCGTCAGTGAGTGGCGATCATTATTTTTTTTACATCTGTACAGGTTTCCTTTGACAAGCTTAACTTACCGCACCTTAAAATGTTTCTCAGTGATTGAGATTGCAATATGTCTTTGCCCCAGGTCGGTTAGACGTTCAACAATCTCTTGCCCATCTTCCAGCGAAGAAACAGCTTTCTCCACCGCTGCCATCAAACGTTTTGAGTGTAAAAATAAAGATCGAGAGTTCATCAGCTCGTCAAGGGCGACCCCTCTGAATGATGGAAACGTGTCTTGAATGTCTGGATTTAACTCAAGGAGCCTGTAAAAAGGGAAAACAGGAATATCAGTTCGCCCTACTATTACTACTACTACTACTACTACTACTACTACTACTACTACTACTACTACTACCACTACCACTACCACTACCACTACCACTACCACTACCACTACCACTACCACTACCACCACCGCCACCACCACTACTACTACTACTACTACCACTACTACGGCCGAGCAAGAGAACGCCTCGATTGAGCACGCCCCTTCCAGATCCCCCTATCCAACATAGCTGTTCTCAGCTCTTCCTCACTTTCCAAGCTAGTTTCGCTTTTCAGGTTATCTATATATTAAGTAACAGCTGGTCTTCCGATGTTCATGCGTCCACTCATTAGCTGCCAAAGTACTAGTTTAGATGCCTCCTCTGCCGGGTGTCTTAAACAATGGCCGGCTAACTTCAACCTTCTGAAACCCACTTTTGATGACACTGGTGGTAAATTGCCCTATCTACGGTATTCCAAAACAGACTTTGTTTCTGGATTCCACGCTTTCGATTCTGGATTCTAGTTACTGGATTCACGATTCCTTTGAGTCCGGATTCCAATTATTAACGGGATTCCAGATTCCTTGAGCTGGTGTCTGGATTCCAAAGTCCAGGATTCCAGATTCCACAAGAAAAAGTTTCCCCGATTCCGGAAGTTATCCAGAGCATGTGACGAATCATTGTTCTTTAATAGATGAAATTTGTAGGCGATTTATTTAAGTTTGCTCAAAACAGAGTCCCAAAACAGCAAAAGAGATTTTCAGGTAATCCTTGACGTTTTACGGATCATTTCTCAATTAAACAGTTTCTGTAGTAACAGCACAACCTAAAGCTATCGTTTCACTTTACTTAAAAGGAAGCTCTGTGGCCCTTTTTTATTTTTTGAAAGTAATCAGCATGTCAAGATACAAGATCACTACCTTCCATCTATAAATCCAGTTAAATACCTTGTAAATATGGTCTTGCCCATTGCATCTTTCATATTTTCCAGCTGTTTCCAAGATTCTCTCAACAACGCTTTGTCTTCATTAGAAATTGGCAGTGAATAGTGTTCGTTAATTAGGCTGACATCCTTGGGGAAGATCTCTGCTTGATTCTTCAAGTGCAGAGATTTCACACAGCCCATTATCACAGAAAATATCCAAGCTGTGCTGAAATCACTGCGTAGAAAAAGAAAATTATCAAAAATCACCAGCCATTGAAAATGACAATCTTATCTGATACAGGAAGCCCTGGATTCCCTCAACCTCTTTAATCTGTACACGAGGCCTGGATGATCCCAATGCATAACTTTGCTCATCATCTTTAGTACACTTTGTTTTCTCTCAAAAATTTTGCCTAAGCATTGTCTTAATTATCTTGGGACGGCTGAAATATCCAAGAGAAATAAGAAACATAGCTTACGCAGAATTTTGAGGAGCAGACATGGTTTATTATGGGAGACATGCAAATGGTGAATTGTGGGATCACGACTGAGCAAAGGTCATTGTTTTTTCAAACTCCGCTATGTTTTGAGGGACGAATTTTGGCCCGTTCCCCTGTACAACTTCCAATTATCAGTCAATGACAACCTCGTGCCAAGGGTCATCTCGCCGCGTTTTCCAATATGCAGCCGCCATATTGGAAAACGCTGGGGCGAACGCTGCAGCTAGGCTGCTTATGTCATGTAAAAAGTATGACCATATTACGCCCGTTTTGATAAATTTACACTGGTTACCAGTAAGATATAGAATTAATTTTAAAATTTTATTACTTACTTTCAAAGCCCTCTATGGCATGGCACCTAGTTACATCATTGATTTAATTCACACTAAGACTAATCCGCGCTATTTACTGCGCTCTAATGAAGGTCTTTTATTAAAGCATCCGTCAGGAAAAATGAAAAAGTCATTTGGTGACAGATCCTTCAGCGTGGCTGCACCCACTTTATGGAACGCTCTTCCTGTTAGCCTCCGCAGCATCAAATGTATTTCTACTTTTAAATCTAATCTTAAAACTTATCTTTTTAAATTAGCTTTTAATATCTCTTAGATATTAAATATATTTGTATACTTTTAATATTTGTATAGTTTTTAGGTTATTTATTGTTGTAATGCGCTTTTGATCACCTAGCATGTTAAAAGGCGCACTATAAATGAATAAATTATTATTATTATTATTAAAACGTGAAGTCCCTGGGCACAAGTTTCCCAAAATATTCCCTTCGTGCTTGCTACTCGGACCCATTAATTCTGTCGCCAATGATGAATAATTTTGTTTTTGTTGTATCTTTTTGTACGTTTTCTACCCAATCTGGTTGTCTATTCGATCATTTGAGAATTTATAGAAAAATTGACTCGAAAAAGGTCTCAAGTTCGACTAACGGCTCAAAATTGGCTTCCTTTTCCAGTATCAGATGAAATGCTACTTTTCGTGTTCAATACATCTCATATATATTTCAAATATATAAAAAAAGTTTTCTTAAATTAGGAATGTTGATGAAATTTCGATTACGTATCTTGTGTCCACTGTCACTGAACTCATACAAACAAAAACGCTTCCTTGAAACTGCAAAAAGGTCAATTTGTTTTGACTTTTGACAAACGCAGGTTCAATAACTTATTACTGAAGCAACAATATTCTCGTTTCTTTTTTTTTCGTTTTCCTTCCCTCTGTTTTGTCATGATAAAAAGCGCCTTCTTTTGTTTTCTTTGATCTCTAGGTTGATGATAAAGATTTCAAAAAAGACGAAATTTTCTCATAATCATTTGAAGAAACCCATTTCGTGAGAATGAAATAAAGAAAATAATAACGCGGTACTTAAAATAAATAACGAGAACTCAGTACTTTGAATTATAAGATGCAAATATGAAAGCGAACTTTATCAAGACAATGAATGAAGTAAAACATGCCATCCTGAGTAAACATTTACTTTTACCGTTCTAGAACGAAAATCTCTAACTGGGATAACGGTGAAGATGTGGAAAACAACTTGCCAGTTTGTAGGTGAAGAATTTACTGTATCATGCTAAGGTTAAAAGATAGTGCAAACACGGCGTTGACATGCAAACAAAACAATGTATTTCCCTTGTCATTACCGTTTTACGATTGAGTAAATCTCGAGCGAAAATGAAACACAACACACCTTGTAAAGTTGCCAGTTTAAAGGAAAAGCAATTTCACTGTTTGAAATTGAGAAGGAAGGCTGTAACACCGGGTGTAACACTAATAAATGTTGATCCGATATGCGTACTAAGTACGTCACGACAACTTGTAACAACTTTCCAGTGAGTTAGAGAAGAGGAAAATAGAATACTGAAAAATTTAATAAAAACGACACTTACGTCACTGCCAACTATCCTTTGAAATAAAAGGTGTGTTGAAAATATTAATTTTCACTTGACTTTAGAGGCTTCTCGTAATAAAATGACCATGCACAAACTAAATGTTATTAACATTGACACAACGCTTACCTTCACTTAAAGAAAAAAAAATCTATGTAGTTGTTGAGGCCACTTCGTGTGCCGAACCTATTAAAGGTACAACGTTTATTTTACCGGATATATTTTGATGTTTATGACCAAAAAAGACATTAAACATGCTAAACGACTACTATATTTGCGTCGCGCGGCAACTGTGCGTGCCAGGTCAATTTACACCAAAAAAGCAACTGCTATAGGTCGGTTGTACATTCAATCTGGCAAAATGCGGCCCAATTTACTTCTAGCTCTATTTTTCCTTTGTTTACAGCTCCTTGGGTTGTTTGTGGATTCACACTGCTTTTTTACTGCTTTTTTCTTCCAGATTGTGTTTTAATTACTGTCGTTAATGTAATGGTCGTTACAAACGAAATCAGCCAATCACCAGTCATTGAAAACATTTGGTTCATTCAAGGCGCGGAAAATTGTAAATCCGGTACCATTTGTGCGAAAAACCTGACCGACGTATTTCACAATAGAAGTTCCCGATATATATATTACAGTGTTTATATCAATCAAAATGGATATTTTACGCAAATCACGTTACATGCATAAGTACTTAATTATTGCTTACTGTTTGTTGTTATACTGGTCAGGGAGAAACTTGGAAATTTAAAACCAAAATTGGCTTTGGAACAGCCGCAGGATTAGCAGCTGAAGAACGCAAATGTCACAGTAATTTAGTCCTTATTTAGTCTTATAATCGGGCTGTTTCTTCTTGGATTTACAAATTCTGGCAAGGATTGCCAGAGTGAAGGATAGCTTTATCCTTAGCCTTTGTTTGTTTTGCAAAAAAAAAATCTGTCTACAGGAAGCAATTTCAAGTGCGATTTTTTTTCACTTTTTTCAAAATTTTCTCAACTGTCACCCAAGTTCAAAGAATATTTGGAGGCCTACAATATTTTGGCAGGCGATAAGATTCCTTTGTTCCTTGACAGGGCTATTTTTCGCCGGGTCATCTTATTTCCCGAGCATGACCATTAGAGTTCCTTTAATTGACGTTTTTAGTTATTTTTTTATTTTCTTTTTTAACTTTTAAAACGTTTTTTAATTTTTTTTCACCGAATACGACTTTATCACCGATTTAGCACTGATTTATCATTTAATCCGTGAGCCCCAAAATTAAAACATTGCGGCAATTTTGTAACGCAGGATTATAGTCATATATCCTGCAAGTATATTTTGTGACTGTTTTTGCTGTTCACACCCTTACAGGAATGTGATTTTGTCCGCTTAATCATTAGGTATAAAGCTGCAGTTCCTAAGCTCTATCTTGTTATACTCCCTGATGAAGTCTGCGGTATGATCAGATGAAACCGGTCGGAGAAATAAAACAAGTGAACAATACTCGCGTTGCTTTCTGCTGCTCACTAGCGTTCATTTAAAAATTTAAAAAAAATTAAAATTTAATAAAACTTTAAAAATTTGATTCAGATTCAGATGCCGATTCAGATGCCGAGCAAGGCTGCAAAAACGAAAAATTGCTGTATACAAAAATGTCTATTTTTTTTTTGCAAACCCCAGCAAACACTATTTTTCTTCATAGTACGAACAGGGCCTATTAAAGTCATAAGATAAACTTGAACAACCACGGCTGTCCGATAAGCCTAAAATACAAATTCTTTAACAACTGACCTCCAATTGCCAGTGCATGACTTTTGTCTGGTATGTATTTTTTAAAGTAGTAGTCTCGCTCTTTTGGACGGTCTATGCATGACAAAAGGCAATTCAAGACGGCGGCGGATTTAGAACTATGACGTCATTCTACGTCATAGACCTCATTACCCCACATGGACAACCTTAGCGTTTGAAGCGTGGGCATTTTGATACGTGCTACAAGTAATGTAATTTTTGTGCCCTAGTTTTAAGGCTGTTGAAATTATGCGAAGCGGGCGGTATTCTGTCTTCCCACAACACAACACAACACAATAAGATCTGATATCCGGACTAAAGAGAGTACGTGGGTAACTCTCAAAAACTCCAAGATATGAATTCTTATCGGCAATTGAATATATGCTTCATGTTGTAATGTCAATTAAGTCGGCATTTTTTGCCCTTTCAAAAGTCACTCGGATTGAAAGTAGGTTTGATCGTTGTTAGTCAGTACTTGAACAAATGCTAAATTTGAAAACATGGCGGAGCTGTTTCAACGCATGCATTGGAAATGGATTGAATTGTGAGCAGTCCCTCATCAATATACGGCTACGAAGCATTATTATAAGAAGGTTTAAGGAAATAAGAGTTTTAGAAACAAATTATAAGTGCAATTTAATCGTCATAAGTATTTTCTTTAGAATTTGCATTTTGCCTGAGGTTTTACAATCAATAAGATCGTGCTCAGGTGCATCTGATTGGCACGGTACAACGTGGCATCTTCGTTTGCTTCTATCTTTTCACTTTCTACTGAAGAAATTATTTATTTTATACACTGGAAAATTAAGAGGACGAAGAACTGTGGTATGAGGATTACAAGCTTAGATTATTTTTTGTTTTTCATATGGTAATGACGTTCATTACAAATTGTTCGTTTTGCTATTATCTTTTTTTATCTTTTGCGCGCTCGGAAATTTAAATTTGTCCAAAATTCCATTGTTCCTAAATTCTAAAATATCCTAACCAAGGAGAAGAAAATACTAAAAATCATTTCAAAAATGAGAGTGGATAGTTACGTTCGTGTCTCTTGATGAGCGTAGCTGTCTCTCTGCGTTATTAATTGCTGCAAAATTCTTTTTAACCTTGATAGGGGTCGAAATGGTCTTTAGATAGCGGTATGTTTGAAGTAAGATTGACCTTCGTTGATTTCTTAAGTCACCTAATCATAATTTTAATGGCTTTCTACTGACGCTGTAGAATGGCCGCTGCAATTAATGGTACGTTTGCAACAACGCGTTTAATTCCGGAAACACAACTGAGATGATTTTGTCTTAAAAAACATTATCAAAACCATAATAATATCGGGTTATGATAACCTTAAATCAACCCACGAGACCGTACTGTTTTTTTTTTCGTGCTAAGGATGTCAAAGTGTCAACACAGAATGCATTCAACTATAATATGATTTGAAAAGCATTGTCATAAATCTTTAGTTTTCGGTACTACGTAATCTCTGATCTCTTTGATACCTTTGTCACTACATTTTTTGTAGATTTCTTTATGTACACCCCTAAGCAACAACTGAATTTGCAAATATAGAGACTTTCCGTCACAAGGACCTTAAGTGACACGAAAGCTGCAATTTACACCCACAAAAGTGAAACGACGAGCACCCCCGTCAAATTAAATGGTGGTCCCCCCGGTTTATAAATTAGAGGTGGGCAAAGTGTGCTCAAAATAATGAGTCTGCTATGTGATTCATACCGAATTTGAAATTTTCTCTTATAATGCACTCAGGTAAGCCAGTCTTAAATAATGCGCCATTAAAGACGCGATTTTTCGTTAGTTAAATTTGACATAAATAGAAAAGGTTGCAAAGTTAGGTTACAGAACTTCGTGAAAACCACAAAGGGCTCTTCACACTGATATATTTGACATGTTCCTCAATTTGATTTCACGAGGTAATTTTATTGATATCTT